GCCTGGCTACTTTTCCTGCCAGTTTACTGGCAGTTAAGAGCACTGGATATTTAGTTTACTGGCAGTTAAGAGCACTGGATATTTACTTCCCTGGAGGAGAATCACCATTTTCTGATGAGGTGGGGACTCAAGACTTTTCCCCTCCCCTCGAGGTCTGATCCAGTGTCGTTCCAATTGCTGACAATTTCTGCACGTGTCCCGATCCATGGGAGGCTGTGATTTTGAAGTCTGCATAGATGAAATTTCTCAGCTCTTTCCAGCTGTTTTAATTGAAACCCTATAAGCTTGTGCTGTGGACTTCCCAGCTTTTTGGAAATACTATCTTCATAATGTTGGGCTAATAATATCTGGAGTTCAGACTCATTCTTATTTTGCCAGCTAATATTATTTCTCAATAATGTCTCATGGAGCTCCGGTAAGAGACCATTTACAAAGCTTGCTGCCAGATAGGGACTATTTGGGAAGTCAGTTCCGGCCCCAGATGCTCTTTCCGTTTTTATACTAAAAGAATGGAGATTTTGGTTCAGCATTGCAAGTTGCGGTCAATAGCTGCCAGTCACATCACCAGAAGCCAGTCAGGCCCGCCATGTTGCTTTTGTTGATGGCCTTGATTAGACACAGCTTCATCTCTTTGTTGTCTACAGTCTTGAATACATAACCCATCACTTTGGATGGAAGAGGTCCTACTTATTTTCCTTTTACTTCCCTCCATTTATGATGGGAATCAGGGGGGCCTGAGACCCCCCAAAATCTTCAGGAATAGTGTGCCTGGGGTCTCCTCAAACCAAAGGGAGGCATCTCCAGGGCCAGCCACTAGGTGGATGAGTCAATAAAATTGGAGAATCTGGAACGTATGCTTCCAGAAAAATCCTAAATGGCTCAATGAATCGTTCCCTTTTTGGGGGGAGGGAGCTCAGGAAAGTCCTTGCTGGTGGATGTAGAAATTCTGATGAGGCTGAGGTTCAAATGTTAGTTCTTCTTTTGGCCTCACAAGAACAGGTGGCAGCTGCACCTGGGCTCACCTCTAAGAGATGGGGGTCCAGCAAGCCTTACAGTGACAAGGAATTGAGGGCCAGGGGGTACCGTGGTGAAGGACATTCTGGGAGAGGATGGAGATAGGAGAACTGAGGAGGAATACGGGTGTGGTGAAGGGCTTTAGGCATTTTACTGGGTCAGATATTTCTCTCTGAAAACATTAAGAACATCAGTGGTTTCAATTAGGTTTGAATTATTTAGCTGCTTTTTGACAACTTCACACCAAGGTGAAGAGTACCTTCAGACCAGGTACTTCAGGGATCTTTGCTCACTTTTGCCCTGGGGCTCCCCTTAGATGGACTAATTTGAGCTTATCCCAAGAGCCCCACAGGGCTATTGTAGATCAAAAGGGTTTTAAGCAAAGTTTTGCAATGGGTTTTAAGCAAAGTTTTGCAATGAGAAGGCTCACCAGACAGTGGGCAGTGTTAGGGTGGAGAAGCATCTAGTCTGCAGGAGCCTGGGAAGGAGAGGGTTCTGTGGGTTGAGAGCTCCGTGATCTTGACAAATGGTTCTTGTGAGCTCTGGGGACCGAGAATCCTAGGACTCTGTGCAGGCTTTTCCTAAAAGTAAGCAGCCTCTTATAATCAGAAAAACTTAGTGCTCTAACCCAACCTGTTACCTGGGACCCAGCCTCTTAGAAAGAGACACGGCGGACTCTAACCTGACCTGGACTCCTCTGAAACTCTGCAGAGTTTGAATCTGCAGTATATTCAGAATGGAAGTATGTCCTAAGAACAGGAATCTGTGCAGTCAGGTTCACCACCAGATACTCAGACCAGTAAGCAGACTGGGTGGATATAGGGGTCTCCGTGCACGTGGGGAGGCCTGGTTGTTGCACCTGAGAATTCCGATGTAGATCCAAGCCTCAGCACTGAAAATAAACAAATAAATGAGACGTATAGTTGGACATACATTAAAGTGGTGAAGATAGATTAAAAAAAAAAAAGTGAAAAGCCTACTGGCATAGGGCAAGAGAGGCCTGTATAAAACTGGACCCAAGTCGCAATACATCCAGAACAAGTGGGGGTTTATAGCTCAAGAGCAGGTGGCAGAAGGTGTGGGGGGGGATGCAAAGTGACCAAGAGGAGACCTGAGTCTGAGGGGTTCGGGCAGAAGTGATCAGACATCACCGGGGAAATCCTTGCTGACCCGAAGCAGCAGGATTCTTGCTAAAATCAGAAAAAAAACCCTATATTCTAGAAGGAAGTATGGGGTAGAGATGGCTTGTTGGGGAAGAGACTCAGGTGGGGAGCCTGACTAAAGTTTGGTCAAGCAAAGAATCTTCTTCAGCACAGATGGAGGACATCCGCTGGCAGAATGTCCTCAGGGAGAGGAAGTGGGAGCTTAGAGAAAAGGTTGGGCAGGGTCATCTGTTTCCACCGACTCTTTTCTCTGTGGGGTCCTTCATTGGGGAAATGCATTTCATTTGGAAATTTCCCTTTCAGGAAATGGACAATGGTTATCAGAAATGGATAACTGGGCTATCTCGGTTGAACTGAAAGCATTGCGATCTTTTGTGATTTCTTTTAACCAATTAGAAAACAACAACAACAACAACAACAACAAAACCAAGCTTGAGTTGAAGGGGTTCCTCAGTAAAGGACCAGGGCCTTGTGGACTTCTCTCAGACGCCTGTGGGGGGGAGTTGGTCCTTGCTTTCTCTCTACCTGAGGTTCGTTTTAGGGGGGCAAACCCTGCCTTAAGGTATTGGTCCCAGAGATTGGCTGGGGCCCCTCCCGGTAGCCCAGTGCTCCTGGGTGGGTCTGTTGATGGGTCACAGGGTCTGTGGGTCCCCAGCACCTAAGGCCTGTGGGGACTGGTGGGACCCAGTGTGTGAACTCCGGCCCTTTGGTCAACCAGCTTTAAACATGCACATTTAAAGTAGTTTCTGCTGTATTGTTTCATCTAGACCCCAACTCCCCACCCCCTTTCTCTTGGGGACCTTTGCATTAAACCCCAGCTGGGTTGTTTCAAAGCACAGCTCCACTCTGAGACGCTGATGGGGTGTGAGGGGCTCTACAGAAAATTCTGGTTTAGAAGCCAGGCCACTGGATTCCTTCCTAATTCCTTCCTACTAATTTACGGGAGCAATCTCTGCAAGTTATTTCTCCTCTTTGGGTTTATCTCCCCACTGGTAAATGGAAGGTTCTAGCTCAGGTAGTAGCCCAGGCCCCTTGCAAAGGAAGGGCGTGTAGGCTGGCACCCGCCCAGGGCCCCACCCCCACCCGGCCACCCCCGCGGCCCCTCTGGCTCTGGTACCAAGACGAGGAGGAATAAACAAACAAGCGAGGTGATTTCCCTCTTCCTTGGAAACAAAGCCGGGGTGGTCTGGAGAGGCGTGCGGAGGGCGCCACGAGTGCCAGGTGGAAATGGGCCAAGCAGGCCAGAGATGATGGTTTCCCTGCCCCGCAGCAACATCTGAGGACGCCGAGGCCAGATGTGTTGATTTTGCACGCTCCCCGGTGCGAGCGCACCCCCATCCAGGGCGCCCCTTCATCCCGCGCCAGCCCGCCTCGGGGTGCACCGCAGCCGGCCCCGTGGGCTGCTGGCCGCGAGCACATCTCCTCTTAAGGAAGAGCCGCGGCTGGAGCGCGGTCCGCGCGCGCCGCCCCGCGCGGCACACTCCGGGCTGGGCGCGCGCCAAGTGCCTGCGCCCGGCCGCCCCGGCGCGGCCCGGCCCCTTCCCCTCGGTGGATCTCCTGCTTCCTTCCGCCATCGCCACCTTCCCTTCTCCATGGCAGGGCCAGCTATTGATCTTGGCCCGTGTCTCAAAGTTGCTGCGCTCTAATTCCATCCGGGGCCGCGTCCTCTCGGGGGTGGGCGTCGGGGGGCGGCCGTGCGTCCTCCTGGGTGGGTTCGAGGTGGAGCTTCTCACCTCCCCACCCCAGCCCCCTCCCAGGAAGAGCCAGGGCCCGGGGGAGACCGGTGGCGGTGGCGGTGGTGAGGAAATCAGGTGATCTGCGGCCACAGACCCTGCCTTGTGGGCGCCGGGCTCCCATCCCGCTGTTGCAGGAAACTGGGTGGGTTTGCCGGCACTCGTAGTCTGAGAAACGCAACGTTGGGGATGGGGATTCCCACTCTGCCTCTCCTCTCTCCTTCTCCCCTCCTGCCTCCCGTGGAGAGCATCCAGACACCCCCCACACACCCCCCCAGCGACTGCGAGGGTGGGGCGCATCTGATTCACCCACTGTCCAGTTCAGGGCCTGGCAGAGGTGTCAGTGCCGGCTGCACAGAGGGTTTTGGGTGTCCCTGACAGGCCAGGGAGGATGCCTGGCTTCTCCCTCTCTGGTGTGACCTTTGGACCCTCTTAAGAGTTGAATCAGCAGATCAATGCAGTGGGGGTCCAGGACAAAGCAGAGTGTGATTTCTCCGGTCTTTCAGGCAGCAACTGGGAGCTTGCTCCAGGGTGCAGGGGTGCGGAAGGCAGGCTGGGAGCCACAGCCAGGAGCCCCTATGCTGCCTGTTGGGGTAGAAGGGGAGAGCAGCCAGACCTGGGGCCTGGTGGGTGGGGGCCGCAGGGGGTGAGGATAGGGCGGGGCTGGGCCCTTATCTCTGACTCCTCAGGTGACCCCAAGCAAGTCAGGTAACCAATACTGTAGAAGCAGAACAATCATTTCTACCCAGCTTCCTTTTGGGGGTGGAGGGGTGAAACTGGGAGGACCAGATGAGGAGATCCCAGGAAGGACTCTGGAAGTGGTACAGCAGCACGAGGGCTAGCAGTCTGGCGCTTACATGGATGATGAGGTTGTAGCCAAGGCCCAGCTAGAGTGATCTGTGCATCTTCTCTGCTCAACAGGCCTGACACCCCCACGTTTTACCACAGCATCATTCAGGCTGCTCAAGGCCACCTGAGAAACCCTAACCAAGATTCCCACGAGTCCCCCCCAAATTGTGAAGCATAGCTGGGGAAGTTGGGGGCAGAGGAAAGTCATCTTTTCACAGAGTTGAGTACAGGATGTCCACAACAAAATCCAAAGTAAAAACGGCAATTTTTATTTGTCGATCATCATTGAAAACTGTAACATAAAAATGTCTTCATTCATCACCAGAAAGCCAGATGGCTACTGGAGAGGGCTGTTTGCTCTTGTGAGAACTTAATGAAAAAATAAAACTCCTGTGTCACACCCGCCCCCTCCCCCCAACCCCCCATCCCTCAGAAGGCCTGCAGGCCAAGGCAGGCTGCAGGGAGCAGCAGGGGGAGAACCTGCTGGGGGAAGGTGTGTCTCTGCCTCTTTGGGAAACCTGGTTGGAAGCCAGAGGTCACAGCGTTGGAGGCCTGGCTCTAAGCCACCTGCCTGGCCAAAACGAAACATCTGCTCACATCTCCCCTGGTGGGGGGCGAGTAGGAGCAAGGAAGGGAGAAAACTGATGCTGAATCACAAATTAGCACCCTGTACCTTGGCCCTGAAGTGGCCTCCCGGGCAGAGGAGGGGGTGTGGCTAAAAGTAAATAAATAAAAGTACCATGCTTTGAGGAAGGAGGGTGAAGTATCCACACAAGCATGCTGTGTCCTAGCATGAAGATGAACAAAAACCATGGTCTGAGGCCAGTGGCTTCAAAATGCAAACAGTGGCCGGGGGGAAGGGTTACTGGAGGGTCTACAGTGCGGATTCTGGCTGAGGAAGGGTGGGCTCGCCCCTGGAGCAAAATTTTTTTTTTTTTGCAAAACCATCACAAGAGCAAGAACTAGGAAGTCCAGGCTGCCCTCTACTGGTGACTTCTGGGAATGACCATGACCCAGCAGCACTGACTTGCCACCAATGAGCAAGGGTGGCTACGTGGTAGAAAGAGGGGAGTGGCCACCCCTCAGGCCAGGGGAAGGCTGGGAGCAACCCCATTCATTTGATCAGGTTCCTCTATCTCTGCTTGGCCTCACTTCAAAGGCAGGGAGAAGAACTTGTTCCCAGACTTGCAGCGCACCTGCTCGGCGTGCACACGCAGTAGTGTCTCCGAGTCCTCAAACTCGTCCACGAGTTCCTTAAACAGGAGCCAGGAGAAGAGAGTCACACTGAGGGGAATCAGCCTCCCCAAGCCCCCCCCCCCCAACCCAGTTTCATCTGCAATACTTGGCCAGGCCCCTGTGGGCACGCAAGCCTTTGACCTCTGGGAAAGGGGCTGGGACTTAGGGGGAGGCCTGTAGCATCCCTTTAGATCAGTGTTCCACGAAGGAGCTTCCCCAAATTTAACATGCACATGAATCCCTACAGATCTTGTTAAAATACATTTTTTAAAATGCTTATTAGGTCTGGGCTGGGTCCACAGAGTCTGTATTGCTAATAAGCTCCCAGGTGATGCAGATGCAGCTGGGCCAGACCCCAAGGTAAGGGGTGAGGGTCTCCTGCCAGGGGAGTTATTGCCCTGGAGTTCAGGTGGGCCTGCCTAAGCCTCAGGGTGAATCAGTTCCCCACCCACTCCCCACCCTCTAGCCCATCACCTCTGGGGTTCAGTACCCCCCCTATGCTCCTATCCTGGGATTCACCTGTAGCTCCCGCAGGCACTGTGCTTCCAGCTGGAGACGGGCATCCCCCACGCACCAGGCCAGGCTGATGTGGAAGGAGGGGTTCTGTGGAGGAAGGGTGGGGATCGGGGGTCCATCAGGTCTATGGGAGAATTGCCATGGTATTGTGGTCCCTACCGGATCCCCAGCCTGCTCCATAGGATTGGGGTTCCCGGAGTTGATCCCAAGCACCCGCTGCAGATAAAAGAGCCCAGGGTGGGTCCTTGGTATGGGCTGAATTGAGTCCCCCCACCAAATGCATATATTGAAGGTGGAGATGGGGCACCTGGAAGGTGATTAGGTTGAGAGCAGGTCCTGAGGATGGAGCTCTGGCGACAGGATTAGCACCTTATAAAAAGAGACACAGAGACCTTGCTCTCTCCCCATCTTGTGGAGCCACGGGAAAAACACAGCTGTCTGCCAGCCAGGAAGAAGCCTCACTAGAGACCGACTGTGATGGCACCTAAATCTTGGACTTCTAGGCTCCAGGACTGCGAGAAAATACATTTCTGTGTGTAAGCCACCCCCTCCAAGCTGTTTTGCTAAGTTCTCAGCGGCTTTCCTTTAAAAGGGCATCAAAACTAGGACACGTGAGCGAACCCAGGCTCTGAGTCTATTTTCTGATCTAGAAGATTCTAATGGAGGCCATGCTTTTGAAGATGAACAAAATCCAAAATTTCTAAAACTAAAAGGAAAACAAACATCTCCATACGAAGCCATACTTCTATAACCACAGGTTGGTTTACAGAACAAACCAAGGAAAACCAATGGCTCCTTAAAGCCTTGATATTCCACTCGGAGCTCATGTACCCCCGGCGGGGACTGGGCCAGGAGCAGGGAGGTATGTGAAGCTACATCTCTTCTGGAGAGTCAATTTCCAGAAAAAATATTGGAGAAAATGACTTTTTAAGAAATATAAAAGTGAACATGGTGCCATTATGGGGCATAAGCCCGGTGCATATGAACATGTGACACGGGACTTCTAAGGAATGCTGGGCTCTGGGTGGGCGGCTTCTCCGCGCCACACCTCGGAGCCCTCATCTCCCCAAGGGTGTGCGCTTCGCCTGGGAAAGGGCTCGTTTGTCTTCCTTGAGACTGGTTCTGTTCCGGCTGTAGTGGGCCCATGGAGAAAAAGCCCCCATCCCCCCAGGATCATTACCTCGTAGAAAGTGGCGAGGTCAAATTCCTCCATCACTCTGTCCACCTCTGAAACCAGGTCCAGGAACTGGGCATGCCCTGAGGTGACCTCGAGCCCAACAAAGGTCCTGGGGGGGCATGAGATGCAGCCTCTGAGAACATACGCTGGGGCAGAGGATGGACAGACAGACAGACACACAGGCCATGACGTCTTACCTCATTTCCCAGAAAGTCCTTTTCCTGCTTTCTGAGCTCTGTTCCCTCCTGTCTGCAAATCTTCCTTCCTTGGTTTTAACCGTCCCTCCTTCCTCCCCAGGAAGGGGGAGGAGACTTAGCCCCTGAACCCCAGAGGCTTCTGCATTCACGCTTCCATCATCTCCATCCTTCATCCTTCCTCCAGGGCTGGGCTGGGGCACCAGCAACCCGCCCATAGCCCATCAGCAGGCAGAGGTGCTCCCTCAGCTTTAGAAACCCTGCCTGCGCCCTGCTCAGCCACTATCCAGCGCATCCTCAGTAAAGCTGCTTTAAAGATGACTAGTCTTGGTTTCCTTGCAAAGTCTCTACTTCCTCTCAACCCCCTTCCCAGGGACTGCTCTCTCATCGAAGCTGCCCACGGCCTCCAGGTCACCTAGGGCTGTGAGTACTTCTCTGTCCTTACCTGGGAGGCTCAGCGGTATCTGACAGTGCGGACTCTCCCCACCTCAAAACCCTTTTCTCTTCCAAGACACCACACACTGCCCGGCGCTGGGCTGACTGTTCCTCAGGCTGCCCTGTCCGGTCTCCCCTGCTGCCGTCTCTTCGCTCCAACCTCCATGTGGCCTCAGCTCATCCCAGCCCTCTCTTCTCCTGCACCCCAGCCCTCCAGCAGCCACGCTCACCCTGCCCTGCTTTCAACCTTGGGCGAGGACTCCCAGATCTCTACCTGCTGCGAGCAATCTCCTGTGCCCCCGGTTGTATGTGTGACATTTCCACCCGGGGGTCTAATGGGCAGTCCCTAAGAGGGACACAGTAGAGCTTCTAATGTGATTCCCCCTGAGGTGGCTCCCATCCCAGAAAACCAGGCTGCTTGTGCAAACCCCAAACCCAGGAATCTACAGCTGAGCTAGATCAATGTGGTCCATTTGTATGTGGGTTTCTTTCCCCAAAATATTAACAAAATTTGATTTGAGGTCTAGTGTTACCAATGCGTATCATATCTACATGTTTTGTATCATATATGACAATACTGAGGCAGGTACAGATGGTTCATCTTGTAAACAGAGGGTGTCAAAAAGTAGAGTCTAGTATACTGTTAGTATATGACTCATGATTTTTTAAAAAAGATTTATGTATGCATACAAAAACTGGGGTACAGGCCAGAGGCATGGGGGGCAATGAGAAGATTCACCAGAGACAGACTGGGAAGCAGAACAGTCAGACTGACCGAAATCCACTGCTGAGGGGAGCAGCGGGCAAGACAGGAGAGGTCTGCTGTGCATGTGGGTGGCCAGGGATTGAACTCGCACTGCAGTGGCTGCAGATAGCTTCATAGGTTGCGTCTTAACCCCTTGCGCCACCAAGGAGGCCCTCTTATGATTTTCTTAATAACCTTTTCTTTTTTCTAGCTCACTTTATTCTAAGAATACTGCCTATAATACATGTAACATACAAGGTATGTGTTAACTGTTTTTGTTATTGGTAAAGCTTCCAGTCAAGAGCAGGCTATCACCAGCTACATTTTGGGGGAAGTCAAAAGTTATGCTTAGATTGTTGGCTGTGCAGAGGGGGTAGGTTATCAGTGCCCCTTACCCCCTAGTTGTTAAGGGTCAACTGCACTTTGATTCTTCCCTTTACTTGGCACAGATGGAATCACTTGATTCCAGTTGATTCCACCTCTAGTATCTCAAGAACGTGTCTACTTCTTGACTCCTGACTTCCATCCCCCAACTCCAAGCCGCTCACCTGCCTCCTCTCTGCTCTCCTTGCATCCATCCTGCCTTCCTTCCAACTTTTCTCCGCTCAGGGGTCAGCCAGGCTGACAGGTACAGACCTGATCGGATCACGCTCCACTCTGTTCGGATCCTTCCAACGGCTTCCATTACACTGAACATCCCAGTTCCTTACCGTGACCTTGAAGGCCCTGCATTAGCTAACCCTGCCCAACTCCTGGCCTGCTGCTCTCCCATGCTCCCCAGGTTCCATTTCATCGGCCTCCTCAGACAAGCCCCGCTCTCTCCAGCCTCTGGGTCCCTTCACTTCCTGTGTCCTCTTCTTGTGGGCCCTTGCAGCCACCTTCCTGGTGCCCTCCTTGGGCACCGCTCCTGACTCATGTCACACGATAGTTATTAATGATCTCATGTACTTGTTTGTTATCTGTCTCCCCTGCCTAAGGGGGTGCAGGGATGGTGCCCAGCTTTTCACTGCTGAATCTGTGGTACACAGCATGCTTTCAGAGGTGCCAGAAGTCGGGAGTGGATCGGACAGGGAAGCTTGGTTTGAAGTCTCGATAGACCTATATATTCACCTAATATTTGTTACTTTTGAATACGTGTGTCTAATCTAAGCCTCACAACTGCGCAGTGAGGGCTGTGTCGAGGGCAAGGGTGAGCTGGCGTGGAAATGGGAAGGCATGGGGGTGAAGATATGAGTTAAGCGCTTAACTGGGGAGAGAGATTCCAAGATGTTTTGCTCTGTATCTTCCCCTCCCCTCATGTTCCCCAAGTTACTCTTCTTAATGAAAGGTTCAGATTTGGAAACAGCTGCCTTTGTAGTCAGAGAGTTGGTTAAAAAACACACAAACAGGGCCTCCCCTGGTGGCACAGCAGTTGAGCGCTGGGCTGCGAAGCTGCCCGCAGCCTCTGCAGCGCCGGTTCGATCCCTGGTCACCGGCGAGGGTCCCACATGGCACGACAGACCTCTCCTGCCATGTCTGCTGCTCCCCTCAGCAGTGTATTTTGGTCCTTCTGCCTGTCCTGCTCCCCGCTCTGGCTCTGGTGAATTCTCTCACCCTCCTGCGCTTCTGACTACCCAGTGCTTGTATAAATAAATAAATAATCTAGAAAAAAGAAAACAAAAACAAAAACAAAAACAAAAACAAAAACCCACACAAACAAAAATCTGGGACAGACAAGGCCAGGAGCAAAGACCCCCACTCTCCTCCCATCTTTATGCCAAAGGATCTTTTTCAGGAAGTGACTCAGGCAGAGAGGGGGGGACCCACCTGGTTTTCTCTTGATTGGTATATATCTTTACCCGGTTGGCAATAAAGAAGAATCTGAAATTCAGAAGAAGCAAGACCACATTTTTAGGATAGATAATATCACTTGCTTTCCTGTTCTCCGGTTTGCAGAGGGCTTGGGACTTCTTCTCCTTCATAACCTCATGAACCGACTTCTGTAACACATCTCTTACACATATGTACGTACACACACGTATATGTGTGGATCTCCTATTGGTTTTGTTTCTCGGGAGTACCCTGACTAATACATAACACCCCTCTGGTAACTTGCTGTTATAGGACTGCTTTCCATTTTGGGGGTCTCTACAACCCTACTTCAGGGGTGGCAGCTGCCCCAGGCCTACATTCCCTCAGGTGCAGGAACAGCATCAAAGGTACATTGCCCACTCTCAGTCCTCTGGGCCTACCCAGACACACCTGAAGAGAGGCCAGCTGGCCTGGCTTCACTCAGGACACAGGCACAGGCAGGGAACACTGTGCCCCAGCAGGGCAGCGTCCGGGGAGGCCAACCCAGTGGGCCAGGTGCTGTTCTCTGGTCCTCAAGTGAGTAAGAGACCAAGTCACCTCCACGGCCCCTTACCCCCAGGAACAATATCTCTTGTAATGGCTTTCAGGTGAAGTTTCCAGAAGTCCCAGCAAGGGGCCTGCCAGTTAAAGAGCCGCTGCATGCAGGAAGCCTGAAGCAGGGCTAAGTTCCGCCGGGGGGCTTAGCTCACTCAGGCTCAGTGCAGATACGGTTGGCCAGAAAGTCATGTTTACCATTTTAATGTGGCCCACGAATCGGGCTGGCATTCCGTCTTTGTGTGGGGGGCATGGCTAGAGGCAGGGCAGATGAAGCATGCTCAAGTAGAGGAGGGAGGGTTCTGTTCACTCTTCACTTGCAAAGGGAGTGCATGTTAGCCAAGCCAGGCTGATCAGATTCATTGAGTGAATTTTGCTGAAGGTGTTAGGAAAGAGGGCTGTTTCTAGGTTGGCAGCCTTGAAGCCCAGAGAGGCTGCTGGCCGCCTTTGCTGTTATGAGAACGAAGGCAACACCCAGAAGGGCAGGGCCTAGATGGTGAGGGGCCATCTGATAGTTTCTGGCCACCCCCCAACCCTGCCCACCTCTCCCTCATGCTTGGAGCCAGTGCTACCTCTGCACTTTAGTTATCCTTGCCTTTGAACTCCCCCTCAGAGTGAGCCTTTTTGGGGGTGGTATTTCTGGCACCTGCAGTGAAGAGTCCTGATGCACACAGTAAACCGGGCCATTCATATGTCAAGGTTAACAGCTGGGGGCTTAATATTAGGACAGTTTCCCGTGATGTCATGGGACATGAGAAAGTAACTTGGGAAGGGCTGGTAAGATGAGATGGTGCCCAAGGTCTGTGCCAATCCTACAGGAGGGGGGAAATTGATGATTGTGATTTTGAAAGTTTTTTCCACATTACTTTAAAAAAGAAAAAAAATCTTGAAAGCTTGTGCCTTTACAATCTTGAAATATAAAAATACTGCAGTATACAGCTTATAAGGACATACAACATTTTGCACATATCAGAATATTGCCTAAGGCCTCTTGAGCTGTGGGGCAGGCCTTAGCCTGGGAGACCTCCATTTTTCTCTTCCACACACATCTATACATCAGGCTTTTGTGCAGTGCCTCATTTGCTGCAAGGGCTCTGCAGATCAGGCCCGACCAACATTCAGGGGATCCAGAGGGTGATTCCTGGGCTCCCTCTCTCCTTAATCATTCAACATCTACTTGTGATTCCTACGGAAAGCAATACACCTGGAGAAAAGGTGTGGGGTGATTCAGAGAGAAGTTATAATCCTGGGCCTGGAGGAACTAGGGCTCCAAAGAGGAGAGAGATACAGGAATGACTGGGAGGCGTGGGATGAGCACTAGGGACGTAAATAACCACAGACTGGGTAATCCAGGGGACTGAGGGGTTCTGGGGTAAGTGCCCATTGGGAGAACCTCAGTGAAGGAGGTTTGGGTCTGGCCTGTCTAGGAGGAAAGGCATTTCTGGTAGGAAGATGCTTGAAGTAGTTAAGGATAAAGAAGGCGAGGCTAGCACAGAAGCTGGGTCTGATTCCGACCCTTTGCTAAGCTCACACTGAGGGCACACCATGACCTAGTTTTACCCTCACAGTCTCCTCGGAGGCAGCCACGCCACCCCATGACCTGTACCCCAAGGGCTCAGAGGCTTCCAGAGCTTGCATGGTGTGTGCATGTTCAGCGTCAGACAGATGGCAGGATGCCCAGGAGATGGCCAGCATCCTCACCTCTAAGTTGGCCTGCTTTTTGGCCACTATGGCCCACACCTACATCCCCACGGCCACTCAGGAAAAGAGGGGTCTTGGAGGATTGGAGGAAGAGAGCAGAGGGAAGGCCCAGGCACTTACCTCTGGCAGGAGGCCATGCGGTCCTTCAGGGCCTGAATAAAGGGGAGGATCCAGTGATGGCGCAGGACCACGCTCTGGGACAGGCTGACGTGGAACGCCCCCATCCTCACCAGCCGGGGCACGCAGGTCTGTGCACGGGGCAGCAGCACGTCTAGCAGGTCCAGGAACTCCTCCCCGGCTTCATCTGAAGGGAAGGTGGGGGGGTCATTCTCTTAGCCAGGGGGACAGAGCTGAATGAAGAAGCCCAGAAGGCAGAGAAAGACTTTGTTACTCTGGGACTTAGGAGAAAATTACTTAGAGAGGACTCTGTGCCTACATATTCTAGTAGGTGATTATGGAGATAGAAGTCACACACATATGCTCACTGCAAAGAACGAAAGTAAAAAAGAAATCTGCAAGGGAGAAAGCAGGGGCCCTGACACCCTATCCCTAGAGCAGTGCCTTCCAAACTATTGTTTTCTACATGGGCCATTAGTAAAGCAAACTTGCATGCATACCTGCAATACACTTTTATTTATTTATAAATCAGAAACATGCTATTCTACAATTATATGCTACAAAAAAGTACACTCTCAAGAACAGGCAATTTTAAAGATGAGATAAAAATACATAAAAACATGTGCGAATACTTTTCTTCTCACCCCCCAGGGATCATCCTGACCTCTCCTTGGGGCACATACACTCCACTTTCAAGATCATTGCTTGAGAGATAAAGACTATCAAACTTGGGTGCCTATTTCCCCCACCTTTTCTCAGGGCAAATACTTAAGTATGTATTTTGTGTGTTAAAAAAGACAACCACATATCATGCAAACTTCTTCCACTGGCTTTTTTCATAAATACTGTGTGTTGATAGCTTTCCTTTCAGTACCAAGGGCAAGTTCATGGTCACAGCTCCATAATAAGCCATCACCAGAAACAGTGCATTTTTTTAAATCAGTCTCCTGTTAGACATTCAGATCCCTCTGATAGACGTTTCTTTTTTCCTTTTCTTTTTTATAAGACAGGGTATTCCTCTTTCTTCACAAAGACCCTGTAATGACTACCATTGTATTTTATTTATTTATTTATTTATTTATTTATTTATTTATTTATTTATTTATACATATAAGCACTGGGTATAGTCAGAAGTGTGGGAGGGTGAGAGAATTCACCAGAGCCAGAGCGGAGAACAGAACAGGCAGAATGATGAAATACACTGTTGAGGGGAGCAGTGGGCGGCAGGAGAGGTCTGCATGCCATGTGGGACCCTCACCCGGCAGCTGGGGATCGAACCAGCGCTGCAGAGGCTGCGGGCAGCTTCACAACCCAGCGCTCAACTGCTGCATCACTGGGGAGGCCCCATTGTATTTTTTTTAAAGATTGATTTATTTATGAAAACAAGAACCGGGGTACAGGCCAGAGCTGTGGGGGGTGAGAGGATTGACCAGAAACAGAGTGGGGAGCAGAACAGGTAGACTGAAATACACTGCTGAGGGGAGCAGCGGGCGAGACAGGAGAGGTCTGCTGCGCCATGTGGGTAGCTCCCTGGCTAGGGATCGAACCCTGCTGCAGTGGCTGTGGACAGCTTCATAAGTTGCATCTTAACCCCTTGTGCCACCAGGGAGGCCCCCACCATGCTGCTCAATTTTCCAAAATGCCCTGGTGAACAGGCAGTGTGGAGAATCACTCCTATCATGTGGATGGGGAAATGCAGACCTGGGTATTACCTGAGCAAACACAGCAGCAAGAGCCACTGTTTATCCTGTGTTTTGTGCTAAGAACTTGACATCAATCATATACCTTAACCTCTACAGAAGTCCTAGGCAACAGGTATGATCATTATCCTCATTATAGAGATGAGGAAACTGAGGTTCTTAAAAAGCTAGTATCGCGCCAAAGGGCAACAGAGCAGAGGGTAGGGAAGTGAGGGCTGACACAGAAGCCTGGCATTTACTAGCTGCCACTTGCTCTTTAGGGCTGGGGTGGGACTTGAACCCCCCAACACCTAGATTCCTCTTAGCTAAGCAGCTGTACCCTACATGGCCTTGACACTTGCCCTAGACTTTCCTTGACTTGCCATGAGCAGGGAGACCATTTATACCCAGTTAATAAAAAATGTTTCAGGCAATGAATTCAAAACTGAAATCAAGTCTACAGAAAAATCCCCCAATTCCTGAAACTCATTCTAGCTCTACTGAGTCACTGGCTTTCCCACCACCAAGGTCAGAGGTTTCTGGCTTCTCCCTCCTGGTCTGGGCCAGCTTCCTCCCATCAGGAGATACCTACCGGTCCCAGCCACTTGCCTTTCACATCCTACTCACAAGGTATATAGACGTGAGTGGCCCAGTTACCCCGCTCGTGGGGAAAGGTGCGCACCCGGCCCCCGTGTTTTGCACTGTCGTCCTCGGGCCCCTCCTCAGTGCCTGGGAACATGTGCAGCACGCTGTCGGGTAATGGCAGCCTCTGGCTGGGAAGGGGGCTCTGAGCACTGCAAGAGAGAAAAAGAAAATGAGCACATATTTATGCTCCTTGCATCCTCCACCTCTGCACACCCAACCAAAGTCTATTTCCAGCCAAGTGCTGTGGCAGCCTCTAGATAACCACAAAGCTCTTTCCCCAGAATTCTCTCCTGGGGTCTCCCAACCACGTGGGGACAAGTCCTTAGCCGGGAGCATGGTCCCCAGGGAAACAACTGGACAGGCAGCAACATATGCTTCAGAGGCACTTCCTAGCTCTGAGGTCTTGGGCTAGTCATGTGCCTTTAGGGGGGCCTCGTTTCCTCATCCACATAGTGTACTTCTACCTGCTGAAGTTTTTGCAAGATCAGTGGAGACACTGCTTGAAAAGCACTCAGCAGGCATAAGACCTGGCCCTTCAGAGAGGAAGCTACATAAGTAAGAGACTTGGATGGTTCTGTTCACTTGCTGAGTTTCCAGCCTCAAGCCTAGGGCATAGTGGGTTCTCAGTGAATACTTATTGGATGAATGAAAAAGCCCTCCAAAACGCTTTAACGACGACTACAGCAACTGTATCCAATAAGGAGAGAGATCTAGGGTGCTACAGAGCTGTGTACCCGGAGATAGTGGGCCAGTCTCCGGGGCTGAACCCAAACCCAGCCTCCTGCCTCCTCACTTTGACCTAGCCAGGTGGAAGCACTCTGGCGCTGTGTCCAGGGGCGTCCTCGGCCTCCTCCTTCCCCAGCTGCGCCCCCTTTTCCTCGCTGCGCCCCCTTTTCATTCCCTCGCCAGGCGCTCCGCACCCTGCCCCCAATCCCTCCCGAAGCTCACGCGGACCCGAACCCACACCAGAAAGCCCGCCTCGCCCCTCACCGACTGACCAGGCTCGGGCCCCTGCCTCCGCCTCATCCTCGGAGTCGCTGCTGCTGTAGCCCACCAGGGGCGCCGCGCTCATGGGGCCTCCTGGTCTTCCAGGCCGACCCGCCCGCACCGCGGCCGTGGGCTCCGGGCTGCCGCCGCCGGAAGCGTCCGCCAGGGGGCGGGGCCTGGGCTAGGCCCGCCCAGGGGCGTGGTCTGGGCGTGGCTGGCGGGACCTGCGCGCAGACGGTCCCCACCCGGGCTCGGCCGCCGGCCGGTGCGCTGCGCGCCGAGGTCCCCCCGCAGCCGCCCGCGCCCCCCGCCCCTCGGGCCTCGTGTGCCCGTCTCACAGGTCACTCTGGGCCCGGCCCTCTGTCCGCGGCTCCGTGTGCATCCCGGGGGCTGGACTCCCAGCCCGGACCGTCCCCGGGTCAGCGGTCAGGACACTGGACCCAGCGGAGACCCCGGCTCTCCGGGCCGGGCGGGGGGCGCAGTCCCGGAGCCCCCTCGTCTAACCTGCCCAGAGCCCGAGCCCGGAGGCGCCTCTCCTGAGAGTCCCCGAGCGGCCGGGAGACCTGGGGGTTCCACCTGGCCTGCAGGTGCTGCGGTCGGACGGGGCGGAGCAGCCCCGGCGCCTCTCCTCCGGGGCCGGGCGGGGCTCTCCGGGGCGCAGCGCCCTTCCCCGGCGGACCTGGGCGCGCCGGCCGGCGACGGGAGCGCCTCCCCGCGCGCCGGGCCAGTCCGACCCGGCCCGGCCGCCGGGTCCCCGGCAGGGGGCGGCCTCGCCGCGCGCCTCCCGCGGCCGCCCCGGCTGCCGCTCCTCCCCCGGCCCCGCCTCCTTGGCCCCCGCGCCGCCCGCCCGTCCGCCGGTCTCCGCAAGGCCATCGGTCCGTCCGCCCGCCCGCCCGGCGCTCCTCCGCCCCGGCGCCGCCGTCCTGTCTGCGCTCGTCGCTTCCTCGGTTCCAGCCGCTCCCTGCCCCTCCCCCGCCCCGGGCCGGCCGCCGCCGCTACGCGAGACCGGGGATTGGCAGCGCGCGTAGGCCGCGCCGCCCTGGATGGAACCGGAATAAAGGGGCGGCGGAGAGGCAGCCGGTCGCTACTCGTCCCGCGCCAGACCCCGCGGGCGCCCTGGAGCAGGTGAGCGGCTGGGCGCCCGGGGCTGCGTCTGGGGGCCCCTCCCGCCCCGCCGCCCCGCTTCCCCAGCCCGCCCGGCTCTCCGGCCCCCCCACCTCCGGCCGGACCCGGCGGCCTCTCCAGCTCCGGGGCGGCCCAGGCCGGCCTCGACGCGCAGCCGCTTCCCGGGGCCGGCCTGCAGACCCGGGGCCTCCCCTGCGCCCAGTCGCCCGCGGGGCCGGCGCTCCGGCTGCTGTGGCCTGGAGATCCCCGCCGGCCGAGGGCTGACAGGAGGCAGCCCAGCTGGGCCGGCGGGGAAGTGATCGGTTTAAATTAGGTTTCCTAAGAAGGAGGGAAGCGCTGGCTGGGGTGGGCCCCAGGTTGGGGCTTCCCCTAGCCGTCGTCTCTCCTCTTTGCAGAGCTGAGTGATCGGAGAGGCCTCCTGGAGGCACCTTCCCGGAGGTGGACAGGGATGGGCAGTGGAGCTGGTGGCCCAGGGCTGGGTTCCCTGAGTCTGGCTCAAGCTGGGGAAAAATCAGTTGGGTGGGCGCAGGTGGCCCTAGACCTTGCTCAGAGTAGCCAGGCTTTCCTCTGTCCTGGGGAGGTGTGCGTACCTGCTGCTCCTGCAGCCTGCTGCCTCCACCCAGATCAGCAGCTCCTTTCCTTCCTCCCTTCCCGGAAGATTCTGAGGATGACAGCTCTTAGCCTGACTCTCATATTTCTCTGGCAGAGCAGTTAGAGGCCAGGCGGACCCGTGGAGACACCCCCTTCCTGCTCCTGTCCTCAGGAGAAAACTTAGAAACTTTTTACTGTTAGAAGCACGGGAGCTGGGAACCTGGAAGTGGGTTGTATCTGATTCTAAAAGTTCCTCCCTCTCTCTGTCATTACCTTATGCTGCCACAAAGTGGTGAGTTAGAGATTTGCCTGGGCTGGGTGGGCTTTAAATTCCATTGATGACCCAGAATCTTATCATCTTGGAGCAAGGGAACCAGCTCTTTGGCAAGGGAACACTAGCAAGGGAACATGCTCCGCGGCTAGCATGCCTTCTCACACCGCAGAGGCAAACTCGTAATAGGGTACATTTTCCTCTAGGTCTTTTTTTTTTTTTTTTTAAGATTTATTTATTTATTTATACAAGCACTGGGTACAGTCAGAGGCGCAGGAGGGTGAGAGAATTCACCAGAGCCAGAGCAGGGAGTAGAGCAGGCAGAGTGATGAAGTACACTGCTGAGGGCAGCAGCGGGCGGCAGGAGAGGTCTGCGCGCCATGTTGTGGGACCCTCGCCCAGCGGCCGGGGATCGAACTGGTGCTGCAGAGGCTGCGGGCAGCTTCGCAACGCAGGGCTCAACCACCGCGCCACCGGGGAGGCCCTCCTCTAGGTCTTGATACTGTCATAGAGATTCAGAGGATTTAGGAAATTTTTTTTTTTTTTGAATGGGACATCGATAAAGTAGGGAAGTTCTGGTGTGTTGACATCAAGACAGCGTGACTCTGTGGACCTGTCCCCCATCATATTTTGGCTCAGGCCCCTGCAGTGCCATCCATACATATATGGGGAGAAACAACAGATGTATGGTCAGGGCGGGGGCCACAGGGCACAGTGGAGAGCCAGCCCCTTCCAGGAGAAGGTTTTTGAAAGAGTCTTCAGTTCTATGTAGTTCTTTATATTGACTGCCTGAGGCTGTTTTTGCCAGGCCCTAGCTATGGGAGACCTGAAGCCAGCAGGCTGTTCTGAGCAATTGTGTCCCGGGTTGAGACTCCAGGCTGCCATGTGAGAGGGGCTGGTAGGGCTCCAGGAGAATCCTCTCTGTTTTTATTTGTCTTATATAGTCAACTTCCTTGTAAGAATTTATTTGCAAAAAAAGTTCTACTGCGGAAATTATTGTTTTAGACAACGTGGCCCTGGCAGGTTGGTCTTCCCCTTTTTCCCTTAGCGCCTGGGCAGAATTTGTGACTTCTTTGTATTGTGAGCAGATCACCCCCCAGACTCTCACCGTGAAACACCTGATTCAGGAGGGCTTACGGGAACCTCGGAGCCTGAGATGCCCAGGCCCAGGGATGGGGAACTGAGGGTGGGCAGGGGTGGAGAGAGCACCGTCTCCTTTGCTGGAGGAGCTGAGTGGCCAGCAGACTTTGTGGTACGTGTGAAGGGCGCAGATCTCCCAGCTCTGAGCCTCTCTCCCTTCCCGGATGTGGCTTATGTCCACATGGCAAGTGCGCGCAGAACAGAGAATGCTCAGGGAACAACTGCACGTCGCCGCCTCAAACTCATGCTTTCTCTCTTCCCCACAGAACCCATCATCGGGGAAGGCAGAGCCTCCCTGGCATTGCTGGGACCCTGCCACGAAGATCCTCCCCATCCTGTAGGCAGAGCGTTGTAGTTGCTCTTGGTTAATGACTCGGGCTGTCCGACCAGTCCCTCTTCTGTGCCTTGCCTGAGGTCCTTGTCCACCCCCTCATCCCGGGCAGCTTCTCTTTCTGGGTTGGGTCACCTTAAGCGGGAAGCTGAAGCCGTTACTCTCCAAGCCCTGTTTCATCTTCCCAAGCATGTCGGAAAGCTGGCAGCAGCCGCCACAGACACAACCACAGCAGCCGCAGCCCCCGCAACCTCAACACCATGCAGAGCCGCCACCGGCGCTGGCTGAGCACACTCTGCCCCCGGGCACGGCTGAGAACCCCCTGGGCTGTGCGGTCTATGGCATCCTCCTGCAGCCAGACCCTGGCCTGCAGCCCCCGCAGCATGCACCCCTGCAGGCAGCAGGTGAGCCCGGCCCCAAGTGTGGTGTGTGCGGTCACGACCTGGCGCATCTGTCAAGCCCACATGAGCACCAGTGCCTGGCGGGCCATGACCGCTCATTCCAGTGCACGCAGTGTCTCAAGATATTCCACCAGGCTACTGACCTGCTGGAGCACCAGTGCGTGCAGGCTGAGCAGAAGCCTTTTGTCTGTGGCGTCTGCAAGATGGGCTTCTCGCTGCTCACCTCACTGGCACAGCACCACAGCGCACACACTGGCACTGGTGGCATCGTGAAGTGTTCCATCTGTGAGAAGACCTACAAGCCCACCGAGGCTGCCGAGCCGGCAGCCACGGCGGCCCCATCGCTGCCCCCCTCCGCCCCGCCCCCGGCCGTGGCCCCTGCTGACCCGGTGGAGAAACCCTACAGCTGCCCCATCTGCCAGAAGCCCTTCAAGCACCTGTCGGAGCTGTCGCGGCATGAGCGCATCCACACGGGCGAAAAGCCGTACAAGTGCACGCTGTGCGACAAGAGCTTCAGCCAGTCGTCACACCTGGTGCACCACAAGCGCACGCACAGCTCGGAGCGGCCCTACAAGTGCGCGGTCTGCGAGAAGACCTTCAAGCACCGCTCGCACCTGGTGCGCCACATGTACGCGCACTCGGGCGAGCACCACCTCTTCCGCTGCAACGTGTGCGAGCTGCACTTCAAGGAGTCTTCGGAGCTGCTGCAGCACCCCTGCACGCCCAGCGGCGAGCGGCCCTTCCGCTGCGGGGAGTGCCAGAAGGCCTTCAAGCGGCCCTCGGACCTGCGGCAGCACGAGCGCACGCACAGCGCCGAGCGGCCGTTTAAGTGCGACCTGTGCCCCATGGGCTTCAAGCAGCAGTACGCGCTCATGCGGCACCGGCGCACGCACAAGACCGAGGAGCCCTTCAAGTGCGGCCTGTGCGAGAAGGGCTTCGGGCAGCCCAGCCACCTGCTCTACCACCAGCACGTGCACACCCTCGAGACCCTCTTCAAGTGCCCCGTGTGCCAGAAGGGCTTCGACCAGTCGGCTGAGCTGCTGCGGCACAAGTGTCTCCCCGGCGCGGCAGAGCGGCCCTTCAAGTGCCCTGTGTGCAACAAGGCCTACAAGCGGGCGTCCGCCCTGCAGAAGCACCAGCTGTCCCACTGCTCGGCGGCCGAGAAGCCCCTGCGCTGCACGCTGTGTGAGCGCCGCTTCTTCTCCTCCTCGGAGTTCGTGCAGCACCGCTGCGACCCCGCCCGAGAGAAGCCGCTCAAGTGCCCGGACTGCGAGAAGCGCTTCAAGTACGCGTCGGACCTGCAGCGGCACCGGCGCGTGCACACCGGCGAGAAGCCCTACAAGTGCCCCAACTGCGACAAGGCCTTCAAGCAGCGGGAGCATCTCAACAAGCACCAGGGGGTGCACGCCCGCGAGCAGCAGTTCAAGTGCGTGTGGTGCGGGGAGCGCTTCCTGGACGTGGCCCTGCTGCAGGAGCACAGCGCGCAGCATAGCGCTGCCGCCGCTGCCGCGGAGGGCGCCTACCAGGTGGCCGCCTGCCTGCCCTGAGCCCGGCCGTGGCCCCTCCCAGGCTGGCAGGAGCCCTCCACCCGGCCGTGTGCGCTGAGGTCCTGAGCATGAGGACAGACGGACAATGGGCAGGTGTGTGTGTGTGTGGGGGGCGGGGGGTGGTGCCTGGCTCTCTTGATACTAGCCTGGAGGTTGGGGGAACCAGATTGCTCCAACTGGTCCTGATTCCACAAACCTCTTTCCCAATCAGGATTTGCTTTCTGAGTTGCCAGCTTCCCTTGTCTCTGGGAGTCTGGCAAGTCAGGCTGGAAGTCAGGTGGCCTCTTTACCCCAAGGAGGGTGTGGTACCAGCCCAACTTTCCCAGTCCTTTCACCAGCAGACAGGTTAGAAAAGAAGGTGGTCACGGGGGAAACTGGCAGAAGGGCTGGACCCCAGAGGTATAGGGGATTCCCCCTTCAAGTTACCTTTTGAGCAAAAAGGCCAAACTGTGACGTCGTCCTGGGTACCAGGAGGCCAGACCAAAAGACCAGCTCTCTGCCTGTGCTAGCCAGTGGCCATGTGTCTTCTAGGTTTCTGCCAGGCCAGACCCACAGGCGGTGCATTCTGTGGCCTGGGTCTTCCCTGGAGAGCAAGCGGCCCAGCCAGAGGGAGGAAGCCGAGAAGCTCTCCTGTGATGTGTTCAGCCACAGTGTGTCCACAGGGAGCGGAGGGAAGACAGCCTTTGCACTGAAGGCTAATCCCACTGAAGGCTAAGCACACCTCACCTCCGCAGTGGTTCTGAGCTATGGTGGGGAAATGCTCTCAGCCAGGTGGACCAGCTGGCATGAAGGAAGGGGGGTGTTAGACCACCTGGTGCCTGGAGGAAGCAGGGCCAAGCCCAGTCTTCCCAGTGGGTGCAAACCAGTGTCCTCCCCCTTGAATTGTGAGAAGCACGCTGGCGCCAGCCCTGCTTCAGGGCCAAGACCAGGCCTAGGTACTCAGAGGCGGGGAGGCAAGCAGATTGGCCATGGCCTCTGACCCCGCAGTCCCCTAGCCCATGGAAACCCTCCCCCATCAGCCTGGCTCTGGCCTAGACCCTGGGGTCTGTGCCGCCAGGACACCCTGGACAACATCCGGGTACTTCCAAGGCCAGAGCATTTCCCTTGGGTCCTCCCAGGTCTTCGACTGCCCTTGAGCCTTATGGAGCCAAGGGTGTCTGGGGCACGGAGTGGGCAGTTAGGGGAAGAAGGTTGTTAAGAAACCACTAGGGGGATGGAGTCCACTGGTTTCCCTGGAGGCCGGGGCCCTGCTTGGAAGTCTGCAGGACCGTCATTATCAAAACAGTAGTTTTGAACGTGGCTCTGTCCCTGACCTCTTGCAGGCCCCCTTCTTGGTTGTGGGTCTTGAAAGAAGACTTTAATCACTGCATGTACCAAGAGCCCAGAGGAGCAGGGAGACCCTTGTCTTACTCTCCCCTTCAGAAGTCTGAGAAGCCCCATCGCCTCATTTCTCTGGGTTCCCTTCCTGTGCCCGCCCAGAGGGGCTGGTCCGGCCCCAGTGCTGGCGCCCCTTTACGACGCCTCACAAGACATAGAGCCCAGGCTTACCATGTCCCAACTGCTCATTTTTTCCCTTTCATTTTGCTTTCTAAAAGCAGTTATTATTCAATAACATTGTATAGTTTATTTCATGTCATTTTGGATCTTATATAAAAATGTGAGAATTTGGATTTTTTAAAACGACTCCATTTTAGATAGCCCCTTTTGATGTTAATATATATATAGTGAGTCCAGCGTATGCTTTAGAAGTAAAGACACTGACCACCAGAGACCAAAGCTCTGCTCGTGCGGGTGATTCTTCTATGGGGGCATGATGGTGCGTGAGCTGGGGTGGGCAGGCCAGGGTGGCAGGCGGGGAATGGTGCATAGTCTGGTCTTGTGACCTTGCGTAAGTCACTTAACCTCTTTGGAGCTCAGTTGCCTCGTGTGTGAAATGGGGCGGTTAACCCTTGGCTGGCTGGCTTATGGTGAGAGTTATTGGTAGATGGAGTCGCGTCTGGAGGTCCTGGTGGGAAAGCTGGGAAGACACTGACGGTACCAACTGCAAGACAGCTGGGCCCCCGGGAGTGGCCCACAACCACTTGATCTTGGGGTTTTACTGCAGCACCTGAGAAGGGAGCTGGGCTGCCAGAGACCAGCAGCTCCCGGATGGTCAGAGCCAAGGGACTGGGCCTGTAAGCATGAGAGCTTGTTTCGCCCCAGTGGTAAACCAAGGGCCGGCCTGGCCCCAGGGCCCTCTCCTCGAGGGTCACCTGTTTTCGCCCCACTTCTACTCACCTTGTCTCAGTGACCCATTGCACACCAACCCAGCGACCTCCCCTCTCACCCCGTTCTCTATCCCATTGCTGCCACCCCGCCAGCCAGCTGTGACTCAGGCCCCTGCTTCTTAAAGGCAAGCATGGAGGTGGGGAGGGAGGGGGCAACAGTCTCCTCTGGTCTGAGCATTGAGAGCTGGTGGAGGGTGGGCAGTAGGGATACCCGGACCTGGAGGCAGTGGGGGGTGGATAGAAAGTTAAGACAGGGAGATACCCACGCTGCAGGGGGCTCAAAACCTGGGTGTAAAAGGCTTAGTTTGAAATGCCAGGGGGTCCCTGGATGTGAACTGGACCCCACACTCCTGGCTCCCTCTGTGTGTGTGGCCATTGCAGGACCCCAGCCTCGAGAAGCCATGTGGTTCCTGCCCTCAGGGTCCTGGCATCTGTGCCAGGCTCTCATCCTGGCTTCCTTTCTAGCTGAGTGGCTGTAGGTAAAACCTGCCCAGCTGGCAGAGCCTCCTGGAAAGCACCAATGTGTCCTGTGCCTCTGCTTACAGCTGCAGGCTGCCCTTCCTAAGTGGGCAGTGGGTCGTGTGTGCCAGGGCAAATGCCAGGGCAGGTGCAGCCTGGGCTAGGTGTGGCCAAGCCCCTGTGGAGCCATGAGTTTCTTTCCCTTTGTCCCCACATACCCCTCTCACAAAGCAGAAGGGCTCCACCAGCCTCCACCTGGTCCTCAGGCTCCAGCTTCAGCCTGGACTCAAACCAGGAGTGAATGGAGCCTGGGCCTCGGCCCCTCGGGTTGGGCAGGTTCAGGTCCTAGCCCTTACATAACCAGTGACTTCAGGCAGGGTGCTGCCCCTCTGGGGACTTTAGTTCCTCATCTGAAGCAGAGGTCTGGAGCCCTGATCTTGGAGGGCTCTTGGGGACCTGCTGCTCTGATTCTGGGGAGGCCTTTCCCTCGCTGCCTATGCCGCTGCAGCCTTCCCCCTCCTGCCTGCTCTGCCCCACCCCAGGTGTAAGTGACAGAACAGCACACACCGGCTTGAGCAGCCACCCCTGCACTTGGACACACACGCAGGTGTCTCTCCCACCTGCCGGAGAACCCCTCCTGATGGAGTCTCCGTCTCTCCGAGCATAGCGCTTTCGTGGGGACTTCAGACATCACGGCTGGGGATAGAAACTGGGATTGTCTTTAGTCTCTTTCAGTTCCCTTTGCCCCAACCACTGACCGGTTGGTAAAAGGGTGATGCCTCGGGGCAAGAGGTGACATCTGGATGAGGCCTGAGCTGGGAGGGGCGAGGGGGGAGACTGGCATAAACAGCACGTTTTGGAATTAGTCATTCCCCCTAGCTGGGAAAAGAGGTGCTGAATTGGAGGGCCGCGGGGGTTTGGATGGGCGTAGAAGACCATGCTAGGCAGGCAGGGCCGCCGATGGCAGCTTTCCTGGGAGCCCATCATCCTGTGTGTCGCTAAGTCTGTGCTGGCCCTGCAGGGGGACAGCGGGAGAGGAACATCTTCCGCTGCTGGTGTGCGGGAACCGGCTGGCGGTGCTGCGAGCTTGTAGTTAAGAGCACCGCAGTCAGATCTGGCTGGAGTCCTACCTCTGCACTTAGTGGCAGCAGGCCTTTGAGCAGGTGGTTCGACCCCTCATCTGTGAAATGGAGCCAGTCATGCCGTCTTCTGGGCTTTGGGGCACACTGGCATGACTGTGCAGGGTATTTGGCACTGAGGTGCCATGACGGGAAGCAGAGCACAGAGGACTGAGGCAGGACGCAGCCAGCCCAGCTCTCCCACTGGGATGTCAGGCTCTCCCGACCCTGACACCCCATTCATAGGCCTCTCTCATCCACCAGCTGTTCTGACCCTCATACCGGTTCCATGAGACGGTTCGGGGCAGACAGGAGTAATGACTTTGTCCAATCCTTGAGAAGTCCAGGGGCTGCCCGAAGCCACATGCAGTTCAGACAGTGATGAAAGAGGCGTGGAATGTGGGCACTGCCAGGTGGGCCAGGTGGGGGGTAGGCAGTGTTGCCGGGACAGCCTTTGGCTCTTAACATGCTGGCCTCCAGCTCCAGCGGCTGCAGCATGGGGCTCTGGCTCCAACCCACTCTTTGCTGGCCAGGAAGCGGGAACAATGGCCGGGACCGGTGTTGGCACTGGCCTACCCAGGGGAGCAGGAAAGCTCTTCACCAGCAGGCGGAGGGGGGCGGCCTGCCCTCTGGCCTGCTCTCAGCTAACTCCTTGAAGGACTGAAGCTGCTGCACTTTTTCCCATCCTTCTTGAGGCAGCTCTATAAAGAGCCCAGGCCTCCCCCAGCGCCATTGTGCAGGGCCTTCTGTGTCTCCAACTTGACCCCCAGCCTCCCACTCCATCCCCTCCTCCGGACCAGGCCGCAGGCAGGATCCTGGGCCGCAGAGGCTTTGGAATTGGCTCAGGGCCTCCCAGCCTGGGCGAGGCTGCCTGTGATAAGCTCCTTCTGCATCCCATCCTCAAACCTGTGGTTTCTTTGTTCCTTGAAGGTCAAGCCTCCAGGAAAAGCCTTGGCCGCTATTGATTTTTACAAATCTACAAAGATTCCGGTTGGAATGCCTCGTCCTCCTCTGGGCTCTGAAAAGGAGGTCAAAGGGAGGGGTAGGGGTGGGAGGGGGTTTGTGGGGTCTCCCCCTTCACTGCGTGTGGGGTCTGCGGTCCTGCCTTTGTTCACCCACAAGCTTTCTGAGCACCTGCTGTTTGTTAGGCGCTGAGCTGGTGGTGCAGGGCGGGAAGAAAGAACTTCAGAGAAGAGAGTTTGGAGGTTCTGTGTATGAAAAGGTCCAGTGACAATGTCAAAGCTTCTGATATTTACTGTTAAATACTCCCTGACCCACACACCTCCCCTCCCTCAGCCAGGACCCGCCTCATTCCTCATCCTCTCCCCTTGCTACCCCCAAGCCCTGGGTGAGGATGTGTCCTGTGTGTTATTTGTAATAAACACAACTATTACTGTAGAATAGTTGTTTCATTTAGTACAGGTCTCTGTGGGGTTCTGAGCCCCATTCCTGAGCCCCAGGTCCAGGTAGAGATCAGAGAGGCCTGCAGGTATTTCCAGAGAACCCCCCAGTGGGCTGGAGGCCATGAGTTCCTGTTTTCAAGGTGACAAAGAATGGGGGCAGCAGGGAGATTTGAAAGAGGCTTTCCTGGCAGAAAGGGCAGGGCAGGCTTTGGGGAGGAAGAGATGGGGAGGCATGTCAGGGGGAAGAAGCCTCTGAACAAAGTTGGGAGGCAGATGAGAGCCAGGTGTTTGCCTTAGCAAGCAGGCTGGTGGCGGGGTTTGTGTCGGGGTATAATGTCAGGGTCCCGGTAAGGCCAAGGAGGTTGGGCTGTCCCCAAGGCAGCGGCCTCAGGGAGGATTTCTAGTAGGATCTATTTCTGATGAGCTAAGATCCCCTTTGAGGTTGAGGGAACTTTAACCCAGAGGTGGTCCAGGCTGGGTTGGGCAGGGGTGGGGGGGGTGGGGGGGGGAGGGTGGACCTTCTTTCCATCTCTGGGTGGGATTTACAACTTGGAGGCTCTGCCACTGACAGCAGACCTGGCGGGGCATCTGCCTCCTCTAAGCCCCATCGAATGCCCCACCCCTAGAAACGTCCTCTCTGGTCCCCTCCCTGCTCTCGGCTGGCATCTTTCTCACAGTGGGGAGGCAGTGGTGTGGTGGCCACGGGCTAGGGGCAGACAGGCTGGCTTCAGTTCCCAGCTCTGCCAACCACCAGCTCAGTTCAGGTGTGACCTCCTCTTCGGGTCACTTGACTTCCCAGCGGCCATTTCATCATCCGAAAAGTGGGTCTAAAATTACCTACCGCGTGGGAACTGCAAAGTGCTTAATGCATTGCCTTGCACTTAACAAATAGAAAGCACATACTACATCTGGCTTGTTAATGCTCCTCGACTGCATTTCCTTTGTACTTAGGCAGGCATGCGGCTTTCTATTTGTGCAATTGGGATTCAGTGTCCAACTGGTGAGCAAGAAGTGGTTGAATCGTTGGTGTGGTTTACCATGCACGTGATCTTGGGCCGGAAGAACGTGAGCCAGGTGGGCCCACATTCTCACCTGCTTGCAGGTTTGAATGGGCTGTGCCTGTCTCTCCCACTGGCCTGGAAACAACTCAAAGACAGCGATGGCATCCGGTGTGTGTCCTCCAGCCTCTAGCATGGGGCCTGGCGAGGCCTCAAGTGGCTGCTGGGCCAAATTCCAGGGTGTGCTCAGTCGTTCGGTGTCCAGGAAGCAGGGCCAGGAAAAAGCTCCCAGCGCTCGCTGCCCGGGATGCTCTCCGGAGCTCACCGGTCCCCAGTCTCTCCCAGCCAGGACTCAACCGTCCCCACTGTGAGCCTTGGGCTCTTCTCTCAGCTGTCATATTAGGGGGGCACTCAGGGCTGCAGATTGTGGCTTTGACGCTGGGTGCTCTACCGATGACTCCCCCAGGTTCAAGCCAGCTGGACTGCCCATTGAGCTCGGAGGAAAGGCTTCTCCCTGCATGAAACGGGGGAGGGGGCAGTACCCCCTGAACAGTCCTCGGGGAGGAAGGGGCTTTGTGATGTCTTACTACTTCCTGTCTGTTTCTCCTCATGCTGCTCCTGTCTCCTACCCACTCTGTGTCCATACTTCAGGACAGATGGACACCAGGGTCCCTCACCTATGCCTCAGGGTGAGGATCGTCACCTCCACTCCTAAATGAGATTAAAATCAGCCTTGAGTCTGCCCAGCAGGCTCTGAGTGCGTGGCGGACAACAGCACAGCTCATGCACTGGTTTATCACCCAAGGCTGAAGACGGCCGCTCTGGCAAATAGTGAAATCTACGAGTATTGAGCACAAATGATATGGGAACCTTGGTGCCAAGTGCTGGGATTTGCTTTGAATCCCGGATTCTGGGTTTGGCTGGAGGTTAACCACTTCCTTGATCCCGACTTCCGTTTCCATCTATGAGTCAGGAGCGCAGTGATTCTGCTCACTTTCCAGGGTGCCGTGGGGTATGAAGCTGGGAGGATGGGAATGGGCCTCCTGATAATGTGTTCTAAACAGCATGACACAGGGCCGCCAAGTGGAGGGGCTGGCATTATTCTTTCAACTCCTCCCGCCCGAGACCTGACCTGCATGTAACAGGTGCCCAGTAAATAGCAGTGGAGGGGAGCAGAGGGTGTGGCTGGGGTTTCCTAACCATTGTGGGCACTGAATCTGGAGAATCAGATAAAAATAAGAGGCCTTCCCATAGACAATGCACAGGGGCGGACACATGGTTTCACATGTGATTTCAGGAGGTGTGGGAATCCCTGCAGGCTCAGCCCCCAGCCCCAGATGTCCTGTGCATACAGTTCTGCAGCTTGGTGGCTATTTACCCTGCTCTGGGCTGTCCTTGCAGACAGCCCTCAGGTGGGCTGGGGCCAGGAGTCAGCCAGGCCTGGGAGCTAAATGCTGATGCCCTGCAGCCCCCTAACCATGCTGGAGACACTCTCCCTTGGTTCTTGGGGTGGGGACACCCTGGGCCTGGCCTGGGGTACACATGGCTGTCCCTTGGTGCATCCTGTCTTTCTTTTTGTAGGTTGGTAAGCCAACAATGTTCACAGGAACAGAGGCATGGGTCTACCAGAGCTTTACCCCACCTCTTCAGGGGGACCCAGGGCTCAGGGAAGTCCCACAGAATACACTGGGATGGCAAGAGCTCCAGAGAGAGGATTCTAAAGCTCTATTTTGTATCCCTTTTTTTCCCTTTAGGGCTCAAGTCTAGAGTGTGAGGTGGAGAGGCTTGGCTGTGGGGCTACCTCCAGGGGGCAGGAGGCACAAGGAAAACCCAAATTGCAGGCCTGCCTCTGTACCTCATCCCCAGCTGGGCTTGGGGTTTAGACCCTGACTCTCTACCTGGGATCACTAGATGTCTTTCAACTGCAGGAGCTGACAGGGACATGTAAGAGTAAGACATTGTCATCCTGAGGTCCTGACCTCTGTCAGTCTCTATCACACACACACACACACACACACACACACACACACACACACACACACGAGCCTGGTGCCTCCCTCTGGGAGCATTAGGTTTATTTCCAAACAGGCTGTATTCTTAGGGAGCTGCCACCATACACCCTTTGTCCTGCTGGGGAGCCTGTGGTGGCATGGTCCAGCAGCCCGGGGTCCATATCTCCTTTTCGCAGATTAATGCCATGGGACCAGGTAGTCGACACGACTGTGGAGAAAAACAAGTGAGTTAGGGCCTCCAGGTGGCCTGCGGGAAATCAGTCTGCTCTTCCCTAGGCTGCTCCCCCAAATTCACCTTCCTGTCCTCAAGGCTCTGAACACAACTTCTATTCTGTCTCTCTATGGCTCCAGAATCTTCCATGGCTCCCTATTTCCTTTCATGTATTTTCAAAGCTGTACTGTTTGACTTTCCCCGCACCCTTCCAGTTGGCCTCATCCTTTTCTCCCACCGATTCCCCATCATGTAATGCCTGACTCATTTTTTTTAAATCATTTAGCAAACCTACTCTGGCAGGCAGTATATAGTAACAAAACAAAAAAATATAGATCATTCTTGTGTGCGCGCTGGGTGGGTGAGACGGCAGTAGTCCACATGCTGCGGGTCGGGGTGAGGGGGGCGTCCAAGGGGTGACCAGGTGCAGGGGTTTTGAGGCTGGACTGTCAGGGCTTTACCCAAGAGTTTTCCAGCAGAGAAGGAACAAGGAAAGCTCACCAGGCACGGAGGTGGCAACCACAGCGTGGAGCGTTTGGGTGGCACCCAGGAATCTGGGACTGCGGTAGCGCAGGGGTGGGGCTGGAGAGGTGGAGGGGCTAGCCGGCTTCCCCCACTCCCCGGGGAGCACTGGCTGCAGAACTCACCACCCACCCATACCCCGAGGCAGTTTCTCGGTGCTTCCATCTCCTTTCCTCTTTGCCCGCTTACTCTTCCGGCCCCAGGTCTCCTCCCAGGTAACCCCTTTTGGCTTCCTTTGAGCCCAATCAGGTGGGGCACGCCCACCCCCTCCCCATTAACCAGGAGGGTAAAGCCCTCCCGGCGCCTCCCATGCGGGGGGCGGGTAGGGGGTGCGCTTTGCGGGTGGGTGGAGAGGTTGTGTGAGAATCCGTGGCGCCCCCAGGCGGCTGTGCGTGTGCAGCCGGCGGCCACACCTGCGCGGGGCCCGCCCCTACCTGTAGGAGGAGCCGAAGCGCCGGAAAGCGTTCCTGCGGGCAGAGAAGCGGGGGTCCGAGGTGGGGGCAGTGGCGACCCCCTCCCGGAACCTGACTCCCACGTCGGGGGTCACCCCCTTCCCACCACCCCACCGCAAGAAGGTCCCTGCCCCTCGGCTCCCCCGCAACGCCCCGCTCCCCACGCGGGGCTGCCAGGGGCTGGCTGCGGGGCGCCCCGGGAAGGAGGAATTACTCATTTTGAAATTTCGTGCAATTTTCTTGCGGTGTCCCGGAGCCAAGCAACTCTTCGCAGGTCTCATATTTTCAAGGGCCACGGAGTGTGCGCTGGCGAAGGCGGCCCAGACCCCACCCGACCGCCCCGGGGTACGGGGTTCGGGGCCCGTGGCTTTACTTACAGGGATTCGAAAGGCAGGGGCTTCTGTCCGTAGCGATCCAGGCTGGGGCTCTGGTTGAGACAGTACTGGGGAGAGCGAAAGGGATAAGGAAGTGGGTGAGCCGGGGGCCCCCCAAGTCCCTCTCCCGCCCCCCGAAACCCCCCAGTGCTCTCTGAGGTGCAGAGGCCCTGGGGTCGGGAGATCCCGCTCACGGTGTCGTCTCCGCCTCCCGGTGTCACCCCTTCAGTGTGGGTGATACCCCTCCCCCCAAATCCCCCGGGCCCCAGGTGCAGGTAAGCACGACGCCTTCCCCTACCCGCCAGCTCTGGGTCACGTCCGGCTTCAGGTGCCGCACCGCGTAGCCGCTGAAGCCCTGCACTGCGCAGAGAGAGCCCGGCTCGGCCCGGCCCGGCCCGAGCAGCCCCGCCCCACACCTGTCCCCCGAGCCAGCCCTGCCTCCGCCGCCCGGTCCGCCTTAGCCCCGCCCCAGGCCCTGCTCCCGAGTCCCACAGCCAGCCTCGGTGGCTCCTGGGGACCGGACCACACCCCCGTCCCCTCCTCTAGACCAACATCACCTGGAGGTCCCCCAGCCTGGCTCAGCCCTGCCTGCTATATCAGTACCCCAGTTGCCCCCCAGCTTTCCTGCTTCCTTGCCAGGGCCCACCCCTGACATGTCACCCCCACCTTCCCACACCTCACCCCTTCCTCCCCCATGTGCCTGGGCTTGTGGTCTGGGCTTCGGGTCCAGCTCCAGGGACACCCCGCTAGGCTCTCCCAGAGCCCTGGGGCCGCCTCCGCGGGGTGGACTCACCCCTGTTGCTCAGGCAGGGCAGCTTGAACTCGCCAGCCGAGGACACAAAGTGGGACCAGTCCTCGATGGCGCTCGTGAGGCAGGGCCAGTCGACCCTGCTGATGCCCGGAGCCATGGGCACCAGCCTCCCCTCGCGGCACCTGTCGTGGACCCTCCGGCCAGTCTGTGTGATGTCCTGCCAGGGCGAGGGGAGTCACGACCGTGGAGGCAGGTGTAGAAACTTGGGGGGCGGGGGGCAAACCCACAGCACCCCTAGGCTGTGGGCTCTCGGTTCATCTGAAGGAGGGGGCCCTGAAGCCCCTGAAGGAGATGGGAAAGACAGGGGTGGGGGGCAAGGCAGTGGCTGAGGAAATACCGGGTGCAGAACCCGGGATCCCAGGAGCTTGGGACTCGGTGGGTGCCCAGGGCCCTCCTGGCCCCTTCCCTGAGCAAACCCAAGGCCTGGGGCAAAGGATACTCACCAAGCACTGCAGGGGTTTGTTGGGGACTCCCAGGAGTGTGAAGTAGGCGTTGTCAAATTCATCTGAAAAGGAAGAAGAGGCGGCTCCAGCACGAGTGGCCCCTGGGACGCAGGAGGGCTTGGGCCCACCCGCACTGCTTTATCCTTCTGAAATATTCCACAACTGAAAACATATAAGCTCAAGTTGATTTTTACTGTGCGCGTTTACAACTGAATAGCCTCCAAATAGATCAAAGCTTTCAGTGTAAACAAACGAAACCATGGAAGTACTAGCAGGAAACACAAGTACATTTCTTTAGAAATTTGGGGGTGGGGGAGGGAAGGCCTTACGACTCAAAATCTGCTAGATTTAGAGAAAAGTTTGGCAACTGGCTACATAAAAATGAACATATTGGGCCTCCCCTGGTGGCACAGCGGTTGAGCGCTGGGTTGCCCGCAGCCTCTGCAGCGCCAGTTCGATCCCCGGCCACGGGGAGGGTCCCACAAAAAAAAAAAAAAAAGAACATATGCATGCAAAATCAACAAAAGAGAAGTCAGAAAACAAATGAGAAAATATCGCCATTTGTTTTACAGATAAGGGGCCATTCCCCCTAGCAGTGTAAACTCCCCTAGCAATCTGGACCAAGCGGGGAGGGTGAGGGAGGAGGAAGAAGTGTTGTCCCCTGTACTTCATCTCCTTCTTACCTTCCAAAACCCTCCCCACTGGTCAAACATCATCACTTCTTGAAGCCTGCGGTCTCTCCCAGTGATCCAAGTACCCCCCACTACCTCTGGATTTATGATGCACCTCTGGTCTTTCTGGGCTGCCTTCCTCATCAACCACCCTCCCTCCCAGGCCGAGACCTCTTTTCTGCTTAGTCTTCACCGGTTCCTAGTCGTCTCCAGAGAAAGTCCAGGCCCCTGAGTTTAGCAACAGGGCTCTCTCCCTGAGCTGTGCTGCCATCTGCAGCCGCCACACCTGCTCTTTGCCTGCTGTCCAGCCAAGCCTCTCAGGGTTACCCAACACCTCACCTAGTGTTCCTCCTCCAGGCCTCTGCGCACGCTCTTCCCTCTAGCTGGAATGCCCTCCATTCCCCTGCAGTCCCAGCACAGTATCCCACGCTGAACCTGGATGTTAGCGTGGCACCCCTGCCTGCATGCCCCAGCTTCTCAGTCCACAAAGGGTTGTTGCATTGGTCCCTTTAGGCCCGTCATCTGCCCTCATGGATTTTTCTGGGAGACCTCTCTCTTCAAAACCACCCACCCCTTCCTCAAAGACCCCAAGTGTGGCCTGACCTTTTCGGCAGTAGGTAGTGGACTGGCTGTGCTCATCGGAAAGGCAGCCTCTGACGGAGTCCATGTCCATGCGGCGCAGGGTGGGCAGGGCCGGGTGGTAGAGCTGATGCTTCACACCGGCCAGCTGGTTGCGCCTGCGCATCGGGAGCAGGATGACCGGGGTTGCGCACACGTGGGTGGAGCTGTCCGCCAAGGGCTGCAGGTCGGTGATGCGGGCCATGGCTGCGGAGCAGGAGGCACTAAGAAGCATACCTGGGGGGCCTCCCCGGTGGCGCAGCGGTTGAGCGCTGGGTTGTGAAGCTGCCCGCAGCCTCTGCAGCGCCGGTTCGATCCCCGGCTGCTCCCCGGCCACCGGAGGAGGGTCCCACATGGCGCGCAGACCTCTCCTGCCGCCCGCTGCTCCCCTCAGCAGTGTACTTCGGTCCTTCTGCCTGCTCTGTTCCCCTCTCTGGCTCTGGTGAATTCTCTCACCTTCCCGCGCTTCTGACTGTACCCAGTGCTTGTATAAATAAATAAATAAATAAATAAATAAATGCAAATAAATCTTTAAAAAAAAAAAAAAAAAAAAAAAGCATACCTGGGGCTCAGGCCACCCAGACACCCTTTTATGTGGGAATGCAGCCTTGACCAGTGCTGATTCGTCTACGTGTCCAACACTTTTTGGGCACCTGCTGTATACCAGGAGCTCCGCCTGTGGTATCAGGGACATTCAGACACCGACACATGCCAGGATGTGCTAAGATCTCTGTGTCAGACATCAGTATAGGGTGTGTGTGCAGGGGGCAGGGCCAGGCCGGGGTGGGGGCTCTCAGGATGGTCACAAGAGGTGACTTTGAGTCTGTTCTTAAATACTGAGCAGGAAGAAGCATCAGCAGCAAGCGGGTTCAGAATTTAGCTCAGAATACCTCTGGGTAACTAATTATGGACTTTTGGCCTTAGCTAAGGTATCTGGCATTTACTCAGAATTCTACAGGGAGGGAGGCAGAGAAAAGTTTTAAAGACAGGGAGAGACTTGATAGATATGAAGCAGAAAAACATGGCTGGTGACCCAGTGTCTCCCCTTAAAAGGCAGGTATTCCCAGGAGCCTTTTAGTCATTTAAACTTTATCAAAAATTTGTGGACTCGGTTTGCTTGCTTGCTTGCTTTCTGACCCCCCCAGTGAGAGGGGAGGTGGGGCAGGTGGCAGGGGGTAGGAGGAGGGAGGAGGGAGGACTCAGGCCCCGGAGGAGCATGGAGAAAGAGTCCACGACAGGCTGGGAAGCTATCTCCAGGGCAGGCCTGCCTGGGGAGTGACAGAGAAATGGAACCAAGAGGGAAGTGAGGATTCCCTGCTTCAGACCCAGGGCAGCGAATCCCGATCTTCTCCTCTTCTGCCAGCTCAGTGGGGAGAAGGGGGAGGGAGATGAGCTGGGGCCCAGCGTCTTGTGAGGCAGGCAGAGAATAAAGGAACATTCTGCAAAGACAATGCCCCTTACATCCTGATTGTGAGGGCACCCTGTAGTCCGCAACCCTGGCAACCTCATGCTCTGAGGCGCTGCCAGAGGTCCTGTGCACTGCCCCCCACCCCCAGCCCCACCCCATCTTCCTTCCCCAAGGTTGCTATCTCCCCAGCTTCAGCCTAGGCAGGCATCTTGAGACATGTCAAGAGCTGGGGCTCTCTGGGGGTGGCCGAGTTAGGCTGGCCAGAGCAGGCCGTGTGGCCCTGGGCTAATTACTTTTTCTGGGTTTTAAGACCCCAACTGTGTTAAGCAGGAACGGTTGTCTGTGATCTGGGGGTCTTTCCCCTGCCTATAAAGCCCAGGGTAGAGGGCACTCCTGCCAGCCCTTGGGTCTCCAGGGATGGAGATTTTTGAGAGTTGGTATCCAGGGTCAGCATAAGGGGATCAGGGAGATTGGTGGACTCAGCAGGACAGGGATTAGCAGCAGGTGATACTCCAATCCCTGTCCCCTGAAGACCTACAGCCTCCCTCTCTCCCTTCCTCCCGCAAAGCAAGGTCATGAGTGTCTAAGCCCAGCCCCCTGAAGTCCTAGGCCTGCCCACCACCCTGATCATAACTATTGGAGATGGATTCCCCCTCCCGCACCAGTGAGAGAACCCTGGGAAAGTCTAAGTTATTTGCATACATTGGCCTATGCTGTGCATACACCTGCCCAGGTGCTGAGCCTGATGGGACTGGGAGTGCTACTGTGAGAGCATGTAGGATTTGGTCCATCCAGCCAGAGCAGCAACCCCAGCCCCACCCATCAGGAAAATCTCCCAGACTTGACTCCACCCACCCCTCCCCCTAAGTTAACATTTAAATCTTTTAAGATCATAAAATATAGCAAAATACAGAAAGTGCATACAAATATAATGTAACTGATAATTTATAAAGCGGGACCCTGTATAACTACCACCCAGGTCAAGACACGAAGTACGACTTTGCAAAACAGTTTAGCACTTTCTTAAAAAGTGAAACCTAAATTTACTATCTAACCTTCCAATTCTATTCCTAGGAATCTTCCCAAGAGAACTGGAAAAAGCTCACCCAAAGGCTTGCATGCAAATATTCCTAGCAGTATCACTAATAACCCAAAGTGGACACAACGCAGGTGTCCACTGACTAGTGAGGATTAAGCAGACCGTGGTATATCTAGACCATGAAACTTCCTGAGAGCGAAAAATGATGCCCCATCTGCGCTTCAGTGTGGAGCAACCTCAAATCTCTTTTGCTCAAGGAAGGAAGCCAGGCACAGAAACGTCCCACATAAATGATCTCTTGATCTGAAATGTCCAGAAAAGGCAAATCTTTAAAGGCAGAAAGCAGATGAGTGGCGGCCTGGGTTTTGGGGGTGATTGAGCTTGGGCAGGAGGGATGTTACTGGGGTGAAAGGGATTTTTCAAAACTAGGTGGAGCTACTCGCAAAGCTCAGTTAATGGACTAAAACACATTGCATTGCGGATGCAACAGGAGAATTCTATGCCGTATAAATCATCCCTTAGTAAAATTGTTTTAAAAATAGATGCATGTTAAAGGCAGCAAAAAATAGGGCCCTGCCAGTCTCTAGAAGCTTCCAGATATCCCTTCCCAGTTACAACCCTCAAACCCTGTACGAGGTAACTGCTCCCTTACCACATAGTGTAACCACTGCTTTAAAGAGAAAAGTTTTACTATGTTTGCAGCCTTGGGCAAGACAGGCTAATTTTGCCCCTTCTGGGCTCTGTATACAAGGACAGTTGGGGTCTTTGAACCCTGGTTTCTTTTCCTCCATATAGATACACATGAGATTCATCCAAACTGGTCACCTCCTAGTCCCTGGATTCTTCCTGAAGGCCCAGATCTGGGACCACAGCCCAAGACAGGCCTGCAGAAGACACTGGGCCAAGGGGCTCTGTTAGGGTCTGGTCTGGGGCTGGAAGCTGATGTGTGGCTCCTGCCACTGCTGACTGAGACTCGATAAGCCCCTGCCACCTGGAGGAGTCTCTCAGATTTGCATGGGGACTCTGAACTTTCATTGTCTCATAAGTCACTCTGTGTCTTGGCCAAGATATGTAGGGAGCTAGGCCCCTGGCACATTGGCAGGTCCTCCAGCAACATGGGCTCCTTCCTGGGGCCCAGATCCCTGGTGGCCCCCTTAGCCTGCCCTCCTTTCTTCCACCACCACCTCTGTTGGGCACCTGCTAATCCTTTGCACACGGCCCGGCTTCTGCCCAGTAATCTCCTGTGTCTGAGAGGCCGGCTTTGAGGGGCAGGGAGAAGGCAGTTCCTGACTGGCGGTTGGCACCTGAACAGGTAACTCGGTGGAACTCGGCTTGACCCCAAGCTTTCCTTCTAGCATTTAGACCTGGAGAACCCAGCAAGGCTGGGGAATCTCCCTTTAGGGGCCTCAAACCTTTGTGTGCTTCAGAGTCTTCAGAGCAACTTGTGAAATGCAGATTCCAGGCCCACCAGAGGGTTGGGGGCCTCGAATCTGTTTTTTCACCAGCTCCCGAGAACATTCTGAAAGGCTGGTGGTCCAAGCCCTGTAGTTGCCCTGGGCTGCCACCCTCAGTCGCTGCTTCCCACTTGAACCTCCCTCATCAGCGTGGTCTTAGCAAGGGCAAGACAAAAATCTGGGAAGGAGCTGGAAACGTTTCCATTGGGGAGAAAATGACCAAGTCTGGGAGAAGAACAATTGGGAATGAGGAAGAATTCCCCTAGCCATTTCCAGAAGGTTTGGAAAGGTAAACCAGAAAGGATTTGTAGGACTGGCTTGCAGAAGTCAGTCCCAGGCAAATGCCAGTACCCTGGGGTAGGTGTGGGGCTCCAGACGCGAGTATGAACTCAGCTTGGCCACTTGCTGGCTGTGTGACTTTGGGCAGGTCTAGTGACCTCTCTGTGTCTCCATTTCCTTACCTGTGAAAACAGTGATGACTTTATTAAGGCCGGGAGGAAGTGGGGAGACGGAGGCTGAGTGTGATCATGGGCAGAACACTTAGCACTGTTTCAGTTCACAGGGCTGCCCAGGGCTGCCTGGGCCAGTCTCTCTGCCACCCTCAACGTGTGACCTGGGGCTCTACCAACCTGGGAAATCACTGCATCTGTACCCCTCAACCCAACAGCGAAATGGAAGACCAGAGGGCTTGTATCTAGCCCATGTTCATTTTTTTGGAGGCCGAGTCAGAGATCTGACTCCCCACCCGAGCTCTGTCCCACACGTAGAAGGGCAGACAGTGTGGCCAGAACCTGGGCTCTTGGGTTGGATCTTGGGCCCTGTGCTCGCCTTTTAAACCTGGAACCAGCATCCCTAGTGGAAGAGGGACAAGGAATCTCTCTAGCAATGCTTTGGCTGCCCATCGCTGGGGCAGGAATAGGGCTCACCGTGTTGGTCATTGCTTTGAAAGCGCTCTCCCGGGCTCAGAGCTGTGGGCATTGACGTGTGTGGTGCCAGCAGCCAGGATACCCTGCAGGAATGTAGTTATAAGGGCCTGGGCTTCCCATTCCTGGAAGAGAAATGATACCAGAAACTGAACCTGAAGTATCACGGTGAACCATGAAAAGGGGGTTTAACTGTCATTCTATCTTAAGCATTTTTTTTTAAAGATTTATTTATTTATACAAGCACTGGGTACAGTCAGAAGCGCGGGAGGGTGAGAGGATTCACCAGAGCCAGAGCGGGGAGCACAGCAGGCAGAAGGACTGAAGTACACTGCTGAGGGGAGCAGCGGGTGGCAGGAGAGGTCTGCGCGCCATGTGGGACCCTCCTCCGGTGGCCGGGGAGCAGCCGGGGATCGAACCGGCGCCACAGAGGCTGCGGACAGCTTCGCAACCCAGCGCTCTACCGCTGCGCCACCGGGGAGGCCCTATCTTAAGCATTTTTAAGTCATGAAAATAGGTTGATTTTATCTTCAACAAAGCAGATTTTCTGTTCAGAGGCTTCTGATCATGTATTTAAAATCTTTTTTATAGTGGGATGATAATGAGCAGATATTCCACAGTTTTGCTTGACACCAATTAATAGGCACAATCAATGTTTACTAAGCCCTCGGTGTGTGCCAGCCACTGTTCTTATCAGTGTGTTTTATCCTCCTAATCACCTCCACCAAATACCATTAATACTCCCATTTTACAGACAAGTAAACTGAGGTATGGAGAGTTTAACTGATTTGCTCATGACTGGAGTCCAGATCATGTACATCTTCCCATGTTAGCGTCTTTCTTCTTGATGGTTCTAGAATATTCCATTTTTGAGTGTATCGTAATTTCTTTAATGTGCACCCCTCCTACAGATAAACATTTAGATACTTTCTAATAACCCATCTCCTACTGATGAATATTTGGGTGTTTATCGTCTTTTGCTGCAACACCATTGTACCAACTTCTTTATGTGTTTGTGAATTTGAAAATTTCTAAATTTAAATACTTGGAGGTAGAACTGCAAAGCCATTTTAAAATATAATGAGGGAAAAAAAGAAAATGTGTAACCCACAAAAGCAGCCCCCAAATGGGTGCAACTGTGAGCACTCTGGGGGAAATCTAAGGACACCATCTCTTACAGGTGTCAGGATGTTGGGCTGGGTCCAGAGGGTGCTGCCTCAACCCCCAGGGACCCTTCAGAAGACCAAGAGGGAGGAGGAGGAGGACCGGGCAGAACCAGAACCAGAGCCCAAGGCGGAAGCAGAGCCAGAACCAGAGCCTGAAACAGAGGAGTCCGCAACCCTGGTAGGAAGACGATGGCGAGGAGGGCATGCTGGTCTCGCTGCCCAGGACTTCCCAGCTTGGGCCAGCTTCCCGCCACAGGCCTTCCACAACAAAATTTGAGTCAGAAGGAAAACTCCAGGCCACCTGGCTTGGCACTCGTTTTACACCAAGGAGGAAAGAGAATGGATAGGGCTTGCTCAAGGCTAACTTTTTCTGTTCAAAGGCTGGAGAGTAAATATTTTGGACTTTGTGGGTCTTGCCATCTCTGTTAATAGTCCACTCTGCCATTGTGAAGTGAAAACACTCACAGGCAATATATGAACATGGCTGTGTTCCAATAAAACTTTATTTACAAAAGCAGGCAGCCGTTTGGCCCAAGGGCCATTGCCTGCTGATATCTAGAATCTAGAGCAAGAGCTACTCAAAGAGTTCAGTCCACGAACTCTGTTACTAGCCCATGTGAGGTCAGGAGCTTGCAAATCTACAATGTACCTTCGTGCAGTATTTGGTAGTAAGACTTTCTCCATGAAGGATGTAGGTAATTGATCTACATTCTGGTGCATACTGCTTATTCATGTGGACCAGTCACAGTTTACAGACTGACACTGGTTCATGGATTACAGTTAGAGCAATATTTCTCTAGAAACTTCCTGCAAGTGCCTCAAAGCTTCCTAATTTTGCATCCCATCTGCTCAGGAGCCTGATGATGATGAATTCAGAAGCTCAACTGAACAGATTTGATTTAGCTTCTAATTGACGCCTGACCCTATGTGCAGTGCTGGGAGCATGATGATGTACAAGCCTTGCCCCTGGGAATCTATAGACTCAGCCAGGTCACTCACTGAATCCATGACTGTATTCACATGTTTGTGTTGTGTGCACATATTTATGTGTCCATACACGTGTGTGGACAATATCACATGTTTGTGTATGCATGTGTGCACGCAGTTTGTTGTCTGTACTTGTGTGCCCATGCATGTGTTTAGAGCAGATGCTTAGTTCACACATGTACAGGCGCATGTGTGTGCACACATGTTTGTGTGCCTTGCAGTATGCTCATTTGTGTGTATTTTATTGTGCTTTGGTGCATATATGAATGATGTGTGCATGAGAATGTGTTTGTGCGTCAGTGCAAGGCTGCACGTGTAAGTTGTGTACCTGCCGATGTTTATGTGAATGGGAATAACGTATATGTGGATGTGTGTGTACAGCACACACATGCCTGCGTGTGTATGCAAATGCCTGCGTATCTATGCAAATGCCTGTGCCTCTGTGTCTGTACCCTTGCAGACATATACACACACCTCTTGCAACATGTCTGTCTGTGTGTGTCAGGGCATATGTGTGCACAGCAGTAGAGGGTGTGGCTGCAGAGGCAACTGTGAGACAGGTGGCAGAGACTGAACCCCCCTGACTGCTAGAGGGGAGTGGAAGGCTTGGCCTTGAAGGGCAGGGAGAAGGTTGGGCACTGGCACAGGGTAGATTCCTTCCCTCCCCGTCCCCTCTGCTTGCCCCAAGGCTTCATAACGCTCTCTTAGTGAAGTGGGACAGCTTCCTGGCACATGTGATCGACCTGGGGGCCACCTTGGGGTGTGCGAGGATCGAGGGTGGATACAATGCCCTGCGGCTGGGAGGAAGGGAATATTCCAAGTGGAAGGCGAGGTACCAGGATTTACTGGGTCAGTTGAGCAAAGAGTTGTTTGGCTCTGTGTTTGGGGTGGGGATGTGTGAGGATCCCTGTGGCTGGGACACGGACTGCCCTCGCGTGAGCAAGGCTGGCCTCGCTGACGGCTGACACAGTCCCATTTGAACCCTCCAGCCACCTGAGGAGCCATTCCGGGGGGACGAGGTGGACAGAGGCTACGCGAGCCCTCAGGGTGAGTGGCGGAAGCCCAGCTCGGCAGGGTTTCCCCAAGAGCCTTGCCGTGGCTCAGGAGGCTGGCAGGCCCACTTCACAAAGGGGGAAACTGAGGCTAAGAGCAGGTAAGGGTGGGCTCCTGGGGACTTCTTTAGTTGAGCCAAGCCAGATCTTACCTCTAGCCCCCTTGGCATTCTCCCCTGCCTCTGCCTCTGCCTTAACCTCCCCCGCAGGGTAGAAACAGGCCTTGCTGAGGCTCCTGATCTAAAGTATGAGGGACTCTTTTCCAGAAATGCAGGAGGTTGCCCGCACTCTGGTCACATCCCTCCAAGCCCAGGTCGCTGTGGGCCCTGAAGTGAACAGGTACTGCACCCCCTTCCTTCTCTCCACCTCAGCAAGCACCCCGCGCCCCCCAAGCCAGGGAGCCACAGGGGCCCAAGACCGGCACTACTCTCAGGTTATAGCCAATCCCGGGTAAAGACCTGCAAAGTCACGGGAACTGGCTGCAGGGAACTTCAGGCAGAGGGTGGGGGTCTCTCACGCTCAAATGGCGAGACAACCAAGAGAAATGGAGGCTGGGGGCCAGCGGTCGCTCATTGTGTGGATGACATGCAGGTCTAGCGTGGCCAGAGCGTCTGATTTTCCCAAGGAAGCCAGAAATCCAGACTTCCACGCCATCTCGCAGTTGGCTCAGACATTCCAGAACAAGTGAGGGCACCTGTGATGCCCGTATTTAAAAAGATCAGCCTCAGCTGCAGGAAGCCCTCACCTTTCTAGAGCACAGATGTCAGCCAGTGCAGCCCCCAGGGATCCCTGGGGCCAGGCGAAGTGGAGGCAGGGTGAGAAAGTGGGCTCAGCAACTCTGCACCCACATATCTGGCGGGGGCACACCCAGATTGGCCAGGCATGCTGGCCTCACCAGGGCTTGCATCCCCCATTTTCCAGACAGGGACATAAGGCTAAGGGGGAGGTGATATGTCTGAAGCCTCACAGTGGTGAGGTGGAGGTTTGGGGTTCAGCCAAGTTCTTTAGGACAGCGGGGACTGCCTCTTCAGCCAGTTTGGGGCTGGGGACATTGAGGGCTGATGCGTTTGTCCCTGGACAGTGCCCGCAGCTGGGTGCTAACCTGGCTCAGGACAGGCCTGGAGAAGATCGCCCCGCAGCCCAGCCACAGCAGCAGGCCAGCGCAGAGCACTGCGGGCCTGGGGAGCCCGGCTCAGGTACTGTTGGGGTTAGAGTGGTGGAGGGGGAGAGGCTAGGGGGGTGGCCCGTGCACGTGGGCTTGTTCCCCATGTCATCTGTCTGTTCCCATAGGCAGGAGCTCAGGTCCTTGGGCGCTGCGCCACTGGAGGCCCAGGTAAGGCCCAGAGACAGGGGGCCCTTGGCAGCAGCGGGACCGAGGGACAGGCCTGCCCCTGGGAAAAGTCCACGGGGCTGGATTTTCTCATCTCATTGGCCCAACGCTCAAAACTGGGCTTGAGTTGGGTTGACCGGAGGACACTGGGCAGGCCTTTGGCTGCTGACAGCCTTTCTTTATTCTCTGACCCTGCAGATGGGGCCCAGGAGGCCCTCAGGGCCCCAGATACTGGGTGAGTACCCATTCTTGAGCACTGGTTTGGGAGTCCAGGCCTCATTTGGAGTATGTGTGGTGGGGGTGCAGTGCACCCAGAGCCCAGGGGCTTGGGTTGGGAGCAGGGTCCACCATCACCACAGTGGACAACCTTGGATGTGCCTCTCATCTCATCCCATCCTCACGTTCTCATTAAGAAATGGCAAGGGTGGGCCTGAGCTGCCCCTGGATGGTTGTGCTAATTAGTGGGGGCCCTTCTCAGGATGGAGAGGGGGTGTGGATGAGCTCCTCACCAGCAAGATTCGTGTGGTGGGTGCCCGGTGCAGCTCTGAAGCCGGGCCTGCCTCTCTGTGGGGCTCTTGGTGGTCAGATTGGCCTGGAAGCTGCACAGCTTTCAAATCCTCAAAACTGCCCGGTGGTCGCCTTGTCATCCAGGTGGCCGGCAGATGAGGACTAAGCAAAACAGGGAGCCTGGATCCCTCTCCAAGGAGGGTCCCTCTCAGCTCCAGTTGCCTCTGCCCTGCAGGAGTGAGGGCCGAGGGTGGCCAGATCCTCCAGTTTTTCAAGAGAAGCTAGAACTTTAGATTTTTATGTAAACTCCTTTGTTTGTAGATGTCAGTAATTTACAAGTTTCCAGAATACAGTGGGCCTCCAGAGTAAGCCTGAAGTCTCTGATTTGCAAGCTCTGCTGGGAATCCATTCATCTCTCCCCGCTCCCCTCATCCTTTCATTGGATTGTCAGGTCGTGAGAGCAGGGGCGTTTGTCCTGGTCACTGCTGCACCCCTGGCACCCAGCAGAGTTGGGGGGACTCAGCACGGAGGGGTGAAATGAAGGGGTGAATGAATGATGTGGATCCTCACATACTCCATTCATTAATTCGTGGCTCCCACTTGCTCTTTTGCCCCTGGAGGCTGCCCAGATCAGGGGTCCCCAGGGCCACTGAGCTGACTCATAAAGCCGTAAAGTGATATGGGAGGAAGGCACCCAGAGGACTTGCCAGCTTGCTTTTGCACCAGACTGGTGGGGGATGGAGTCCCCTGGGAACATGGAGTTTCCCAGAGGAGAGAGGGGCTGCCCATAGGCCAGATGGGCCTGGGACCCAAAGTTTGTCCAGGAGGAGACTTGTGCACTGTGGGGCCCAGTGTGAAGTGAAAAAACAGAACTTGCAAAATGACTAAGACCAAAGACTGCGGGGACAGTGTGGAGCCCAAAATGGGTCCCTGCAAGTGTGGGTCCCTGTAGACAGCACAGGCCACAAACTTTGAAGCCAGGCTGGTGTGCCCCAGTCACTGGGAGCTCCCAGGCTACAGAGGCCATGGCTGGGCCAGTTTTTCCAGGCCTGGCCCAGATTTAGGTCAGAACTTGAGGTTGACAGCAGTGCCCGCCACCACCTTGGGCCCTTTGAGAGTGTCTGATAGAGGAGGCTCCCCCCCCCCCGCCCCCAAGGTGGAAGGTTGCACCCCTTCCAGGGTCGGGGGTACAACTGGGGTCTTGGGGCATCCTGGGGCAGCATCTTAGCCCTCATCCTTCCTAGAGAGGTGTTCAGTGCCTGTAGGGAGCAGGCTATTTTGGGGGGCACTGGAACCCCCCAGAACAGACACTTGTGGTCTGAGACAAACCCCTTCCCCGCCCTGGGCTTCAGTTTCATGGCTGTCTGAGGGCCTGGAAGGGGTGCTGGAACCTGAGACCCAGCAGGTGGTCAGGCTGCTCAGTTGACCACTGGCCCCTGTGTAGGCCCCGACCCTGGCTGCTCCGATGGGTTGAGCAGAGTCTGGAGAAGGTGCTGCCACAGCCCCCCAAATCCTCAGCGGTAAGTCCAGGAAAAAGGGGAGCAGGAAGCTGCTCATCTGGGAGGGTTTTGGGGGCCCAGGAAGGGCCAGTTTACTCAAAAGGTTCTTCTTGTTCTCTGGGGCCCATGGAGAGGGCACTGTCCTCCCTGAGCGTCCTAGGTGGGGAGGAGTGGCCGCAGAAGGGCGGGGCACAGCTGACCAGGGCAGGGGTGCACAGGATTGCTTTGCCCTGTGACCTCCTTCCCTGCTTTTGATCCAGGGCTGCAGAGATGAGCCTGCTGATGCTGCCTGGGGTGCAGGTACATGGAGGGGCTCTGGAGAGGGGCTGACTGGGATGGTCACGGCTGGGCCGGGGGTACAACTGAGGTCTTGGGGCATCCTGAGGCAGCATCTTAGCCCTCATCCTTCCTAGAGAGGTGTTCAGTGCCTGTAGGGAGCAGGCTATTTTGGGGAGCACTGGAACCCCCCAGAACAGACACTTGTGGTCTGAGACAAACCCCTTCCCCTCCCTGGGCTTCAGTTTCATGGCTGTCGGATGATGGGGTACTTGGGGTGGTCCCAGCGGGCTCCTACTTAGTCATGTCGGTACCTTGGGTCAGAGGGTTCTCATGAAGTCCTCTCATCTTTAGTTTCTCCCCTGCTTGCCACTTAGACACCCCTGAGCCCCATTTGGAAACAGAGTCCACGCTGCAGTTGCCAGAAAGCCCCATCCTGCCCACACTGGGCCCCCCGGAGCCTGAAGAGGAGCCCACTCCAGATCCTCAGCCCGCCCTCCAGGCTTCTTCCCTGCCGCCCCCCGGGGACACTGTCAGGTGAGCCCCCAAATGCTATGCCTGCCCCAGGAGCAGGAGCAGTGCCTCCTCCCAGCCCAACGCCCAACCGCCAACCTTCACAAAACTACTTTGTTTTATTAGAAAAGCAACACAGGCACCTGGGAGGACATTCAAAGGGGTTGCCAGCCCCCCACCACTTGTACCCCACCTTCTCAGCCCGGCCAAGCAGATGAGGATGTTTCTCCTTTAAACACACACCTGGCGAGAGCAAACTATATATACTGCTGTGATCTTGCTTTTCTCACCTAAAAAGGCGCCTTAGAGGTGGTTTATACCTATCAGTCGGCTTCATTCCTGCCACAGCGGCACAGAATCCACTGCGTGGATGCTTTTAACTCGCAGACATCGGGTTGTTTCCACCTGTGCTGAGTCACTGCTTATCTGGGCATCATTTAGCTCAAGTCTGCAGGAGAAATCAGAGGAAGTAGAGCTGCTGGGTCAAGGGATACCTGCATTGAAAATCAGCATCAGGCCTGAGTGAGGGGCCTGAAGGGAGCTCCTGTTTGAGTGAGGGTGGGGCCGAGGAGGTGGGGTCCCCCTGGGGTCTGCAGAGTAGCCTGAGGCTTGCCTGGGAGAACAGGGAGGGGCAGCGTGCTTGGGGTTGAGACCTGGGCACTGGTCTGCCTTGCCGTTGGCCTTGGGGCAGGTCTGGCTCTGGCCTCAGTTTCCCCAGAATCCCTCTCAATCAGGCACCACCGCTCTCGCCCACCTGCAGGTTGGTGGCGTGGCTCCGGCACAGGCTGGAGAAGGTCCTGCCGCAGCCAGTGCTCCAGGAGAGGGCTGGGGAGCAGGTGGGTGCTGAGCTCAGGGCGTGGGGCCCTGAGTGCTGGGGGGAAGGGGTCTCAGGAGCTTGGGCAAGAGTGGGGTGTTCCCTGGGTGGGGTACAGAAGGAAGAAGGGGGTCTGCAGCAGGAGTCCAGCCTGCCCAGCACTGTGGTCTCAGGGCTAAGAAGTGCAGGTCCAGCCTCAACTATCAGGAGCTGAAATTGTGGAGGGAGGTGCCTCCATGGGGGGAGCAGTCGGGAAAAGGGGTGCAGAGAAGAAGCCTCCCAGGAACATCAGGGAAGGCTTCCCAGTGGAGGTGGCCTGCCAAGTTGAGACCTGAAGGGGGAGTTCCTCAGGGGGTGAGAGGAGGTAGAGGGGAGTGGTGTACAAAGGGCCCTGCGGACAGAGGACCCTGGACATTTTCTCCCCTTTCTCCCCACTCAGGAGCCTGAGAGCCCTGTGACCTGTGACGTGCAGACCAGTAAGTGACACGTGTGTCTTCATGAGCGTGTCCCGGGGATGGCTTAGTCTGAGTGTGCAAGGGCAGTGGGTCTGCTGCTGGACTCGCTAGGGGGCACAGTCAGGGTCTTCTGACCTGGAGCAAAGGGTCCTCGGGTCTGGTCAGCCTGGCAAGGTTGCCAGGGCCTGGCCCAGAGCTAGCTGGTGGTGGCTGGAGGCCTCTGCTAGGGGCTGGGATTGGAGGGGGGGCTCAGCGGGGGATGTGTCTGTAGGCGTGGACCCCTTCCCCCGCCTTCCAGCTTCTCCCCAGAGAAAATAGTTCTGAGGCCATCTGTGGTCCCCCTTCCTGCTGGGAACATGGGGAGAGAGAGCGCGTCCCATTGCCCTTCAGCAGGGCCTGGGGGTTGGCTGAACAGAGTCCTGCACTTCAGGGGCCAGAGGGAAGAGGGACTAGACCCTTAGACTCCAGCTGCCTTGAGTGGGAAGAGTGTCCCCTGGTCTTTGTCTGGACTGGAGGAGAGAGATGCCTTTTATCCCTGCCCTGCTCCAGGATTAGGGGCAGACTGAGGCCAGGAGGGGAGGACCAGACTCCAGAATCTGTTTGCCTTCATTTCATGGCCTCTGGAGAGGCATGTGATAGACAGAGCATTCATTCATTCATTCATTCATTCATAACAAAGGATCGAGGGGGACCTGCTAGGTGCCAGGCCTGTGATGAGTTCCAGGGATGAACAAAGCAAATTTCAGGCTCCACGGCTGTGGCCCTATTCCACCCTGGACACAGAACCTTGGACTGTGGCCCTCAGGGCTTCCCAAAACTGTGTCTGGCCTGTGGTGGTCTTTCTGGGCGCTCTGAACTGCGGCAACTGCAACAGCCTGAGCACAGACTGGCCTGTGGACTGTGGAGCTGGCGTCTGGCAGCAGCTGTGGGAGGACATTGTGAGGCTCTGAGCAGGGGTTGCTCCATCTTGTGGAGGTCATGGGCACCCCAGAGGGGCGAGCAGAGGGCCAGAGACGGCCCCAGTTCACAGAATTAGATGTCCTGGGGTGACGAGCCACGTCCACTTGTCTGGCAGCTCAGCCAGAGCAAGGTTACAGTACAGGGGGTGTTCTCTGGAGCTGACACCCCATCCCCACCCAGGATGCTGACCCTACCCCTCTTTCTTTTCTTTTCTTTTCTTTTTTTTTTTAAGATTTATTTATTTATTTATACAAGCACTGGGTACAGTCAGAAGCTTGGGAGGGTGAGAGGATTCACCAGAGCCAGAGTGGGGAACAGAACAGGCAGACTGACGAAATACACTGCTGAGGGGAGCAGCGGGCGGCAGGAGAGGTCTGTGCACCATGTGGGAACCTCGCTGGTGGCCGGGGATTGAACCAGTGCTGCAGAGGCTGCGGGCAGCTTTGCAGCCCAGTGCTCAACCGCTGCACCACCAGGGGAGGCCCTGACCCTACCCCTCTTACCAGGCTCTCTGGAGGAAGCAGTGTTCCCAGCGGCTATCATCAGGGCTCCCGTGTGTCTGGAGCTTGTGGGTCGTGGTGGGCACTGGATGTCCTTGGGGCAGACTCAGCCCAGGACTGGGGTGTATTTGCCTCCTGGAGCTGCCATGACAAAGGACCATGGACTGGGCACCTCCAAACAGCAGGGGTTATTCTCAGAGCACAGGAAGTGAGAAGTCCGAAGTCCAAAGTCAAAGTGATGCCAGGGTTGGTTTTTCTGGAAGTTCTGAGGAAGAAAACCTCCCCCACTTTTCTCTGGTGGCTGCTGGTGACCCCAGGCACCCCAGCTCAGCTGCCCTCCAATTTCGGTCTGAGTACAGACTGGCCTTCTCCTTCTAAGAACACCCACCATTGGGGTTAGGGCTCACCCCATGTGCACATGATCTCCCCTTGTCAGCCTTCTCTTTCTTATCGCTGCAAAGACCCTGTTTCCAAATAAGGTCGGCCACAGGTAGCGGGGGTCAGGACTGGGATGTATATTTGGGGGGGCACTGTACAGCCTGTTAAACGAGGTGGCTCTGAAGGGCTGGGGTGGGTGTCTCTCCCTTCTCCCTGCTTCATCCCTACCTCCCTCTACCCATTCACTCACTCATTCACCCCCTCGCCTGCCCGCCCAGCCCACCCTTCTGTCCTCTCCTTTGTTTAAGGGGTGGCAGCAGCTGGAGGCCTCTGAAACAAAGGAGACCGGAGCCTGGGGGAGTGCAGACAAACGGACAGATGGACAGAAGGAAGGAAGGGTGCCCTGAAGAAAGACTGGCAGGGAGGGCAGGGAGGGTGACAGAGGTGGCCATGGAGCCCCACCACCTTGAACAGTGACTCCTGCCCCTCCCTGTGCTCCCAGATGGGGGAAGGGGAGCCAGGGTCACCCCTCAGAGACCCCAGGGCAGCCCCTTGGGGGAGGTCGCCAAGGGCAGCCTATGGGCTGTGAGCTGGGCAGCGGGAGGACCTCCCACCCGAGGGCTCGGGAAGGCCTTGGACTGTCTTTTGAGAAGATTCCGGTGCAGCCCGCAGCATGTCACCCGGCACAGCTGTCCACCCTGCAGGACACAATTCTCCCTGAAGAATCAGACTTGACCCCTGTCTGTCGCCCATGGTCAGAGACCCCTAGTGGACAGCAACCAACGCTTTGGTTGACATTAAAAAGCATCAAATTCTGATTGCATGATATTGTTCTTCGGATAAGGCTAAAAGGAGCATTTAGATCTTGCTCCCCACTCTGTCTCTGGTGGGTCCTCTCACCTCCCGTGCCTCTGGCCTACACCCCAGTTTTTCTATGCATAAATAAGTAAATAAATCTTTCCTTTTAAAGATTTATTTATTTATGCATACAAGAACTGGGGTGTAAGCCAGAGGTATATGTGTGGGGAGGTGTGTGTGAAAGGATTCACCAGAGAGATTGGGGAACAGAAGAGGAGGATCTACTGAAATACACTGCTGAGGGGAGCAGCAGGCGTGACAGGAGAGGTCTGCCGTGCCATGTGGGTATCTCGCCGGCCGGCCTGGATCGAACCATGCTGCAGAGGCTGCAGACAACTTAGTGCTGCGCTTAACTGCCTGTGCAACCAGGAAGGCCCAATTTTCTTTCTTTTTAAAGATTTATTTATTTATGCATACAAGAACTGGGGTACAGGTCAGAGGTGCAGGGGGTGCATGTGAGAGGATTCACCAGAGACAGAGCAGGGAACAGAACAGGCAGACTGGCTGAAATATACCCCTGAGGGGAGCAGCGGGCGAGACAGAGAGGTCTGCTGCACCATGTGGGTTGCTCCCTGGCCAGCCGGGGATCGAACTCATGCTGCAGAGGCTGCAGATTGCTTCATAGTGCGGTGCTTAACCCCCTGCACCACCAGGGAGGCCAACTGGGGCCTGATTTTAAGGGGTTAGGCTGTAGGCAATGGGGAGCCATTGAAAGTGGCTGAGCATAAGAGGGACTACACAAAGGTTGCTCTGAGCCTGAGACCGTGTTCAAGGTAGGGGAAGCAATTGAAATGGAGGGCGGGGGAGGGGGGCTCTTTAACTTTAGGCCACATCTGAAGCACTTGGGACCCAGACCTGCCAGAAAGGAAGGAGGTTTTGGGCAGAGGTTTGTGTTTTACCAGTTACTCAGGGACCCAATGGGTCCCTTGGCCTAGAATTCATGCCCCTGGGCTCCTTGTCTCTGCTGCTCCCAGAAACAGGAGCCCCTTCCTCAGATTGGGCTGCTGACTTTCACTGCTGGAATCAGAACCCCATTTGACATCCTAGGAGGGCAAAGACTGGCTAGGAGGTAGAGGGCTGATGAGGGACTGTGGGGGTCCCCAGATGGAGCACAGTTTCCATGTGAACATGAGCAGTGTTGCTTTAGGGATATCATCTGAGGCCTGGCCACCTGGGTGGGGGCCTGGAAAAGCCAGGAGAGCTGGGAAACCGATGCCTGTGGAGAAGGGTTCGGAGCCCCAGGGGGGGTGGGACAGCGGCTCCTCCGGTCTTGCTCGGGGCTCTGCCCCAGGATCAGTGTGGCAGGTGCCCATGAACACCCTTCCTATCTGTACTTTGGGGCAGCCCTTTTCTCAGAGCTGCAAATCTTTGGCTGTCTGATGGGGACAGTGGAAAACATGCCTTTCAGGCCTGGCCTGGGGTGAAAGGAGGAAATTCTTCTTCACTAAATAGTCCTGAAATAGGGGTTAAGCACAGCACTGTGAAGCTATCCACACCCTCTGCAGCACAAGTTCAATCCCAGGCCCGCCAGGGAGCTACCCACATGGTGCAGCAGACCTCTCCTGTCTTGCCCACTGCTCCCCTCAGCAGTGTATTTCAGTCCATCTGCCTGTTCTGCTCCCCACTCTGTCTCTGGTGAATCCTCTCACTGCCCACACCTCTGGCCTGTATCCCAGTTCTTGAATGCATAAACAAATCTTTAAAATTAGTCCCTAAATAGAAAAGGTTAGGGAGAAAGGAAGTGAGGACACAGACAATGACTCTGTATTGTCTCATTTAGGCCCATTTCTGAACTACCGAGATGCCAGGGAGGCACTCACGGGCCAGCACACCGGGGAACAGGATCTGGGAGGCCTGGCACTGCCTCCAGTGTGCTGTGTGACCTTGGACAAGACCCTCAGCCTCTCTGAGCCAGCTCTCTGGCCTATGAAATGGGGAGAGTCCTCTTTTCACCCTGCAGGGTTGCCACAAAAGCTCATGAGCTCACAGGCCAAGACGTGTTCTGTGGCCTGGATGTCTTCTGCCATGTCAGGCCGGGGTTTGCCCACAAGTGGCTACTTGGGATGGGGATGCGACACCACTGCCGATGACGGCATAGAATGATACCACCCGCCACTGAATTTGGGGCCATAGTTGGAAACGTTTCCTGGGAGGCAAATTCCAGAGGTGCTTATAGGGCTGGAGGAACCAGGACCATAGGACACAAGGTAACAGGCAGGGGACACAAGGTAACATCTCCACCTAGAGGCCAGCAGGTGGGAGCCGAGAGTGACAATGCTTGGAAAGCAGGGAGCCCATGCCTCCACAGGGGAAACACCCCCAAAAAGAAGAGTTAACCTGGGTCTCGGTTGGCTTATCTGTAAAATGGGGAATAAAATATATGAGGGAAAATAAAATGGGAATAATACTTAGTCCTACCTTAGAAGGCTGGCACGAGGACTAATTTAGTTAATACATGTGACTCATGGTGCAGGCTCTGGCACATAGCAAGGACTCAAAAATGTAGCTTCTGTTACTATTGTTATTATTGCTCTATTATTATTATCATTATTACTGCTTTACACCAGGAACAATAACTCCCCAAGTCAAGGATGAAGTTTGAGGTCAGCTTCCACTGGAAGTCACCATTAGTAATAGATGCTTGGCTTGAGGGCTGCTAGCCCTTTGGTACTTTGTGGGAACACCTGATAGCCAGGCAGGCTCATTCTTTCTTCTGGTTGGGGGTCACCTTAGATTCTTTTTTTAAAGATTTATTTATTTATGCATACAAAAACTGGGGTACAGGCCAGCAGTGTGGGCGTGAGAGGATTCACCAGAGACAGAGTAGGGAGCAGAACAGGTGGATCGACTGAAATACACTGCTGAGGGGAGCGGTGGACGAGACGGGAGAGGTCTGCTGTGCCATGTGTGTCACCTCCCTGGCCAGGGATTGAACTCGTGCTGCAGTGGCTGTGGATGGCTTCATAGTGCTGCATCTTAACCCCTTGGGCCACCAGGGAGGCCCTCACCTTAGATTCTTGACGAGACTCTCCTTATCCCCTGCTGCCAACGTCACAGCCACAATAGTTTCACTGTCAGGGGTGGGGGAGATGGAGAAATGTTGAAGATTGTAGTTTCTTCTCTGAAGGTGGAACCTCTTTCTGCCGTGGACTCCCCTGAGGTGTGCTTCTAGGCCCCAAGAGAAAGACGCAGCAGCAGATGTGGTGTGCGGGATTGGCAAGCCCTCCTGGCCCCTTCGGGACACTCAAGCACCCGCATCTGGATGGCCTGGCAGACTCCGAGTCCGGCCTTTTGACATTACCAGCGATGCTGTGATTGGAGGCACTGTTTCCGCTTCTGCCCAGCCAGGAGGGAGGTCTCAATCAAAATAAAACCAGCCGCAACTGAAGCTCTGTCTCAGGGACTTTAAAAAGAGGGGGGAACCAATGGAAGGAGACGGGGTGACCGATGGGGAGCTTCGGTCAGCACTTTAGCACTGACCTGGTTGTTTGTGGTCCCTGGAAACAGCCTTTCCACTGCTGGGCTGGCCAGGGGTGGTGATGGCCCAGGTGCCCTCGTGGTCCCCGCCCGCTAGGGAGCCCCAGCCTGCTCCCAGCTGCTCTCCCAGCCCCCCACTCTGTGTCTCCTGCAGTCAGCATCCTCCCTGGAGGGCAAGAGGAGCCTGATCTTGTCCTAGAAGAGCTTGACCCTTGCTGGGAGCAGGGCCAGCGTCACGTGGGCACCACCAGCCCGCAGGACTCAGGGGCGGCTCCGGCGTGTGAAGAGGAGGACGAGGCCGTGGAGCAGATGCCCAGGTAGGAGCTGGAGAAGGCCTAAAACCCATGATCAGTTGGGAAGAAACCAGGCACAAAGTACAGAGCCCCGAAGTATAAAAGGACAAAGTGTGGGCACTGAGGCTGCTCCCCACCCCAATCCCGAGGCACCCAATGCTCTCCCCAGGCTGAGCGGCTGCCACTCCAGGGCACGTGGATTCCCTTCTTTCTTTTTGTCCCTTTTTGTAAGAAGATTTATTTATTATTTATACAAGCACTGGGTGCAGTCAGAAGCCCGGGAGGGTGAGAGAATTCACCAGAGCCAGAGCGGGGAGCAGAACAGGCAGACTGACGAAGTACACTGCTGAGGGGAGCAGCGGGCAGCAGGAGAGGTCTGCGCGCCATGTGGGACCCTCGCTGGTGACCGGGGATCGAACTGGCGGCGCTGCAGAGGCTGCGGGCAGCTTCGCAGCCCAGCACTCAACTGCTGCGCCACCGGGGGAGGCCGTGGATTCCCTTCTTGTCCTCTCTTTATTTCCCCCCACAAAAGATAGCACGTCACAGGCACCTAAACATCAGATGCTTCAGAGAGGGCCTTGGAGACCCTCGAGGGTGGGACGGGGAGACAGCGCCTTCCCTGGACCTTGTTCCTTCCTATATTCATTCCACAATATACCTCGAGATTTTTTTTTTTTTTACAACTTCGTAGGAATGTGCCAGCACTTGCTTAACCTGTGTGCTACTGATGGATGTTTAGATCGATTCCAAGACATGTTATTATAAACACGTGCATGCGCCCTTGCGCAGGAGCAGGTCGGCAGGACGCATTTCCAGGAGCGGGGACGGGCTCCTGGGCAGGGGAGTGTGTAGTCATGGCCGTGGCTGCAGAGTCGCTACCCCAGGGCTGGAGTGATCTTAGCTCCCATGGACGGAGGTCTTGGGTCCTCAGGCCCATGCTCTGCATTGCAGAGATGGGGAAACCAGGGAGCAGGGGGTCACCACCAGGATGGTGAAGCAGCCCTGTTACGGGAGGGAGCCCAGGGCTGCTCAGGCGGGGCTCCCCTGATGGAGTCTTGGTTGGGGAGTTCAAATCCAGTCTAAGGGGTTTCAACATCCTGATGAAGACGGGGGCACGAATGGGCTTGGGGCGTGGCTGCAGGTGGACTCATCTGCCTTTGACCTCAACTCAGGTTGCTGCCTGGGATTCAAGAGGAGAGGGGGCCGGAGGAGGAGGAAAAAGAAGAGGAAAAGGCAGAGAATAAGTAAGTCACTTGTCCCACCCCACCCGCCAGGGATGGTCCGGGGAAGTGGGGTTACCATGAGGCAGCTTGGCTTCTGGGGTGAGGACACTGTTGGGGGTCCTTCCTTTGTTCTGTGCCTGTGCTGCTGGGTACTGAGCAGAGAGGCTACGGGAAGCTGGGGCTCCCCCACTGTGCTCATTATGACCCCAGACTCATATGTCCCCCACTCAACACGTCCTAACCCCTACCCCCACACAGACACTAGAACGTGACCTCCGCGAGGGTGGGTCTCTTACATCCATTGCCATGTGCCAGAGCTGAGGATAGTGCCGACACCGTGGGCACCACGTAAGAGCTGGTCGAATGCCTGGATGGATGAGTGAGTGGGCACACACGGGGGCGTCCAGTTCTCCCCTGTAATTAACACAGCCGAGGTGTAGGGCTGTCTCCTCCTCACACTCTCCACCCCTGGTAGCTTTAGATGCCTTCTAAGCTGCCCTGGATTCTGCTCTCCTGCCCATTTGTAGTGATTCCCCACCCGCACCCATAAAGATGTCAACATTAACACCCACAGAAGAGCACAGTTAAAATAAAGGTGAAAAATGGACATCAGGACCCCCCTAGAGGGAGAGGGCGTCTAGCAAGGTGGGATGGACAGGAGGACGGATGGATTGCTGAACGCGGGAGGCGAGACAAGCAGTGGAACAGGAGTCTGCAATCTGGACAGTGGGGGTGACGGGGTGTGAAGTCTGGGGTGTGGTTGCTTAGGTGGAATTGGAAAGCACGGGGCTGGAGGGGCTGCCAGGGAGGAAGTGTGGGTACAGGAGAAGCCCCTAGGTCCGAGTAGAGGCCCAGGGGATGACGAGGAAGCAGAAAATACTGAGGATGTGGTACCAGAGAGAGGGAGAAGGAGTTGGCGAGAATGTAGAGCCTGCAGGCCAAGTTCGGAAAGTGTTTCGAGAAGGAAGGTGTGATCTGCTGCGGGACGCATGTCCGGGATGTGACAGTGTAGCTGGTGGAAGGGGTGGGAGGTGATGCCTCTGAGGTGGTGGTGCCAGACTGTGAAGGCCTTACACTTGATCACCTGGAAGGGAGCAATGGGGAGCTATTGAAGGTTTGAGCAGGCGAGTGTCACCACCCGGCAGCTGTGGAGAGATTATGGCAGGGAGAGCAGCGAGGAGGCTGTGTCATTGTCAGGTCAGGCTGAGTATGTCTGTCCTCTTGCTCTCTCCTCTTGCGGTCTCCCCCATCCTCCACTCCACTGTCCATGCTAACCCCAGCCCATGCCCATCCCTAAGCTGTTCCTCGGAAGCAGGACAGCACGGACTTAGTGGAGTGACCTAAGCACATGGCATATGCCACAGAATTCCTGCCTCCACAGTGGAACGTGGGGGCTGATCATCACCCTTGGAGTGGTGAGAAGCACAGCCGTGATAACCAATGTGGCGGGACTTGGCCTGGAGTGAGTGTCCCACTGATGGACACTGATACTCTCCCCATGAAGGGTCATTTTCAGTCCCAATTGTGAAAGAGTTAAACCTTGAGTCCAACACAGGATTTCAGAACTGGAGGTCTGCCCAGTGGCATTGCTTTTAGCCATCCTTGCCAGTTCTCCTATAGAAATTCTATCTTTGGCCACTTGCTTGCCCCCAGCGACAGGGAGCTCACAACCACACTACGGCTGTCCCATCCATATGCTCCTCTGACTTATGAAAATCTTTTTTTTTTTTTTTTTTTTTTTTTTTTTTTTTACCAAAGCACATGTGCTTCCTTCCCTGTGGCTTCTATCACCCACCCAAACACTGCCCTCAGCCCCCCAGGCTGCTCAGAGAAGACCTCGGAGGCTACATAGCTTGGTTAGTACAGCCTTGTCCGCCCCTGCTTTCCACACCTCTGTGTAGACTACAGTGCATGGGGGTTTTTCCCCCATCAAACCTGTGTGCCCAGGGCTTAGGCCTGAAAACCCCTTTCATGCCTCTGCTCTTGAACTGAGCACACATGAAGACTGGTGACCCAGTGCTCACACACATGCAGTAGCTACATGCACATGGCCATGCACACACTTACGTGTGCAGGGACACACACACTTCACCCCCACACGGCCAGCATGCATGCACAGAGACTTTATGCAAAAAGCACATGCATACAGTTACCCCCCAATGCTGCAGAAACACACACACACACACACAAATGTTTACCCAAGTTTCAAACTCAAGAGCTTTTGGGGTGAGGTTGCCTGGGGAGGGATGCAGGCTTGTGGTGAGTGAGTGAGTGAGCCCAGGGTGGCGTCTGACATGCCAGAGGGAGTCTGGCTCAGGACAGGCAGTCTGGGCTGTGGCTGCCAGGGAGGATGCTCTTGGCCAGCTCTGCGGAGGCACAGGGGTTACTGATGACGCGCGGGCCCTGGTAACGGGCAGATTGTCGCCTAGCGACCTGGTCTCTGCTGGCAGCAGCTCCTGTTTTCCTAGCAACCGCAGCCTTTCGGTCCCCACCTGGCCTCCCTAGGGACATCTCTGCAGAGTTCCCTGCTTGTCCCCTCAATCTGATTAGAAGCAGGAAGGCTCTGGAGCTGCCTCGCAGACTCAGAGCGGGCTAGCACGCTCCGGTTCTCCACGCTGCGCGAGACCCCGGTTTGGGATGAATGTCCCTGCCCACGGCTGAACCCCCGCACCATGGGCATCCTTGTTGGCAAAGACAGCGAGACCCAAGTAGGTGGCTGCTTCTCCCTGAGGGCTCTCCTCCTTCCTTCTTTTGGGGTTATTGTGTCGGGTGGAGTGTTCTACTGAAGTTGACAGTAAGGACCTTCACCTGGGGGTGCAGCCTGTTGGGTGACCTGGGGGAGGGCAGAGAAGTGGGCTGCTACACCCTGCAACTTTAACTTGGAGAGCCAGGGAATTTCTGGGATGCCCACCCACCTCAGTCCGTCTGTTCCTCTGTCTGGAAATCCCTGGGAGTTGGGAACTTTCCAGGAGTTGATGGCCCGCTGCTTCTGGGCCAGGCAAGAGGGGCTTGGCAGGGACTGGGCACACTGCTAGTAGGACAACCCAACCTTGAGTACATAGGTCCCAAAACAGCCCCTGGCAATGCTGACAGCCTCCCCCCCCCCCACAGAACTTGCTAGATGTCTTGGTGGCTGGAGATGTTTGTGCAAAATGTTTCCTGAACCACGTGGGTGGCTCATAGCCCTACAGAACGCCACTCCCCAGGGATTAATACCAGTCGTGATAAGAACGATCAAAATAATGCTTCCATTTGACTCACACTTGTTTCCCGCTGTGTGAAGGGAGATAACATCATTATCCCATTTCACAGATGAGAGGCTGAGGCTCAGTGACAGTGCCCTGCCTGTTGGAGTAGGGGGGGTTCTGCCGGCAAGTGCAGAACTGGGGTTCACTTGGCACCACAATGCAAGAAAGCTGTTGCCCAGTGTTCAGAGCTGAAGCGTCCAGGACCACACCTGTATGAGGAGGCTTTTTGATCTTTTTAAACTTTTTGTTGACGTAACATCACCTTATAACCCTGTAAGTTTCAGGCGTGCATCATTAATGATTAATCATTAATCATTAATGCGTTCCCCGCTGGCCCTTCTGCCCTCACTCAAATAAGCCATGTACGCGGAAAGACTGAGGGAATCTTCTAGGGCACTTGCCCAGGGCCATACAATGATTTCTTTTCTTTTTTTTTCAAAGATTTATTTCTTTATGCATACAAGAACTGGGGTGTAGGCCAAAGGTGTAGGGGGTGAGAGGATTCACCAGAGTCAGAATGGGAAGCAGAACAGGCGGATTTACTGAAATACACTGCTGAAGGGAGCAGCGGGCGAGACAGGAGAGGTCTGCTGCGCCCTGTGGGTAGCTCCCTGGCTGGGATCGAACTCATGCTGTACTGCAGTGGCTGCAAGTAGCTTCATAGAGCTGTGACTTAACCCCTTGTGCCACCAGGGAGGCCCCCATACAGTGATTTCTTGACCTGATTCTGGGATTGACTTGACCAGAAGCCCTGACTGGGACTGTGCTCTGAGAACTGAGGAGTCCCCTATGTCTGTTTCAGGGAAAGCAAATCCACTCAGACCCCTCACAGCAAGTGGCCCAGCCCACTGTTTTGTTAGGGCAGATGTCTCCCTCAAGAATGGGGGACACCTTCCCCTCACTATTTTTGAGGGACCCACAAAGACATTTTAATTTCCTTTGAAGTCAAATCCCCCCAAATGGGCTTGTAGATGGAAGAACCTGTTTTAAGTTTGTTATGAACATAGGGATCTTCATAGAAATGCGGTCACAAAATAGTTTTAATTCTATTTTTACAAATGAAGGGGCCCCGTGAAAGTCATAGTGTGCTTTAGCTTTTGTGACTTGTCTCTTTAAGGAAATCTGTTTCTTCCTGGGCAGGGTAGAAAGTCTGACTCTGCTAATCCTGGAAATATCTGTATGATAAGGAGAAATCAAGTGAACGGGGTGTCTGGATGATCCAGACACCCCTGACTCCCCCCCTTTCTTCCCCCCAACCCTGCCCGGTCACAAGGGACCAAGCAGGTGCTCAGAGGCTGGCAGCGGAGTATTAAGGACATGGCCTTGGGGTTAGAGACACGTTGCAGAGCCTATGTGACCATAGACAGACAATCTGACGTCTCTGGGCCTCCAATTTCTAAACTGGGGGCAGCATCCATCACAGGTTGGGGAGCCACTGTGTTGACCCCGTGCCTGGCACACAGCCCATGGGATCTGCTGTGCTAATATGATCACCTGCTGATTCCCATGCCCAGGCTGCTGGCTCCTAACTGTCTGGGGCTGCTGTCCCACCCTCACCTCCTTAACCACCTTGGGAGGGCTGCCACTTAGCCCAGGGAATCTAGGTTTTCTGGGTAACAGGCACAGCAGCGCATCCTCGGTGAACCCCTGGCAACAGTAGTCTGTGGGCCGGCCTGGGGCTGTCAGGAAACAGAACCTGATTCCAATACACAAATCACATTACCCCTGGTCCTGAGCCATCTTTTTTAAAAAAAGATTTATTTTTTTTATTTATGCATACAAGAACTGGGGTGTAGGCTAGAGGTGTGTGTGTGTGGGGGGGGCAGGGGTGAGAAGATTCACCAGAGACAGAGTGGGGAGCAGAACAGGCAGATCTACTGAAATCCACTGCTGAGGGGAGCAGTGGGTGAGACAGGAGAGGTTTGCTGTGCCATGTGGATCAGCTCCCTGCCCAGGGATCAAACTCATACTGAAGTGGCTGCTGATAGCATGATAGTGCCGAGACTTTAATCCCTGCACCACCAGGGAGGCCCCCTGAGTCATCATTTTAACCCAGAGGTCACACACAGACATCTAAGGGTCCATTCTAGCTGGAAGACATGCTGTTTGGGGTATCTGCATGTTAATATAGACATATTAATTTGGATTATCTATCAGCATCTAACAATTCAGAGATTCTACCTTTATTTTTTATTATTGTTATTATTTTAAATATTTATTTATACAAGCACTGGGTACAGTCAGAAGCACAGGAGTGTGAGAGAATTCAGAGCCAGAGTGGGGAGCAGAACAGGCAGACTGACGAAGCACACTGCTGAGGGGAGCAGCAGGTGCGGCAGGAGAGTTTTGTGCTCCATGTGGGACCCTCGCTGGGGATCGAACTGGCACGGCAGAGGCTGTGGGCAGCTTTGCAGCCCAGCGCTCAACCACTGCGCCACCAGGGGAGGCCCTATTATTATTTTTTAAATTAGAAGATTCCATTTTTAAAATTGGTAGTTCAGGTTCCTTTTAAAAATTGGGACATAAGAACTGGAAGATGTGGTCACCGGGCCCTTGTTTCTCTTGCCAAATGAGGTTGCCAACTCAGAAGAGCGTGTGTTCTCTGATTTGCCATAGTCCTCCCTGCTCCCTCCCTATAACCTCCCCCTGACCCCATCACTCCTGTATGCCTGCAGGGACCAGGGACCCCTGAGACATTCAGAAGCTTCAGTGTGGCTCTGATCTCATGACTTGGAAAGGACCAGGGCCTGCGGTAGAGGTTTGTGTGCTGTGGTACAATTTGCTGTGCGATTATGGGAAAGTCAATTTACCTGTTTGGGCCTTATTTTTCTCATATTCCCTGCCTCTCCCTGTATCATCAGAGGTGACTAGAGACTCTCAGATGAGAAATGCTGGGCATATATCTTATCTTGAACACGATGTAATGTCCTTTGGTCACACGCCAGAGAACAGCACCTCAAGCCATCCTTCATGCTTGTCTTGGCACATGCTGTTCCCCCTTCCTGGACACCCTTCCCCGCCTATTTCTCATAGTCAATTCAGCATCTTCAAGAGCTGGGTCACAGACACCTCCTCTGGGAAGCCCTCCATCCTAGGTAGAACTCTGGCTGTGCCCTTCACTGTCCTTTGCTCGAGTGTGTGTGTCTCAGACGGGGGGATCGTTAGCTGGACTTGGGATCTGCCGACCCCTGTGCCGGCAGCCTGGTGTGGGCGAGACCTACTCCTGGGCATCTTTGTGCTTGGCTCAGGGCACAGAACCTGGCACTCCGCAGGCTTCAGGGATAGTTCAACACCTCTAACCCCGACCCTTTCCTCCCGCCCCTGGGTGCACAGTGTCCGACTGGATAGCTGTCTGGTGGCGCAGATCGGCCAGGACCCAAGTGAAGTAGGCGGGACCCAGGCCAGGAGGGCCTCACGCCAGGTATGTAGCCACAGGCCAGGCTCTTGGGAGACCTCTGAGGCCTGAGCTGGCATCAGTGGAGGGGGCTGGGCTTTGTCTACTTCGTTTACAGGGCATTTTCAGACAGGACAGTGGGGGGTGCGACTGTGGGGCCTGCTCACATCAGGGGTCAGATAGTGTCGCCACCCAGGGGTCTTGGGTGACACTCAGGGGCTGTGGGTGGGAAGAAGGTGGCCTGGACAAGTGACCTTCCCATGCCAGGCCTCAGGGGCCACCTTTGTAAATGGCACTCCAACTCCCTCTCTGGGGGGGTATACCCAGCTGTACACTGGGCAGTGCAGTGCCAGTGGGGGTGCTGTGGCCACTGCTGCGGCTGCTTTGTCCCCACCTGCACAGGGCTGTGTGCGGAAGTTCCCCTGTTCCGTGGGACAAGCCCAGGTGTTGGGGCCCGGGCTGCCGTGTGCACTGCTCTCCTCAGGGTGGAGGCCACCTCCCGGGCGCCCCAGAAAGCAGGACCTGACCAGCACATCATGGCAAGGAGCAGAGCCATCCCGAGAGGACCCCTGAGGGAGACCTCCTGACAGGTCCCGGACGGGGTGGGGCATGGCCCCAGCTGCTGTTTCCACTTGATTTTCTGCAGGCACTGCAGGAGGAGGCCCAGGCCGCCCGCTCCGGAGGTAGGTGTGAGGAGTGGGGTGGGGTGGGGTGGGTGGCAGTTGCACAAGGACATCGGGGATACTTTCAGGCTGAGCCACCTCCCTCCATCTCCATCCTGACAGCCCCTCTGCCTGCTCTGTCCTCAGGCAGAACCCACGCCCCGCATCTTGGGGTCACGTTGTTTCAGAAGCTCTAGGGGTATACTCTGCTGTACCAGGCCACACCTTCTTTAGCCCCAGCCCCTCTGCTGTGCTGGGCTCTTATGCTCAGCGAGATAAGTCAGAGGAGGAGACGCCACGTGATTTCACTCATACGTAGACGGTAAAGAGACAAAATGAAACAGGGAACATGTACCTCAACTCTGACAGCAGAATGGGGGTTACCCTTGGGGGTTGGGGGAGCAGGCAGGAGGTGGGCTGGGTGGAGGGCTTGACTGGATGTGTGCGGATGGAGACTAGCCTGTGGTGTAGGCCTGGGGTGGTGTAGACAAATGTGGGGAGAAGCTGTACACCTGGTATTTATGCAGTTTTACAAAAAAAATCTCAGCAGAAAAAAAAAAAGAAAAAACAAGCCCCAGGGGGGATGGCACTGAGGCCCCTGAACCCCACTTGCTCCCTCCTGCCACCCCTACCCCTCACTAGGGCTGTGGCTCTCTGGGCTCCTGGTCACCTCAAATACAACGTGTACCAGCGGAGGTTGGGGCTACCCTTGCTAAGGTGTATCCCAGACTCCACGCCTCTTGTTGAGCTGCTCTTGCTGAGACCTGCAGGTGTCCCCTGCTCACACTTGGCTATTACCTACCACCACCCGGTCCACGACAGGGGGGCCGGAACCCGGGGGCTGGAACCCGGGGGCTGGGCACCGGCTCCTTACTAACCTCCCTCAAGCCCCCAGTGCTCAGGCTGCCCCGGGAGGTGGATGGGCCATTTCACAGATGAGAAAGTTGAGGCCCATGTGGTCAGGATGTGGCCGTGAGGTCAAGGGCACAGACCCACGTTCCACTCTCGAATCCTCCCGCGGTCTCTCTGTGTGACTCAGAGCCAGTGCTCTGGCTTCTCCTGGCTTCTAAATCAAGAAAAGGGGGGCAGCAAGTATACCTACTGTCATGGGTTGCTGGGAGACAGAGAAGGGGAGACAGTGCGTTGAAAGGGCCCGGCCCTGTGGCTGGCTTTGAGGGAGGAGCCTGCCAGGCAGCCTCGAGAAGGGCCTGGACCCAGGTCTCCTACCCCTGTGTCCTGAGCTTGTTCTGTGTCTCGTTAGCTTCAGCACAAGGCTGTAGGAAGCTACTAAATCTCTACCTCACACAGGTGAGTAAGACCAGCTCACCCAGGTGCAGACGCAGTGGCCTGGAGACGTGACCTCCGTGTGCCACTTCTCCAGTGTGGACCCAGAACCAGCAGCGCCGGGTCGCCTGGGAGCTGGCTGGAAATGCAGATTCTCAGGTCGCGCCCCCGACCTGCTGAACCAGATCTGCATTATAACAAGATTTCCTGGTCATCTGTCTGTACCTCAGTGCTGCAGAGGCGATGGCCTTGACCGCTGCTGCTTGTCGGAAGCACAGGGGAGGGTGACGTCTGGAGCAGGGGCTCGCCCAGACCAGGAAGTGAGACTCTCCAGCCTGGGGCTGGGCAACAGACGTTTCCAAACCTAGCCGAGGCTGCCATAGGCAGGTCGGTTTGGAAGCCGGGGCTCCGGGGAAGGCCTCACTTCTGCTTGGTTGTGAAATTAAGCTCCGAGTTTCCTTGGGATGGAAATCTGACTGGCTAAGAATATTTGAGTGCGGAGTTCATGAGTCTAAGAGCCTGAGGAGCTTTGGGTTCTTTCATTCTAACTATTTTGAGTCTGAGATGGGAAAGGCTTGGGGGTTGGTTAGCAGCGAGAGAACATGCGAAGTTGGGGCCTGGGGACTGTCCATCAGAGCTGTTGGTACATCAGTCCTGTGACTTGGTGACGCATTCGAGGTTGAACTCCAGGGACAAGAGTGATGCTGCAGGCCTTGGGCGGGGCTGCTGCAAGCACAGGCGGGTCTGTGCTGGTGCCAGCAGGGAGCAGCCCTGCTGCCTTGCCTCCTCCAAACCTGTGCTCCTGCTTGCAGCCCCCAGACCTCTACCCGAGACCCGCTGGCCTCAGCAACATGGCTAAGCCAGGCCGGGACGTGGAGCTGAATCGCCTGGTCCAGGACCAGCTGCCTGGCCAGGCGGCCCCTCCAAACCTGGTGGACCACCTCCCCAATGTGCCCAGCTACCGCCCACCCATCACCCGCATCCCTGTCCTGGTCTCCCGGAGAACAACCTTGTCCAACTCCAGCTTCGCCAAGGAAACCAGGAGCTCCATCCGTCGCCTAGGTAGCGTGATCTCGCCCACCCAGCATGCTCGGCCGGGATGTGTGCTTCTGCATGGCTTGTGCTGATTCCAGCCTGGGGGCCGTGCCATGGTCTGGGAGCACTAGTTAGGTGCCCAGAAAACCACCCCGAATTCCCCTGCTGATCAGTGCCTTCATCTTACTGTGTGGTGATTGAAAGGTGTTAATCCCTTTCTCCTGGCGGCTAAAATTCCACAATTAGCAATTCATTTCTTTGGGTTATTTAAGGCTTTCTGCAGATCTTTTTTTTTTGACAGGTAGTCACTCACACCAGAGTCTAAATAAGTCACTCAACTCTCCAGGACAAGAGGTTGGGGCAGGGAGTTGGGTGACCGAGACGAGTGAGCAGAGGGGAATAGAGTGTAAGAAATTTTGGGGGGTCCATTGTGGATAAAATCTACTGTCCTTGAGAGATGGCTGGGAGAAAACTTTCTAAAGGTTATTGATATCCTCCCAGCAAATCCCTCTCGGGAAGAAATAGACCTTCAGGTGCCAACTGGGAGACCAATGGCCCAGTGTGGAGGATCCATCCAATTATGACAAGACCCCACAGTGGCCTACAGGCTCTGGGTGCTTGCTGGCTGAGGACGGAGTGCTAGGGGGTCATCCTGGCACCACTGCTGGCACTGTTACCTTCTGCCCTGACTCCAGCCAGGCCTGTCCACTTTCCCTTGTGATTTGTTTGTTTTTGGACAACACCAGGCGAGGGTGCCTCTGTGATAAGCAGACAGGTAGAATTGAACATTTCCTTGATCCACTCTCCTCCCCTCTACCAGGCTTGGGGTGGGCACAGAGTGGGCAGGGAGGTAGCCCATGAATCATCCCTGGGGGGCCTGGGATCGCATCCCAGTCTTAGTCTTCTAGGCAAACCTTAAACCTACTCTCTCTAATGGCTCCAACTCCAGCCCCACAAGCTCCTCCCTTTATTTGCTTACTTCTTCTTTCCATGGATTCACTTCTTTTATTTAGTTAAGTGTATTCAAACAGGAAACTTGATCTTCCTATAAATCGAAGCATGGCTTGCCATAAATCGAAGACATATATAGAAACAGGCACAAAAGCTGAAAACAAAGTCGTGCTGATAGTTTCTAGAGAAATCTGCTAGTCTGCTGAGGAATCTCCACTGAGGTCTGCTCTCAGGGCCACAGAGGGGGGGTTAGGAGATGTTGGGGGCGCTGGAGGCCATCCTAGCGCTAATGGAGACTTCTCTGCACATTCAGCATCCAGCGAGAATTGAAATGGGACAAATGCTCTCTCGCCACGTGACCTGTTGCCTTGTCTGTGTCATCCCAAATCAACTTGTGTTTCCCTTAGCCCTGGGGAGCTCCAAATTTTGGAAATATTCCCAGAGTCCTGGGCCAGTGGGCTGGCTTGTCTACAGAGACAAGGGAATGGCGGTGCAGGGAGCACCTGCTTTCAATGCCCCTGCTCGGTGCCTCTGTGTGGTGTGTGCTGGTCACCGACCTGAGGATGAGCAAGAGTTTCATCTTGGAGCCGGGCTGCCGGCCTCCAAATCCCTGCTCTGCCGCCAGTTTTTCCATGTCTCTGCTTCATTTTCCTTATCCACCAAACGGGAACAGAAATAAGGATCTGGCAGAGTGGCTGGGCAGGGGGAGAGTTAATATATATAAAGCATTGCAAGTTCAGTGAAACAAATGCTTGGCAGGCACATAGGAAGTGCTTACTGTAAATATTATTATCGTCTGAACTAATTTAATCAGGCAATCTTATTCTTTATATTTTTAATAGTATTATCCCTGCTCTCTAAATCAATATAATACAAACTAATATCATTCCTATTTTGAATTCTGCTTTGCCAAGCTGGTGGAAAATGAAATACCAGGCTTAGGGGTTTCTCTACATCTATGGGAGGATTGGGGTAGCAGGGTCTGACTCCCGATGAGGCAGTTGCTGCGGGGCGCAGGCTCCAGAGCCAGGCTCATGGATGCAGAGGCCGGGCACATTCTGCCCCAGGGGGATCATGCTGGGGGTTACTCAGCAGCCTTCACCCACCCTTTTTGAGTGGGTGCCCTTGTCCAGGCTGCTCCACACCCCTCGGCCGCCCTCCAACTTATGCCTCAGGCCTACCTCATGCTCTCTCCTGCTTTCCACAGCCTGGGACATCAGTTTGTCTGGCTAAACTTCTCCCTTGTTTCAAAATGTACCCCCTCCCCTCACTGGGGCTATGGTGGAGGCGTCCTGGGGTGTGGCGTGAGAACCGTTTGTAGAGGTGTGACCCTGGACCCCTGAAACATACATGCCTCGCTACCCACTGGGAAGGTATGCACCTGCCTTGTAGAGCCCAGGCTGCTTCTGGCTGCTGTTTGGGGGTCGTGCTCATGTATGGTGGTGTATCTGGGCCTTTGCCAGCCCCTCAGCATCCTCTGAGCTGTGCCTCAGGGCACACCTATCCCCATAGGCCCAGGGTGGGTAAGGAGTCCTGAGCAGGGCCATGCCAGGCTCCTTGGGATGACTCAGTTCAGTGGGACATGGCCCCAGGCCTGTCAGAGACTGGGAGAGGGATTGAGCTGGTGAATTTCTGGTGCTTCTGGATGTACAGAAACAAGGAACTACCAAAACGGGTATCCAACGAGGGAGAAACACACTACAGAAATGAGCTTACTCTCCACTGGAGAAACTTCCAGGTGTCTCCACTGAAGCGCTACAAGAGCGTGAAAACTTATGTCCTCCTGGCCTAGGCCTGGGGAGGCATGGTCACCCCTACCTTGAGATTGGGGAAACTGAGCCCCAGACTGGGGAAGCAGCTGAGCCAGGCTTTGCTAGGCCTGGTCCTAGGACTCAGTGTCCTTATGACCCCTTCCCGAGCCCCGGGTCCTTGGTGCTTCTCCAGGCTGGAGACCAGACTGTGCTTTGGAGAGCGGGGCTCCGGGCGGTGTCCAGGAGCTTCCCCTGCTGCTGTGTCTCCTTTTGTGACTTCCAGCCTTGTGACTGAGGTGGCCGTGGCCTCAGGCCCCTGGGCTCTGCATTCTCTCTCTCTCTTTTTTTTTAATATTTATTTATACATACAAGAGGTGGGATATAGGTCAGAGATGCTGGGGGGTGATAGGATTCACCAGAGACAGAGTGGGGAGCAGAACAGGCAGACTGACTGAAATACACTGCTGAGGGGAGCAGCGGGCGAGCCAGGAGAGGTCTGCTGTACCATGTGGGTTGCTCCCTGGCAGACCAGGGATCAAACTCATGCTGCAGAGGCTTCGGATTGCTTCATAGTGCGGTGCTTAACCCCTTGTGCCACCAGGGAGGCCCTAGGCTCTGCATTCTTGCACCCTGCATGGAGCTCTCCTTGGGGGCCCTGCAGGGAGGGGAGGCTACCAGAAGCCCCCCCACCCCCAAACCCTGATGTGGTTCCTGTGGCTTTCTGCAGCAACACAGCAGGCCCCGGGGCTGGCTTCTCTCTCACTGACTCTGTCCCCTCCATCTTTTCCCCAGTGGCTGCCACGAAGGAGCACCCGGAGGTGCAGGTGGAAGATGCTGACGCTGACAGCCGCCCCCTTATAGTAGAAGAGAAACCTCCCTCCCCTGTGGGGCAACCACCTTCTCCGGCCAAATCCGACACCCTCGCTGTCCCGGGATCGGCCACGGGGACCCACAGGTCACCTTTTATGCTTCTCTTGGCCTTTTCACAGCACTGTGCTCCCATTTGTCAGATGAGGAAACTGAGGACAGAGAGGGGGGAGAGGAGAGGTAGTGGCCCAGGGTCACTCAGCGAGTTGGTGTCAGAACTGGGGATTCTTCTCCATTCCCTCCATCCCCTCGACTCCCCTTCCTGCCTAGACCCCAGCCTCCTGCCTCCTGCTGATGGAGTGGGCCTGTGGCTACCTTGTTCCTGTCATCCATCCATACCTCCCTCCCTGCATCCCTCCCCAAGCCTCTGTCGATGTCTTCAGGTGTCAGGTTCTGCTCTAGGTGCTGGGGAGGCCTGTCAAGGCCTGACATTCTAGTGGAGCTGAATGTGGAGCTGCCATTCTAGTGGCACCAGAGTGAGCAATGAACAAGTCATCACGTAAGCAAGGCTGTGGCAGAGAGTGCCAGCGTGAAGGTGGCTGGGAGAAACTGGGCGCCTGCGCTGGAGCCTGGCTCAAAGAGGGGAGAATTCTGAGGCTCAGGGGTGGAATCAGCACTGAGGGCAACTGATATGAGCCAAAGAGCCACGGGAAGCGCAGGCCGGGCAGAGGGACCCGGTGGTGTGGAGTAAATCCCTGCTTGCCAATTTCCAGATGGGAGGCGAGAAGCAAGTTGTGGAACCTTTCTAGTCTTCCGTTTTCCCATGCTGAGTGGGGATGAGACTTCACCTGTCTCCTGGTGCTTGAGTGTTCAGCAAGCTGTGGCCTGAGAAGGGCCTAGCACTGGGTCAGGCATGGGGGGTGCTGGGGTGTAGCAGCTGATTTAAGTCCACCCTCAGGACTCTTGGACTGCAGGAGAGGACACCCAGGCTGGGTACTGGAGGGCTGGGTGTGGGTCCCTGCTTTGGGACTCGTGACCCCCCCTAGTCTTCTCATGTGTGGCCATGTTTTAGAGTGTGAAAGAGGCAAATGCATGAGTTTTGCCCTCCTAAGTGACTTAGTTTAAGAGACTTCTGGACTCAAGCAAAGGCTGCATATCCTTCTTTCTGCATCCCTCTAGAAGCCCAGCTGGTGGAATCCCGAAACTTGGTGGTCGAGCATGGGAAGATTCAGACTTACACATGGTCAGCTAAGACCCCAGGGCTCCGACGGTGGCACTGCGTGGCAGACTTGAATTGAAAGACAGGGGACCCTGATCTTATTCAGTCTCTGTTCTTCAGTAGGGAGCCGGAAGCTCAGGAGGATATGGGGCTTTCCCAGGGTCACACCCTGAGCTGGAGACTGAACATCATTGCCACAGGCATTCTCTAGCAGCTGAGAGTGGTGTGTTCTAGAAGGGAAGTAGTGTTGAGCTGGGAGGGCAGAGACTTTAGACTAGAAGGGGAAGGGAGAAAGATGTTCATGAAGAGGCTCAACTGGATGGTAGGTATTTAGTTGGGTGGATTGATCCCATTTTACAGAGGGGGACACTGAGGTGGCTCAGAGTGTTTAAGTGACTCGCCAAGGTCACACGCTGCTAAGGGGCAGGGCTGCCAAGTCATAGTCATTACTTACTGCTAGGCTGAGGGACGATGCCAAGATTGGGGTCCAGAGATGGCGGTGCCCTTCTTCTCTCCTTGTGTCTCCCTGCAGGGAAATGAGGACCCTTCAGCTATATCATCCCCTGCCCCCAGCACCCCATGGATTCACTTGGGGTGATCCGAAGGACTTGGAGTGGATGCACTTCCCCCTGGATCCCTGTCTTCACTGAAGACATTTCCATGTCTGTGTCCTTGCAGGAAGAGGCTGCCCTCCCAAGATGATGAAGCTGAAGAGCTCAAGGCGTTATCGCCAGCTGAGTCCCCTGTGGTCGCCTGGTCGGATCCGACAACCCCACAGGGCACTGAGTGAGTGGGGGTACCCTCTGGGGCCTCAGAGTCAGAAGGGCGGGTAGAAATGAGCAGACCAAGGGAGGTGTCTGTGTGGAAGGAAGATTTACCGGTGGCTGCCGAGTAGCAATCAGAGCTGAACCCAGGCTGCTTCTCGCTGGCCAGTTCTGTCCAGAACCACAGACAGTGGGCCCTGGGGAGTCCATAGCTTTACGAACTTCCCAGGTGATTTGGAGGCAGCTGGTCTGCGGAACAATGTTTGGAGGTCACAGTGAAGGTGTTTGGACTAGTATCTCTGACGTCTAGCTGCGAAGGTTGGGTCAATGGGGGATGTGTTCCTGAAGGGTTTGAGACTGGGCTGTGGTCTGGAATCCCCATCACAGCCCCTAGTATGACTGCAGTTAACTCTGGGCTTTTCTTCTGATAATCTACCCGTAATTTTGGAGCCTATGTTTAACAGAGTCATGGAAAGCTCAGAAAGGCTAAAGGAACAGGAAAATATCTCAGTTTCACCTATAGTCCGGTTGTCCATTTTGGCATATGGTGGGGTCACATCTCATACAGTGGGGAAAGGAGTAAGGTTGGGACCTAATATCACAAAATAAGCAGAAATAATATTAAAACAGGCAGGTCTAATATTAAAAATTACCCTTGAAAATTCTTAATAAGCTCAACATGGAGATGCACGTATTAGGTAGGTGAAGCTGCTGTAACAAATAGACCCCAAAGATTCAGGGACTTAAGAAACCGAAGCTGTCTTAGATGTCACAGTGGTGTCACCAGGGGTGTTTCAGGTTGGTGGAGGGCTCTGCTCCATGCAGTCATTCAGGAACCCAGCCAGCAGAGACTCTGCCACTTTGGTGTAGCTTGCAAGATCCTGCTGTCACCACTAGAAAGAGAGATCTCCAGATCTAGTGAGTTGCAAGTAGCATGTTACTCACATTTCATTGCTGAGAGCTCACATGGCCACATCTGGGAAATGTGGCCCTGCCTGGGTGGTGAGTACTCCCAGCAGGTGAGAATGATGTGGGCTCTTACCTCTACCACAACTGGGTGCTGCGTCCCATCAGGACCCACCACAGGTTGTCTCCAGGCTGGCTTCCTCAACTGAACCCGAGAGGAACAGTTAACTGGAGTTTTGATGCCTTAATATATGGGGAAAAATCTGTATACATGAGTCCTACACTCAGCTCAGTGAGTCAATTACAGGAAGCTGGTTCTCACAGGTGTCTCCACTCCCCCAGGGTCCTCACCCACCCCGAGCAGAAGGGCAGGCAGCCCCTCTTTCATTCTCTGTCTGTTTCTTTCTCTCTCTCTGCAAATTCATCAAATTTAATTCTTAAAGTTAAGGCATATAGCTGAAGGATTATATAATATATCTCCATTTTTTTTTCCTACCAACTATTTCCTAAGACTAAAAAAGTAGTCCTGCCCTCTGTGATCTGTCCTGGATGTGTATTTCATGTGACCCCCAAAGTGGAACTAACAGCCCTGAACTGAGTCCCAACAGTTTCCCCCTCAATTTCAAGAGGAATCAGTCTATTCAGAGTAACTCATCTGAGTCAGAGGCAACTTGGTCCATTTTCTAGAAGCTGGGCCAGCGCACCAGGCGTTATCCCCAGGCTGAATTTCCTCCAAGGACATATTAAAGTAGTTTTGCTGTTTCTGATGTCAGAGGGGCACTGGGGCAGGATTTCCTCCATCAGGCCTCGTGGGTCCTTCCCTCTCAGTTGCTCAGCTTCAGTGGGTGTTTCCACAGTGGCCAGGACCGCGCGTCCTCCACAGCCAGCCAGAACAGCGCCATCATCAATGACCGTCTCCAGGAACTGGTGAAGCTTTTCAAGGAACGGACGGAGAAGGTGAAGGAGAAGCTCATCGATCCTGATGTCACTTCCGATGAGGAGACCCCCAAGCCCTGTGAGTCCAGAGCTGGGGAATGGCCACGTGCCCAGGGGGGGAGCGGGGCTCCTAAAATCTCCTGTCAAATCATGGCCCCTGGAATGCTGGGGTGCACAAGAGAAGCACAGGGCACCTCTCTGGACTGTGGGTCCATAGGCAAAGGGTTAGTTGAATAATCAGGAAAGGAGGTGAAAGTTCTGGCCAATGACCCAGCTGTACATGGCTCCCCTTCTGCAGGAAAGGTGCCCTCATTGACCTGCTCCCTTCCCACTGGCCGGCAGCGGGTGACCTCAGGATGTGTCCCTGACTCTTACACTCAGATGGAATTAGAGAGCTTATTTTTCAGAGGCTTCCACTGCAATATTCCTATGGGGCTACTGACAGTTTCTTGCTTTTGAGGTCCCAGGAGGATCTAAGAACCATGCTGTCTTATCAGGGAGGCCTTCTAGGTCTTTCCAGAAGACAGCTACACCTTATAACTCATGGTGACAAACACTGGGCCTCGCAGAACCCGTCTTTACAGTCCTCAACCTGGAAACAGCCATATTGAACCCATAAGGCTACTCTCCAGGGGCCAAAAGTCATCGCTGTTGAGGCAAAAGAAGGCAGAGCCCCTTTACTATCTTGTTTTAGTGATGAAGGGGCTGAGATTCCTGCTCTGAGAAACCTAGGGCAGTGTTTCCCTGACTTTCGACCCCGGGGGGTTGAAGTCCCGGGTACAAACACCTCCAGCCCTCCAGAGGAAACCAAGGGGGCCCAAATATAGATAGAAGCAGACATTCAATTCAAGCATCCATCTTGCCCAGAAATACCCTGTTCTGGAAAACTCCTGAGACCAGAAGCTGCTAAGAGTTTGGGGAGGGTACCTAGGTCATTTAAGAGGAAATGTGGGGTTTGATCCAGGAGAGCGCCCTGTTTTCTGCATACAGAGCTTGCAGCTGGTTGTGAGCCCGCCCAGGTCTGCAGCTGTAAGCTCTCTCTCTGCACCCTCTACCTGAGCCTCAGGGCTGGGTGAGATGGTGACTGTCATCCTATAGCCCCTTCCAAGAAGACCCCAGAGCCAGCCCCAGAGGTGAAGCCGACCGAGGCACCAGCTGAGGAAGAGCATTACTGCGAAATGCTGTGCTGCAAGTTCAAGCGCCGTCCCTGGAAGAAGTACCAGTTTCCCCAGAGCATCGACCCACTAACCAGTGAGTCCTGGGTTGGCCCTGGGCATTGCCATCATGTGATATAAGAGGGCAGGTGGTGGGAGGGGAAACCATGGACTCTTGACCCCAAACTGAACAAAATCCTTGAGTGAGGAACAGAGGATCACACCCATCTTACAGATAAGGAAACTGAGGCACAGAGCAGTTAACTGGCCTAAGACACAACTAGTTAGTGGCAGACTCAGGGCTCCTGACACTTGGCCAGGTCTTCCCTGCTCTTGCTGTTTCCTTCCCAAAGCTGCTCCTCTGGGAAAGGCAGAAGTTCCTCCATTTTGAAGTGAATTTCTCTCATGTTCCTTTAAAGCCATGTTTTGTTCCTCAGGAATACCAACCCTTCATGTGTGCACAGCACTTCACAGTTTAGTTTCTTATCTCACCTTTTGGTGTGACTTGAGGAGGGCAGGACAGGTGCCAGAGAAGGACTTTCCCAAGGTCACATAAGCAGTCATTTGGGAGGAAGCACTCCAACCCTGTGCCCAGTGGGTCTCCAAAAGTGACCTGTGGGCACGCAGACCTCTCCTGCCGCCCGCTGCTCCCCTCAGCACCCGCTGGTCCCCTCAGCAGTGTACTTTGGTCCTTCTGCCTGTTCTGCCCCCAGCTATGGCTCTGGTGAATTCTCTCACCCTCCTGCACTTCTGACTGTATCCAGTGCTTGTATAAATAAATAATCTTTTTAAAAAATTAAAAAATAAAATAAAAGTGACTTGTGGTATCCATCCATCCATCCATCCATCCATCCATCCATCCATCCATCCATCCATCTGTTCATGCATCCATCCATTCATCTCCGTCCATCCATCCATATGTCCATCCATCCATCCGTCCGTCTATCCATTCACCTGTTTGTTCATCCATCCATCCATCTGACCATCTGTCCATCCATCTGCTCATCTATCCATACACCCATCCATCCGTCCATCTTCACCTGTCTGTCTATCCATCCATCCATCTGTCCAACCATCTGTCCATCTCCTATGAATGCTTTACTAAGACTAGAAATATATATTTTGGGAGAATAATTTCAATAAGAATGGAAGCAGGTGTTTTCTAATAGCCATCTATTATCTTACATGCTCCCTTATCCCTTCCTCAGAATGCTATGATTTATTGGGGCCAATCAGTCATTTATTTCTAAATCAAAGCTAGTTTTACCTTTGCCTCTAAGTTACAGAAGAGCCACATGTGTTGCTTATGGGAAAGTGTGAACAAATGAGAAGAGGGAAGCCCCAATCTAACCCTACCGGGAGGAGCCCTGCTCTACTTGACATTCTAGCATGTTCCTGCCTTCTCCCTGCTCCCAGACCTGATGTACATCCTGTGGCTGTTCTTCGTGGTGCTGGCCTGGAACTGGAATATCTGGCTGATTCCAGTGCGCTGGTCCTTCCCGTACCAGACATCTGACAACATTCACCTCTGGCTGTTGATGGATTACCTGTGCGACCTCATCTACCTCCTGGACATCACCGTGTTCCAGCTGCGCCTGCAGTTTGTCAGAGGGGGGGATATCATTGTGAGTCACCCGCAGGTTGGGGGGTCTGGGGGTGCCTGGGAGTAGGCCCTGTGGCCAGAACCTTCAGGAGGTGGTAGTAGACAAGAAGATAGATGTACAAGCAAAGCTCAGCACATGTGCCCTCAACAACCCCGTTGCTTATTTCACGCGCCTTTGATACATTCAATTATCACCTATCAGTCTTGGGTGAAGTGGCGCTAGGGCACCTGATGGCGTCAGAGGTGGAGAAGTGGCTTCCACCGTGTGCGTGGGCCTGTTTCAGATCCCAGCCCCACCACAGCGAGCTGTACCCCTTCTCCGAGCCTCAGTTTCCTCACCTGTAAAGTGGGGTTAGTAATCGCCCCCACCTTGTAGCAGACGGGCGCAGTGTCCAGCACAGTCACTGTTGGCGTCCCAGTTCTGACTGGCAGCGCCTACTCCGCTGTGGCAGACAAGCGGAGGGTGTGCCTCTAAAACAGATTCGAGGAAAATGAATTTCCTGGGCAACCTCTTCCCTGGTGAATCCAGGCGGCTGTCAGTTCCTCAGCAAATAAGGTGCAAGTGAGACCACACTAAGAGAAAACCAGCATCCTCGCTTTCCATCTACCTGGTGACCTTGGGCCTGGGGAGACCAGCCTCCTCACTTGTGGGCCCTAAGGCTTTCCCCGACATGCACCTTGTGCACTCAGGGCCTTCCCGTCATGCAGGTGGGGTGCCCGGGGCCTCCACCATAGCCCTGTGGGTCGGGATGAGCTCACAGGCCACCCCGTACTCATGGCTCGTTCTCTTGCAGACAGACAAAAAGGAGATGCGCCAGAACTACATGAAATCTCGCCGCTTTAAGGTGGGTGCAGGGGTGCTCGCTGCCGCCGGATCTTGGAAGGGTCTCCAGGGTCTGGCTGCTTCAGGGCAGGGTGACTGGGTCCCTTCCAGGGCCAGCAGAGGCTGGGAGCCAAACTGTTGCTTGCTGGGGGGATGCCTCCTGCCCTCGGTTTTGGGCCTTCCCTGGGCATTCCAAGCCCTCCTTTGCACCCTACATCCCTGGGCTTACCTGGGTCATGCACTGGGGTGTCCCCTGGGATTTCAGATGGATGTGCTCTGCCTCCTGCCCTTGGACTTTCTCTACTTGAAAATGGGCGTGAATCCTCTCCTCCGCTTGCCCCGCTGTTTGAAGGTAAGACGGGCATCTTCCCGGGGCCCGCGCCAACGCCGTGTTCCAGCAGGTGTCCCTGCACCTGTAGATCAGCCCTGAGCCTGAGCGGTGCACCTGGGAGGTGCGGGGTGGGGTGGCCCAAGGGAAGCTCAGGACAACTCTTCATGTTTCTCTGGTGCTTCACACAGGCTTGCCCTTACATTGCTCCCGGTGGGTGTGTATTCCCACCATTTTACACACGAGAAGCTGAGGCACAGAGAGGTTAAGTAACTTGCCTGACGTTACACAGGTAGGAAGGAGTGGAGTCTGGATTTGAACCCTGACCATCTATCTCCTCTGTCTATGCTTTCAGTTACCTCAGGGACTCCCAACAGTGGGATTGCTGATTTTTGATGGTCTCCTTCCAAAGTTGGGGAAACTGAGGCTTGGAAAGCAAGGGGAACTTGACTTGCCCAAGTCACAGGATCCAGGAAGTGGCAGGGTGGATTTGAATGTGTAGCTAGCAACCTGTTTCCTTATGGCTGTTGTTCAGTGTCATTACAGTTTCTGCTGCCTCTGGGGATGCTGGTGTCCCTGCCAGGGTGACTCAGTGTGGCACAGAGACCTGCAACTGTCCATTAAAGAGACCAGGCTTAATAGCCAGTACTCAGGAGTCCCCAACTGGGTTTTTTTTTTTTTTAGATTTATTTTTTATTTATACAAGAGCTGGGGTACAGGCCAGATGCACGGGAGGGTGGGAGGATTCACCAGAGACAGAGCAGGGAACAGAACAGGGAGACTGACGAAATACACTGCTGAGGGGAGCAGTGGGCAAGACAGGAGAGGTCTGCTGCGCCATGTGGGTTGCTCTGAGGCCGGCAGGGATAGAACTGGCACTGCAGAGGCTGCGGACAGCTTCACAGGGCTGTGCTTAACTACCTGAGTTTTTTGTCAACTAATTAAATTCATCTTTCTTCTCATTGATGCTTATGGTGCTTCCTTAAAATGGTAATGAGGGGATTTACAAAAGAGGCAAGTGCATTGACCTTTAATAACCCAGAGAGATTGGGCAGAGCAAAAATAGGAAGGATGCAAGTACCTATGGAAAAGAAAGCTCCTCTTGCTGGGCTCTGGCATAGATGCTGCTGCTGATCTTCCTGGCTGCTGAGAGGAAGAGGGAAACTGGAAGGAAGAGGCAGCCTTCTCTGACCTGTGCTGGCCTCCTGGGAGCTGCAGAGGTCACTTCCTCTCTTGGGAAGGGGGAGATGGGGTGCAGGGAGATCCTCGCTGTGGTGAGTGTGCATTTCTCAGGTGCCTACATTTAGAACCATTGAAGATGTGGTTCTTCCAGACTCACGTGAGGGGCCCAAGTCCAAGGTCCTTCTGCAGTCAGTGCAAACTCTGGATGGAAATTAGGACCAATACCGAGATGATGCTTATGGCATCGATGTTATTTCCAAACATCGAAAAGCCTGTGTGTAGAGGTCTAGAGGGGGTGTAGCGTGATGCAAAGAGCTTGCCCTTTGGGGTCAGATGTGGTTCAAATACTGACACTTACCAGCAGGGTGCTTTGAGGCAAGTTATTGGACTCCCTGTGCCAATTCAGTGCCTGTGTAAACATGTGATACAGAGATGCCTGGGAAGCAGGGCCATTAGAGGCCCTGGCCAAGAGGAGCGGTTGTTACTACACTTTTATCATCACGAATGAGCCATAGGACAACATGAGTGGGGGGTGTCAGGGATGCTGTTTCTTTGTAGAATTATTTTCATTATACAAAAACATCAAAAACAGGGCCTCCCCTGGTGGCGCAGGTGGTTGAGTGCCACGCTGTGAAGCTGTCCGCGGTCTCTGCAGCGCCGGTTCGATCCCGGCCAGCAGGTGAGGGTCCCACATGGCGCAGCAGACCTCTCCTGTCACGCCTGCTGCTCCCCTCAGCAGTGTATTTCATCAGCTTGCCTGTTCTGTTCCCCGCTCTGTCCCTGGTGAGTCCTCTCACCCTCCCACGAATCTGGCCTGTACCCCATTTTTTTTAAAGATTTATTTATACAAGCACTGGGTACAGTCAGAAACATGGGAGGGTGAGAAGATTCACCAGAGCCAGAGCGGGGAGCAGAACAGGCAGACTGATGAAATACACTGCAGAGGCTGCGGGCAGCTTTGCAGCCCAGCACGCAACCGCTGCGCCACCAGGGGAGACCCTGTACCCCATTCTTATATAAATAAATAAATCTTTAAAAAAACAACAACCAAAAAAACCCATCAAAAACAGGGTCCTTAGGGCCTCCCCGGTGGCGCAGCGGTTGAGCGCTGGGTTGCAAAGCTGCCAGCAGCTTCTGCAGACCGGTTCGATCCCCGGCCCCTAGGCAAGGGTCCCACATGGTGCGCAGACCTCTCCTGCCGCCCCCTACTCCCCTCAGCAGTGTACTTCGGTCCTTCTGCCTGCTCTGCTCCCCATTCTGGCTCTGGTGAATTCTCTCACCCTCCCACGCTTCTGACTGTACCCAATGCTTATATAGGGTCCTTAGCTGGGGGTGCTTGGACCCCTAAAAGTTTCGTGATAAGATTCAGGGCCAGTGCCCCCTGACATTGCACCAACTATGAGAGTGTGATTAGCAGATGAACTTTCTGTGGGAAGATGAGCTGTGATTCTCGGCAGATTCGTGATGGAGCCCCAAGGGGTAAGGACCTCTGATTATCAACATCGGCTCTCCAGGACCCTCCCTCCAGGGGCTGCAGAAAGCATCCTCAGGCCTGGCAGTGTAGTGTGGGGACCGGGTTGGGGTGCTATGCACAGCCACCCCACAGGGCGGGGGTGACCCTGATACCTTGTCCTTCTTCCCAGTACCTGGCCTTCTTTGAATTTAACAACCGCCTGGAAGCCATTCTCAGTAAAGCCTACGTTTATAGGTGAGACTCTTCCACCCCTGCATACACACGTGCGCACACACTGGCATGCACATGGGCACACACGTATGTGCACTCACATCGAGGATGGAGCCTCGTTGCAGCGAGAATGGAGCCAGACATTCTCTACCCCCATTGCTTCCTCTCGCAAGCCCCCCTGGCCGGGCAGGCCCTGCTGCCACCGGAAGCAGGGCCTCTTCCTGGTTCTTCTCCAAGGGATGTTTGTTTTTTAGAGAACCAGGACTATCCCATTTCCCCCAATTGTGAGGAGGACAGACATAGGTTGACACGCCCGGCTCACCCGCATTTCCAGGGAGCTGGTCTCATTTTGGTCTCCCTTAAGGGAATGGACGCCCGTCACCCAGCTCAAACATTGGGTGACAGTTGCAAAGACACAGTAGGCCATCAGGGGCACCCAAGGATGGGGTTCCAGACCCGTCAGGTCACGCTCAGGGACAAGCTCTGCTCCACATTTCATGGCGCTGCCCTTCTCCACACACCGTCTGTCCCTCTCCTTGGCACCTGTCTTCGCTGGAGCCCCAAATTGTCTGTCGGGAGCTCTGTGCCAACTCCAGTCCCCCTTGTAACAACTGTGCTCCTGCACTGCCACTCCTAATTGGCACCTCTCAAGAGAGCATGAAGTTCACCCACCCCAGCCACGGAGTGGTCCCAGGGCCAGCACCCATCCCGCCTGGCAGCTGGGAGGGAGGATGCTTCAAGGGGGCAATCTCAACGTGGGCATGGAGGGAGGGCAAGGCTGGCTTATTCCCTGCAGTCCCGGCCCCTGGGGAGGGAGACCGGCACCACCCTTTTGGCTGCTGTGTTCATGCTTTTCGTCTTCTGCAGAGTGATCAGGACCACCGCCTATCTGCTCTACAGTTTACACGTGAACTCCTGTCTGTATTACTGGGCATCGGACTACCAGGGCATCGGCTCCACGCACTGGGTTTACAATGGTGTGGGAAACAGGTGAGCCAGTCACCCTCCTGGGGCCAAATTCAGGGCACACAGACTTCAGCACCATGTTGCTGAAGCCACCTTGCTCCCAAGGAATCACTGACACGATGAGGCCCAAGTCCTCATGTCTTCACTAAGCTAATGCTGCCAGAGCACCGGCCACGTTCCAGGCAGCTGGGACCTGGACATGAACGAGCCCTGCTACAAAGATCCGCTTAGCAGGCCCAAACCTAGTAGAGTTGGCAAATTCACCGCATGTGAAAAACAGAACTTCAGGGATGTCCCTTGCCATGGCGAGTGCGCCAATCAGGAGAGGCTGGAGGGAGAAAGTCCAGCGTTTTTCCTGTCTTTTTTCTGTGGGTGGTCCCGTTGCATCCACACCCCAGCATCTGGAGAGCCCCCAGCTCCGTCCTGCCAACGGCTGCCTCACACGCCCTCTGGTGGCCAGAACCAGCATGACGGGCCCTCCTTAGATGTCCTCACCCAGGTGGTCATGCTGTGCAGGGAGAGCCAGATCTTTGCTCCAGACCTGGAAGCTAGTCAGAGGCAGAGACCCCCATCCCAGCTCCCCGATGACCTCCCTGTCCCCCTCCCCACGCCCACTGCACACTGGCTGTGCCTGTTCCCCCTACCCATTCAGCTTCTTGAGACACAGGCCAGTCTGTTGTTCTTTGTGTCCTGCAGACGTGCGGCTGCCCAGTGACAGCGAGCTGCTGGTGGCTGACATTTACCAAGAGCCCACCATGTGCCAGGCCCTCTCTAGCCTCCCTTTTGTGGTCATGATCACCCTGCCAAGGAGGTTCTATTGCCAGGCCCATTTCAGGAGAAGGAAGCTGAGGCTTGGCAAGATGGAGCAATTTGTCCCGTCACTCTGCTAGAAAGCAGCAGAGCTGGGTTTGAGCCCAGCCAGCCTGGCTCCAGAGCCCACGTTCCAATGCCATGGGCTGGTTTGGGGTCATCCTCAGAGCGGACAATTATTTCCCGACTGGTTGATGTTCTTGACTTTGAAGCTGAGCTAGGACCCTGGAAGATGGGTGTGTAGGGACCTGGGCCAACTCCAGATGGCTCCCGAGTGCCCTGATAAGAGGGCAGGAAGGTCCAGGACAGCTGACCAGGACTGGCCTGATTGGAGGCCTTGTGAGCCTCACCCCCATGCTGGGAGGCACGGTCTGCAGGTATGGACAGGAGCTTGAGTGGCTCTGGCTGCTTCATGATGGCCAAGCTCAGGCTTTTCCTAAGCCTTTGACCACACACACAGGCCCCCTTCACCCACAGCTCCCTTCCTGATGGTTCGTGGGCCTCTGTCAAGGAACAGATGACACCCTGGCTTCCAGGAACTTGCCAGCTGGTGATCATGGGTGTTCCCTTGCCCTTTGGGGGCCTCAGCTTCACCATCTGGAAAGTGGGAAGACAGGGAAGGTGGGCCTTGAGCTGTCTTCCAACATCATCATAGCTCTTGTGCTCTGGGAACCAACATGATGGGGTAGCGAAGGAAAGACTGAAATATTGGAAGGATATTGTGGGAAATGTTAGGAGCACAGGCATCAGGAACTGCAAGAGTCAGGACCAAACCAGACAGCGTATTCCAGGGTCTGCTCTTGCTGCAAATCTCAGAACATTCTTGGGCCTAAAAGGTGGTTCTCCTTATATTTTCCTTTGGGGCTCCATGCACATCTATCGGTCAGGCCACCCAGGGTCATGGGGGGGTCTGTGACGACCAAGGACACCTTCTCTTCTGTCCCTAGTTACGTTCGCTGTTTCTACTGGGCTGTGAAGACCCTCATCACCATTGGTGGGCTGCCTGACCCCGAGACTCTCTTTGAAATTGTCTTCCAGCTGCTGAACTATTTCACGGGCGTCTTTGCTTTCTCCGTGATGATCGGACAGGTAGCTGGGTCACTAGTGTAGCTCCCCACCCACCTGCCTGCAGGTCCTTCTCCTTCCCATTGCTGTCAGCATCTGTGCTCTCTCCTGTGGGACCCAGCCCGGGAAAGAACCCTGGCCCAGGAGTCAGGCGCCTGGAACTCTGGGCCCCGCTGGATAAATGGGGTGCTGGTCTCCAGGTCCTCTCCCTCTCTGAGGTTGCCCAGCTGAAATGTCAATCCCTTAGGGATATGTTGGATGGCTGAACAGAATAGTTTTCTGCAAAGGTTGAGGATTTGGGCTCTTCCCTTGGAGAGAAGTCCTGGGGGGTTTCTCACATGTAGGGGTGCATCTGCTATTCTGGTCAGTACATGAGGCCACCATCGTGCAGTGCATGGGGTTCATCTGTCTTCCAGCTTGAGGTCAAAGGGCCTCTGGCACGGAGGGGCTACATTACACCAGAATCAGCCCATTGCAGTGAGGTACCCCCTCCTCTGCAACCTAGGGGCTTGAGGCTGCAGAGGGTACCCCCACGCTGGGGCCAGAGCTGCCTCTGTTCACCAAACCTTTGTGTGCAGGCACATGTCTCCTCTTTCTCCCCATCTCCCTTACCACTCACGCCTATGCCCCTGGTCTGTACAAAGTTGCCCCCCAAGTCCCCAAAGTGTGGTCATTGGCCCACTCTGGCCCAGCAGCCCCCTTAACTCCCCTGTCCCACCCCAGATGAGAGACGTAGTGGGGGCCGCCACTGCGGGACAGACCTACTACCGCAGCTGCATGGACAGCACCGTGAAGTACATGAACTTCTACAAGATCCCGAGGTCTGTGCAAAACCGGGTCAAGACCTGGTACGAGTACACCTGGCACTCCCAAGGCATGCTGGGTAAGATGGTGCCCCATGGCCCTGGGGTTTCCCCCCACCGACTCCCCCAAGCCTGCCATCCTGGGCTCGTCCCATCCTGTGTCCCTGAGTCCCAGGCTACTGGGGCCTCTCTGGCTGCAGCCCCAACATAGACGTGAGAGGGGTTCAGGGAGACCCCTGAAGATCCACCCTGTCCCAGCTCACTTTACCCACCTTGAAATGCATCCCCGTCGGAGGTGGAAACACAGGAGGGGTCGAAATCAGGAGAGAAGGCATTCTCTCCCTCTCACCACCCTCTCGCTTTCCACAGATGAATGGATGGGTAGACAGATATATATCTGGTAACCTTTATGTTATACTTTGCTTCTGGAGTTTGGCCAGCTGGGGGGGGATACGCGGCCAGGTATTGGCAAGTCTGTGGACACTGAATGGCAGAATCTCCATTACCCTTCACTGCTAGTGCACATGACTCTACAGTTTACAGGCGTGTTCCCCCCAGTTGCCCCATTCCATTCTGGTGACAGCCTTGTGACACCTGCATTGCTGTTCCTTTTCAGAAGGGCACATGTGAAGGGCCAGAGAGGGCCCTGACTTGCCTTATGTCACACAGCCTCAGTGCTCGGGCCCCTGAATAATGGTGGCGCAGCGGGAGGGGCTCTGGGTTTGGGATCAGGTAGCACATTTCCTGTCTGCAGTTACCCACTTTCATTCCATGCCAGGCTCTCTGCTGGGCCCTGCAGACTCCACTGTGGCCAAGCCAATTCCATCCCTGCTCTCCTGGGGCAGACTGTGGAGTTGCATGGCCTGCTCTCAGAAGCAAGGGAGGGTGGGAATTCACCAGCAGACGGGGAACAGAACAGGCAGACTGACGAAGTACACTGGAGGGGAGCAGCGGGCGGCAGGAGAGGTTGCATACGGCCCTGGATGGGGGTTTTGATTCTGTCCCCCAGGACTACAGAGCTGTGGATAAGTCACTGCTCTCAATGAGCCTCTCTTTCCTTGTCTGTAAAGTGGGGGTTAATGTAGCAGGCACCTCGTGGGCTGCTAGAAGGATTTAATAAAATAATATTTGTAAAACACTTTGTAGAAACAGTTGTTGCTAACATTCTATGGTGTGAATAGGGAAGACAGTTCATCCACAATTTCCATAAAGGGAGTGACAAGGACTACAGCACAGGACGCTTGCATAATTGCTACTTGGTGGATCTTAAGGGTGGGCTTCCTGGAGGAGGTGACATTAGCACTGGGTTCTGAAGAATGAGTAGGAGTTAGCTGGGGGATGCACAGGGACGTCCCTGGCAGAAACATCAGCAAGGGTGAGAGAGGGTCCTCTCCTCACCTGGAGCCGCAGGGAATAGAGCCAACCAGCCAGTGCAGACTCACCCTGTGCCTGGTGGGGGTGCGCCTGGCTGTGCCTCTGACCTCTGCCAGGGTCTTGTTTGCAGATGAGTCAGAGCTAATGGTGCAGCTTCCAGACAAGATGCGGTTGGACCTTGCCATCGACGTGAACTATGACATTGTCAGCAAAGTGGCCCTCTTCCAGGTAGTGCCATCCTGGCGACCCCACCCTCAGGGCCCTGGGCTACCCAGAGCCCACACCTTCCTCTAAATGGGGCTCCTTTCCCCCCTCTGGGGCAGGGCTGTGACCGGCAGATGATCTTTGACATGCTGAAGAGGCTGCGCTCTGTCGTCTACCTGCCTAACGACTACGTGTGCAAGAAGGTGAGTGCGGAGCAGTTGCGATGTGGTCAGGGAGTCCCGGGCTCTGGGTGCTTGGCATGAGGGGGCTTTGTCCAGCTCTGTGCAATGAACTTGGATGTGCTTGCAGTTTTGCATTACATCTCCATTACATTTCCCTTAGGGGGACCATGGGGTCAGCACTAGGAACCCCATTTTACAGAAAAGGAAAGTTGGGAGCCTTAAATGGTAGGAAAGCAGTGTAGGTAGAACTGCTTTTGGCCTGGTCCTCCCATCAGGTGGAAGAAGGGTTGGGACCAGGCCAGGGGTTGTAGACTGGCCATGCTGGTTTCAGAACCATGTTTTGTGGGTTTTTTAAAATGCCTATTTTTAAAGAAAAGTTGAATTAGTTCTGAAAATTAGAAGATGTCGCATAACAATCCAGTTTCTGGCTGAAAACAGAAAATCTGCTAGCGCTGGGCCACACTGTCTCAAATAACCGAGTCAACAGGAGTGGAGAAGGCACTGCCCCTGGAGGGACGTCATGATCTCTCCTGATGCCACAGACTCTGCCACTCCCCATTGGCCCACACAAGGCCCACTTCACTCCTTTATATCACCCCCCTGAGCCTGGAAAACATTTGGGTTTGAATCTTGGGGTTAGGTGGTGTCTGGGGCACTTTCTGTTCTTACTTGTTGGGATTCAAGGTCAGACTCATCAAGGTCACCTGGTGAGTGCTTGAGGGAGGGGGCGAAGAACTAGTTTTCATTCCTCTTACTAAAGAGCTGTTAATAAGACTAGATGTGTGTGCTGGGATGAAAATAATTGTTCACGCAACCCCCGGAAGACTCTGGAATACCCATCCATGCTGTTTGAAGTTTCTGGAAGCAGAGGGCCGGGGAAAAGGTGCTGCAGGAGGCTGAAAATTCTCAAGCTGCAGCCTGAGAGTCCAAGAGATATTTGGGAACAGTAGAGTGATCTGTCTGACATTGGAGTCACTGCAATCTTGGGCAGGTAGCTTGCCCTCTCTTCTGGATAAAGTGGGGATATTGCTAGGGCCTCCCTCATGGGGTGGTTGTGAAAACTGAATAGGACATACATAGGAGTTTGGCACCTTACCTGGCATGGAGCAGGTGCTTCTGCTGTTGCAATCATCCTTGTGGGTAACAAAATTCGCTCCAGACCAGGAAAAGTGAATCAGCTTGCAGTTAGTTGGAGTACTTGGTGAATGTGTGAATGGCGCCCTCTGCTGTCTGGTTTTGCTCATGACAGTCTCACAGAGACACCCCAGGCTATCCTGGGGCAATCCAAGGCTAGTTAGTGAGGTGAGGGGAAGATCCACAGGTCTCACCCACTTTGACGCTGTGTTAACTTTGACACAGAAACAGGGAAATGAAACCTCCTTCCTTTTTTTTAATTTTAAAAATTTTTTTAGAGCTTCTTTTTTGGTTTTTTAAGATTTACTTATTCATGCATACAAGAACCTGGGTAGAGGCCAGGTGCACGGGAGGGTGAGAGGATTCACCAGAGACAGAGCGTGGAACAGAACAGGCAGACTGATGAAATACACTGCTGAGGGGAGCAGCGGGTGAGACAGGAGAGGTCTGCCGCGCCATGTGGGATTCTCGCTGGCTGGCTGGGATTGAACCCGCTCTGCAGAGGCTGCAGACAGCTTCACAACGCTGTGCTCAACTGCCTGCGCCACCAGGGGAGGCCCCCCCGCCTTTATTTTAAAGAAGCGCATGCATTTATGAGATGCCCAGACATTTGTCAAATGAATCACAAATGTAATCCTGACCTGTCTGTTCCCTTCATACGTGCCAGGTGTGACTGACAGGTAGCAGGTAAGGGCAGGGACCTCTGAGGCATGAGGATTGGAAAGTACATAGCAGCCTGGGTATTTCTGATTGCAGTCCAAGCTGCAGTTCAATAACCATTCATTCATTCATTATGATTTAATTTAGAGTTAGACCTGTGTATTAGTCTGCAAGGGCTGCTGTAACAATGGGCCACCAACCAGAAAGCTTACACAACAGAAATTCATTGTTGCACAGTTCTGGAGGCTGGAAGTCCAAGATTAACATGTTGGCACTCCTGACTCCAGTATAACCTCCTACAATTTAACAAATGTTATTTATAATGCTCCTATTTCCAAGTAAGGTCACATTCTGAGGAACTGGGGCTTAGGACTTGAGCATATGACTTTCAGGGGAACACATTCCTATTCATGGTGACCATGAGGTCTGGGACCAGACATTGGGCTCGAATCCTGGCTCTGTGTAGGCCTGGCCTTGTGACCTTGGGCAAAGTGTCCCTGCCTCAGTGGGCTGTTAGGATTAAGTAGGCTCGGCCACATAAGACACTTAGAACAGTGCCTGGTGCAAGGAATTGCTGTGCAAGCATGAGCATTATTATTGCTTATTCCTATTTCAAATTTTTGCAAATACTTGCTGAGCCCCTGGTGTGCTGTGTGCTGGGCACAGGTGCCCATTTATTGTATGAGGCACTGGTCGGTGCCCCACAGGGTATACAATTAAGATTTTGCAGATCACACCTGCACCTCACAACACATCTAGCTAATTCCTTTCCACAGACCTGTGGGTCATGCAGGCTGGGGGTGGTCACGGCCCTCCATCCACAGATGGGGAGACTGAGGCACAGGGAAAAAGTGTCTGACCCCACACCACATCCCGTGTAGACAGCAGGGCTGGACACCAGCCCAGGTTCCTCCTCACTGTACCACCCACCTCTGCACCCTCTCCTGCTGCTTTTGTAGTCTTTGGCTATGACAGAGGGCCCCCCCTTCTCTGTTTCAGGGGGAGATAGGCCGTGAGATGTATATCATCCAGGCGGGGCAGGTGCGGGTCCTGGGTGGCCCGGATGGCAAGTCTGTGCTGGTGACACTGAAAGCCGGATCTGTGTTTGGAGAAATAAGGTCAGAGGGGAACTGGGGTGAAATGGGGGGACTGGGCTGAGGTTGGGGGTGGGGGACCATCGATAGGACCCTGTCCTCATGGGATCTGAGAATGCTGCACAGGTGCCAGCCGACACGGCAGGGTGCACCCCCCTTGCCTGCATGCGACAAGGTAAAGTCAAGAATTTAGTGGGGTCAAAGCCGCAGCCCCTGAGGGTCTCACCTGCCCCTTTCTCTGCCCCAGTTTGCTGGCTATCGGTGGGGGGAACCGGCGCACGGCCAACGTGGTGGCCCACGGCTTTACCAACCTCTTCATTCTGGATAAGAAGGATCTGAATGAGATTTTGGTGCATTATCCTGAGTCTCAGAAGTTACTCCGAAAGAAGGCCAGGTACATTTTTTTTTCCTTATTAAAAAAAAGTCCATTTAACTTTTTGTGTGCATTTTAGCAGGACTAGAACTTTCTCTTACAAAACCTTTAGCGAGCTCAGTCATACCTAGATCAAAATCAGAAAATTCAATATTGAAACCATACTATTTTGTCATCCCTTGTCCATATTCAGATTTTGCTGAATGTCCCCAGGGGCTTGTCTAATTCTCCTTTTCCATCCCTGCATCCAGCTGAGGGCCTTCGGCTACACTAAGTCCCCAGGGAGCTGCAGTCTCCTTCTAGGCAGATAGTTCTCCAGCCTCTTTCTTTAATGGTTTCAGCTTCTTTAAAGGGGACAGGCTAGTTATTTTGAAGAATGCCCCTCTACTTAAGTTTATTTGGTGTTTTCTCATGATTACCTTCTGCTTCTGCATTTGGGGCAGGAAACACTCAGAAGTGATGTCTCCTTTTCGGTGCTGTGTACTGAGAGGCCTAGGACACTGTTTTTTCCTAGGACTGACAATTTTTACCTTGATCACTTGGTTAAATTTTCTGTACTCTCGGGTTACTATTTTTCTTCTCACAATGAATCAGTAATTAATGGGATGTCATTTAAGATGCCATAGAGATCCTGTTCCCATTCTGTTCCCTCTGCTTGCAGAATCTACGGAAGGTTTTTGCAAAATCAGGGATCACCATGATGGCTGTAGAATGATAATTTTTTTCACCCCATCAAGCATTCTGCATTGGTGTGGGGGGGGTGAGAGGTTTCACCAGAGGGGGAAACAGAACAGGCAGACTGACTGAAGTACACTGCTGAGAGGAGCAGCGGGCGAGACAGGAGATGTCTGCTGCGCCATGTGGGTTGCTCCCTGGCCGGCTGGGGCATCGAATGTGTGCTGCAGAGGCTGCGGACAGCTTCATAGGTTGTATCTTAACCCCTTGCACCACCAGGGAGGCCCCCTTTTGCATTTCTTAGCTAGCCTTCTACTCTTGGCAAGAATTTTTTCATTTTTCTACTTGTATCAGTATGGAGTTACCTTATGAACACCCTATTAAATCATTATTTTGATTATATTACAATCCTATTGTATTACAATATCTTATCCCAATCATTATTTTGATGTTCAAAGGCTCCAGATATGGCCATTGGGCACCCCCCTGAGTCTGGCTCTTGTGACTCTTTGCTAATATCTCCACCTGTTCAGGCACTGCTTTGCTTATAGCACAGCTTGGGCTTGACACCAGCCTCATCCCTGCTTTTCCTGCCTCACCCTTGGAAATGGCCATCTCTCCAAGGATGATTGATTCCTTTTAGAGGAGAATGGTTTTAAAAACCAATATCTGAATACTAAGTGTGCTTATCACTATGGGGTGTTACTAGGCTCCAACAGAGACAGAGCTGGGAAATGTACCCAAGTATATACCCACACATGTAGACACATATGCTGAAATGTATAGTCACATCTGTTTTCTGGATCTATCAATCAAATCTATCTATCTATCTATCTATCTATCTATCTATCTATCTATCTATCTATCTATCTATCTATCTATCTATCGATCTATCTATTGAACTGTCTGTCTGTCTGTCTATCTAATCTACCCATGCATCCATCCACCCATCTATCAACTATCTATCATGTCTCTATTTTAATATAACACCATCTACTCTCCCTTTCTACATTTGTATGTTTCTTCTCCATGGTTGTTTTCCTCATAACAAGTATTCATTTGATCAGTCTTACCATATAAAGAAAGTTGTCTTTTATTTGACACAGATGATGTAAGTGTTGTGTTCAAAGTTTTCTGGGTACGTTCTCTTTTTCTTCCGTTTTATGGGTTATTTAATTCACTTGAAATACAATTAGGCTTGTGTGTTCTGGTTTGTGCTCCATTTTGGGTACCCCGATCCGTGTTGATTTTTGTATGTTTGTTTTGAAAATGTGGAACATTAACATGGTACCAAAAATCAAAATTCTACAAAATAGTATACACAGAGAAGTGTCCCGACTCCCCGACCTGTGCCCGCCCACACCCTACAGGTGCCCAGCTCACCAGTGTCTGCTTTCTCCCTCCTGACTTTCCTTTGGCCCAAAATAGGCAGATCTGTGGATATTTCACTGCCCTTTCTGTCTTACACAAAAGATTGTGTACTGTAGATTTGCTCTTGCACTTTGCTTTTTCTCATGTGGCAACAAATCCTGGGAAACATCCTCTACCAGCTCAGCTTCCTATTCCTCATTTTCCTCATTTTGACAGCTGCAGAGACCATCCCTACCCATGGCCACCAGGGTATTCCAATATTTTACAGTTGCAGACAGCACTGCAATATATAACCTTGTGCATCTGTTTTGTAGTGTTGGGATGGGTGATTTTTTTTTTTGGAAAAGCAGGTTTTTTGGTTTTGAAACTTTAAGATCAGATTTTTAAAAAAAATTTTTTTATCAAGAGAAGTGACTACTTTATTTTTTTAATATTTTATTTTATATAATTCTTACATCAGTTTTCATTTTTTTAAAAAAAGATTTATTTATTTATTTACACAAGCACTGGGTACAGTCAGAAGCGCGGGAGGGTGAGAGAATTCACCAGAGCCCGAGCGGGGAGCAGAGCAGGCAGACTGACAAAGTGCACTGCTGATGGGAGCAGCGGGCGGCAGGAGAGGTCTGCGTGCCAGGTGGGACCCTCCTCCGGTGGCCGGGGAGCAGCTGGGGATCCAACCGGCACTGCAGAGGCTGCAGGCAGCTTCGCAACCCAGCATTCAACCGCTGTGCCACCGGGAAGGCCATTCAGTTTTCATTTTTGCACAATGTATGCATTATCATTTTGATTATATTCCCCATACAATTGCACCCCCCCCCTTATTTTGACCCTAGTCCTTCCTCTCCCCTTCCCCCACCCCGTGGTTTGTCTCTGGTTTATAGTTGCTTGTTGATTTTGATTTTTGCTTTGTATTAATTAGTCTTTTTCCTGGTCCCTTATTTAGGTTTTTCTAAATTCCTGCTATGAGTGAGACCATCCGGTATTTTTCTTTTTCTTTCTGGCTTATTTTGCTGAGCATGATCCCTTCCAGCTCCATCCATGTTGCTGCAAACTGCATGTGTTTATCTTTTTTGGTTGCTGAGTAATATTCCATTGTGTATATGTACCACATAAGATCAGATTTTAATTGAGTGATGAAGGCAGCATGGTATAGAAGAAAACCCAGATAGGCTTGGGAGACTGATAGGGCTCAAATCCCACCCATGTGTGACACTGGCTGTGTGACCTTAAAAAAGTTGCTTAACCGTTCTGGTCTGTTTTCTGTAAAATCATATATATTTCTTTCTTTTTTTTTAATTTATTTTTTTAAACATTTATCTATTTATACAAGCACTGGGTACAGTCAGAAGTACAGGAGGGTGAGAGAATTCACCAGAGTCAGAGCAGGGAGCAGAACAGGCAGACTGATGAAGCACACTGCTGAGGGGAGCAGAGGCCACGGCAGGAGAGGTCTGCGTGCCATGTGGGACCCTTGCCGGGGGCCGGGGATCGAACCAGCGCTGCAGAGGCTGTGGGCAGTTTCGCAGCCCAGTGCTCAACCACTGCACCACCAGGGGAGGCCCAAATCATATATATTTCTATAAAATAGGACTAATAAGTCCTGGCTTTGTTTTTGAGAAGATTAAGCAAAATAATGTATGTGGATTTCTCCAGTAGGGTCCCTGGTATTTGGGAGTACTCAATATTAACAATAACAATAACAATAATAACAATAACAATAGCTCTTCTTTATCCATTAAATATACTCTAGAATTTTTCAATTGGATAGAGTCTTTTTAATCCACACATCTGTTCCCCCCTTGCCTTTCATCACATATTCTTAATTTCTGCTTTGTCCTATGAGGTGACACTATGAGTAAATGACACAGAGTGGTGATGACAAAGGGAACAAACTCACCAACATCCACACATGTAGCACAATAATTTATTGAGTCATAATTCCAGGCTGTGGGGACTCAGCAGGAAGCAAACAAAGCTTACATTCTAGTGGAGTAACAATGATTATATAATGTATCCACTGGGGATGAGGGCTGAGAAAACAGTAAAACCATGTTAGGAGACAGAGTCCAGGAGGGAGTGATTTGAGTCAAGTCAGTCGCAGGAAATGAGAGTGAGCTGGGGGACTGCAGGGAAAAGCATTCCAGGCAGAGGAAACAGCATGTGCAAAGGCCACAAGGAGGAACAGGCATAGTGTGTGTGCAGACAAGCATGGATGAGATTTGTAGAGCTTTGTAGATGAAGCCTCACAGTGGCTTTGGCTTTTACGCTTAATGATAGGGAAGATAGGCAGAATTTTACACAGAGGAGTGATTGGATGGGACTCAGCCTCCTACAGGGTCCCTTTAGCAACCCCCAAAGGTGGCAAGTGGATATAGCCTTGGCATCAGCATATAACACACACAAGACAGAGGGGTCCCCTAGGGAAGGAAGCTGCTCTGTGACTCGAGTTACCTGATTGTTCTCAGGGAAGACATTGGGCCCTTCCAAAGGCTGGTCATTCTGAACTTGTCCCGCAGAATCTGCCCGCGTCTCCCTCCTCGGCCAAGGGAGAGGGAAATAGAGTCAATCCTCATTATTTGCAGATTTTGTATTTGTAATCCGCCTACTCACTAAAATGTCTTTGTAACCCCCAACTCAATACCTGAGGGCCTCCCTAGTCACTCATGGGCATGTACAGAGACACCCAAAGGGCACGCTCCCATCCGAGGTTGAGCAGGTGACACTCTGCCTTCTTGGTTCCGCTCCCACTCTAAACATGCGTCTTCTGGGCCATTATGTGCCACGTTTTTCAGTCTTTGTTGTTGTTGTGTGTGATCGCACTGTTTCAAGTGGCCTCCAAGTTTAGGCGTTGTGCTAAGGGCAGGAAGGCTGCGGTGGGCTCAGAAGTGAGTTATTGAGCTGTCCACCACAAGCTCAATGTGAATGAATCAACAGCGCATATTAAATAACACACTTTAAACAAACGCACATGAGGCAGGCTTGTGTATTGATCGGTTGATGAAAATGGGATGAGAGGCTGGTGGAAATGAACCCTGTAATTTCCCCAGAAGCGATGGTTCACTAGTCACTAATGCGTTGTTTGCAAGCACTTTCTGGAACTTAAATACCATGAATAATGAGAATGGACTGTTTATGTCTGAGAATTGGCACCAGGATCCCACTCCCCCTTCCTGCTCCCCTGTGGAAGGAGCAAGTCTCAGCAAAGCCAAGTTCAGCTGCCATTCTGTTCCTCTTGCTGGTTAGGCAAAGGTTTGCAAATCAGCTGGAATTCCGAAAAGGCCTGATTGTGCGGGTGGTGAGCCTGCACCCGGTGCTGGAGAAGGTCGAGGGCTAGTGTAATTTGTAGGATGAAGGCCCTGGGCCTGGGGGTCTTGGCAGATTCATCAGAGAGGCTGGCTTTCTAGACAAGCAAGCTCCAGGAGAGAGGCAGAAGGTCATGGACGGGCCGTGCCCTTGAAAGGAGAGGTGTGGTTTGAGAGCCACAGGGCCAAGGCACATCTGGGTTGGCAAGAGTCATGCATGAGATTCTGTCCAAGCTCCCCGCTTTATAGATGGGGGACCCAACTAAGTAAAGTGCTCAGCTCTCTGGTTTGACCATCCTGGGGCAAAAAGCTCTCCTGCCAGCTACTTTATCTGGGGACAAGAGCTCAATCCTAATTGTAGGGAAACATATACCATCTGAAAATGAGGATCAATTTCCGGGATTTATCTGGATGGGTTCCAGAAGCCAGCTCAATGTTTCTAAACAGAGACAGCCATTAGCGATCAGCATGTCATTTCAATAACCCACTGAGCCTCCCCACAGACCAGCGTGCTCTGAGTTATGGACTCCAGTGACACAGGTGGCAGTGCCAGGCCTGTGAGAGGCCTCTGATGAATTACCATGTTTGTGTCCTCCTGCGGGGCCCAGGCTAGAAAATGCAAGTCTTGGGCAATTAATATCAATATGCACAATTTAAATCCATTGCCTCGGATTAGATAAGCAGCCAGTAATGGCTCATTTTTAAACAAACAAGTTTTGCTGGAACCCTGATGAATGAATTTGCCAATTAATGGCATAGGCCCGCTAGATTGCAGGCCAGAGTCATTTGTTCTTGAATCAAACTACTCATTATGTATTTGTAGCGTGAAAAATTCCTTATAAAAGGCCAGGGCTGTCTGATGGGAAATTCTATTCTAATTTAGAGAAGCAGGGTGATGTATTGCATTTAGATCTGGGCTGTGACTCCGCCTTTGCTACTTCCTACCAATCTTGGGCAAGTTGCTCCCTGCCATTCTGAGCCTCAGTTTCCCCAACTGTCATAGGTGCAATAATCCTAATCTTTCCCATGTCACAGGAGTATTGTCAGTGTCTTAGAAGGTAGTGACCATGATGTTGCTTTGTGACCATTACAATCTGGGGTGCTGGGGTCAGAGGTGCGGGTTGGAATCTGCTCTGCTGCTTCCTAGATGTGAGGCCTTGGGAAAGTTACTCTCTCTGGACTTCCAGATCCTCATTTGAAATGAGGGAGAATAACAGGACCCATCCCCGAAGATGACTGGGAGACTTAAATGACAGAGTACCAGTTACCTATGCTACAAAACAATACCAACACAAATTCGGCAGCTAAACCCCACAAAGATTTCTGTTTTATAATTTTATTTATTCATTAAAATTTTTTTCTTACATCGTTGTAGTCCTTATAGTTCTCCTGCCACATATTACTCAAGAACCATCACTGTATTCCTCTGTGTTTATTCCTCCCCTGCTTTGCCCCCATCACACCCTCTGCTTTGCTATATGCCTCGGTTCTGCGGTCCGTTTTCTAGTTTCGACTTTTCCTTGATTTTTTGTTTGCTTACTTTGTATTCCACATATAAGTGAGACCTTTCCATATTTATCTTTTTCCTTCTCGCTAATTTCAGCTAGCATAAGCCCTTCCAGGTCCATCCACGTTGCCTCAAATGCTATGGGTTTTCTTTCTTGATTGCTCAGTAATATTCCATTGTATAAATATACCACAACTTTTTGATCCATTTGTCTATTTTATAAACCCACATAGATGTCTTATCTCAGAGTTCTGTGGATCAGAAGTCCAGGCACAGTGTAGATGGGTCTGCTCCAAGGCTGTCATCAGGGTGTTGATCAGAGCTGAGTCTCATTTCAAGTTTTCATCGGCAAAGGGTAGCTGAGTTGGTTCCTTGTGGTTGTAAGATTGGGGGTCTCCGTTCCTAACTGGGCGTTGGCTGGTGGCTGCCCTCAGGTTCTTGCCAGTTGGGCCTCCCTCTCTCCCCTGCCCCCAGCCACTTGTATCATCAAAGCCAGCAAGGGAGACAATCCAATGTGATATTCACAAAAGTGATATTCAGCACCTTGCTCTATCCTGTTGGCCGAGAGCAAGTCACATGTCCCACTTCCCTTCAAGCCAAGAGGATCACACAGAGGCATGAACTCCAGAAATAAGATCACAGGGTCACCTGTTGGGGATAAGCATGGGTCTGACAGGTGTGGAAAATGGTGCTGATGGTAAAATGACTAGGAAGCAGAAGAAAAAGAAGCAAAAGTTTTGGGCCCTTTTCATCCGGGCATCCTATTTCTGATTCCATATGTTAAAAATGGAATCAGTGTTTTACTGTGTGACTTCAGAGAATGTACTCCACCTCTCTGAGCTTGAGTTTCTTGCAGACAATAAGACCCATGTCAATGTGGTTATTCCATCACTCAGCGAGACACTAGGCATAAAACACTGAGCACGGCTCTTGCTCCAGAAAAAGCATTGAAAAATCGTTAGCAAAACAACCCTGCCACACAATCCACCATGAAGTCCGTGCACACGCACCTTATTTCCTCTCACAGAGCAAGCACGTGATATAAGCAGAGGCTGCTTTCTTTCAGGCGCATGCTGAAGAAAAACAAGTCCAAGGAAGAGAAGAAAAGTGTGCTTATCCTCCCGCCACGGGCCGGCACTCCCAAGCTCTTCAATGCCGCCCTGGCTCTAGCAGGAAGGGGCGCCAGAGGGAAGGGTGGCAAGCTTGCCCACCTCCGAGCTCGACTCAAAGAACTGGCAGCGCTGGAAGCGGCGGCAAGACAGCAACAGTTGCTGGAACAGGTAACTTGGCGGGCGCCCAGCCCTCCCATCCACTTCAGCTGTGTGCTAGCCAGAGAGCTGGGGTCTCCCAGAGTGGACCACACATTTGATGCCCCCCCTTTTATATTAATCACTGGTTGCAAGTGACACAGCAACTCAAATTAGCTTGAGAAAACAAGGAATTTACTGGGTCAAGGACCGCAAAGCTTGGCAAGGCTAGATCCAGAAGTTTGCACAATGCCAATGGCTGGCTTTGGCATCTAGCACCCAGCTTTCTCAGTGATGCCCCCCTGCTCCCACAAGAGGCAGGCCCCCAAGAGCTCAAGGGTTGCATCCTTCCGGTTTAGCAACTGCAACAGAACAAGCCCCATTTTATATAAAGCCTTGCGATGAGGCTTCTCCTGATAAACCATCCACCTTAGGCTAAAAATAATGCATTTGCCACCTCCCCACCGAACATCGTGGTTCGGTACGTACTGAGCTTTAGCCCAACCTACTGAATCCATGTTGCTTTCGCACCATTGTAAAAAGTGGACCCGGTGATTCCAGAAAAAAATCCCAGGTTCACTGCCCTTGGCCAGACTGGGTTATAGGTCAGTTCCTGGGCCATTCAGTGGGGTGCTCTGGAGAGGCCTGGCTCACATGCCTCGCCTGGTCTGAGAGTTGGAGGGGGGTTCCCCAAAGGGAGTCCTGCTGCTGTGGCAGAGGCAGGAACAGTTGCTTTGTGCAGGGAATGTCCCTCCCCAGATGGCAGTCATGTTCTCATATTTAATATCGTGTCTGTGACAATTTAAAAGATTTGAAAGGAGAAAGCCCTGCCAACAGGCACAGTGCTGTCTGCCCCTACCCCCATAAATCCAAAGGGAATTTTAAAATTAGTTCTGGGACTCTTGTCTGTGACTAATGCCAAGAACGCCAATTAGAATGATTGCACTAATTATGGCTGTTCATGACCGTCCTTCGGGGAGGCTGCTGGGAACTGGGGGTGGGGCCCGGCAGGCGCTCAGTGGCAAGGCCTCTTTCGAGGACGGGGCAGCAATCCCGTGAACTCAGTCTCAGCTAGACTGTTGTCACAGCGTGGCACCTGTCCAAAGGCCACCTGATGGCAGGAGTCTGATGAGTGATTATCGATGACATTTGGGCTTCTAAGACATTCTCCACATTCAGCCCCCCACCCCCGTGGCCCTGGACTCGGGGCAGATGTGAGTGCCTGACTCAACACCCGTCAGGGCCAAGGTCGGGCTGGCAAGTTGGGGTCTTCAGTGGGACTGAGTGGGCATGAGCTCCAAGCCTCAGGGCAGCCAGAGGCTTCCTCTGAAGCAGGACTTGTGGCTCCGAAGTGTTGAGGCAGCTTGGAGATGAAATTTGCACACATGCTCTACGGAAAGTTCACCCACCTGCAACTGAGAACAGCCCGGGCACCAGGTGCGAGCGCAAGGAGCTCTGAAACAGCAAGTCTAATGACGCAGGCCCCAATCCTGGCTGTGTCGCCACCAGCTCTGTCGCCTGGGGAAGCCCCTCAAGCTTTCTGAACACCACATTCCTCAGGGTGCCAGCCAGGGTTGTAGGCATGGGGCAGGACACCTCTCAGGAAAGCACTGGAACACGGCAAGGCACCTGAGCAGCCTGCGCTGGGGGCTTTGGGCTCCGTCACAGCCGGATGCTGCCAGAAGTCCTGAAATGCGCCCTGTCTGGGCATCCTGCCCCGGAAGTGTGTGTTGAGTGTTCAGGTGGACAGGGGAGGGGAACAGGTACCCCAAGACCTAGAGAAACATGGGGACAAGGGTAGCAGGTCCCCAAAGCTGCCTCGGGTCCCCACTCCACTGCCCTTCCTTTAATGCCCTATGACTTGAGTGAACTTCAGGGGTGCCTTAAATGCTCTATCACTGCTCAGGCGGGTGTTGGATGGCTGTGGACCCTCGGACCCCCTCCTCTGGTGTCACACCCCACCCCCAGCTTCCTCCATGGAGTCAGACAGAGCGGGTGTCCACAAAGATACACAGACAGCCACCGGCTCTCATGGGAACCAGCAGGCTGGAGGCTGGGGTCCCACCAAGTCCCCAAACAGGGCGCTGAAGGGGGCTGAGTCCAGCCTAGTGCCAGTTGGTCCCCAGCCCATTCTACCCCTGGGGGTCTCCACCTTTGAGAGCTTCCAGAAGGAGCCATAACAGCTCCTGCCTTCGTCAGCTTTTCCCTGGTTGGCTTCAAGTTTCTTTCATTCACCCAAGAGCATTCATTTGTGGGTGGGCAGGGCGGGGAGTCAGTGTTGCCAAGGCTGAGGGGGTTGGGGGGTTCCTAGTCACAGCCTCTCCTCCTTCAAAAGCTCAGAGGCTTAAACACAAGGGCCCAGCTCTGCAATTCAACTGAGGCCTGAGATAGTCCCACGATTCCCTCCAAATCCAACCAGGGCTTGGCATTCTTAAACTTTCCATAATACCCGGTTTCTGCCAAATAACCCTAATGGGCTCCTACCCCCTGTGTGGTACACAATCCCCCTCCTTGCACTTGGGCAGTCCCAGAAGGTGAGAACAGAGATGTCCCGGCCCTTCCAAGAACCCTCGGGTCTTCTCTGTCTCATACGTCACCCTTTCTGGATTGCAGGCCAAGAACTCAGAGGGCGATGGTGGAGAAGCTGGCCAGCCCGCTGCCCCGGGCCAGCCCGCACCTCCAGCGCCTCCTGCGCCTCCTGTGCCCGCAGTGCCCCCCGCGCCTCCTGCGCCCGCAGAAGCCCCAGCCCCGCGCTCACCACCACCTGCCTCCTCTCAGAAGCCAGAGGGAGGAGGGGAGAGGGCGACTGGACCCCAGGAGCACTCGGTGCGGATTCACATGAGCCCCGGCCCGGACCCCGGCGAACAGACCCTGTCGGTGGAGATCCCGGAGGAGAAGAAGGACGCGGAGTGAGGTGACCGCCACCACAGCTACTGGCAGGTGCAACTGGGGGTCGGCCCCTGCTGCACACCCCCGATCCATGCCCCAGGCCAAGGCGCCTGTTGTCAGTAGTGGCCGCCAACATTCCTGCCTTGACCTCAGCTTCTTCCAGGGTGGATCTGGATATCAACTCGTATAGTGTTCCAGCCCCTCCCTTGAGAGCCCTACCTCCCCCCATGGCTGTTATCTTTTTTTTAAAGATTTATTTATTTATGCATAGAAGAACTGGGGTACAGGCCAGAGGTACGGGGGTGAGAGGACTCACCAGAGACAGAGTGGGGAGCAGAACATGCGGATCTACTAAAATACACTGCTGAGGGGAGCAGCAGGTGAGACAGGAGAGGTCTGCCTCGCCATGTGGGTAGCTCCCTGACTGGGGATCGAACTCGTGCTACAGTGGTTGCAGATAGCTTCATAGGTTGTGTCTTAACCCCTTGCACTACCAGGGAGCCCCCACAGCTATTATTTTTAAGAAAAAAAATTCTTTCCTGCTCTAAAAGTTCACAGGCAGGAAACAGAATGGGACTCCAGCCCCTATCCGTAGCTTTGCTGGAGAATTGAAGGGGTATTGATTGAGTGCTTGGGGGTTTCTCCTTCACCGCTGACTCCTTCCATTCAAGGGTAGGAACCATTCTGGCAGAAATGTACTGGGTTTGGCTAAGGGGGGATATGGCAAACCTGATCCCATCCGCCCATGTCATTTATCTTTGCCGGGCAGTCACATTAGGCGTGGTTAGGGTGTTGAGAACTTGATCGCCCCCAGACTCTGCTCATTTCAGAGTGGACACCATTATCTCAGAACAGATTAAATGGAAAGGGCTTGTTGGCAAGGAGCTGTGAGTGATTCTGGGCACACCCTTCTGCCTGTCACCCCACTCTCATCTGCACGGATTAATCTATTGCTTCTTTCTGACACCCTTGCATAGAGATGATGGTAGCGACTTCAATTAATCTGAGAAGATGAAAGAAATCTCACAGCGTAAGCTTCCCAGCTTTCTCCAGATCATGTCATGCTGCTTTTATGATTCAAAACAAGAAGGAAAAAGTCATTCAGTCAATGAATATTTTATTGAGAAGATTTTATTTGCATATTGATTGATGCTTAGGGGAATGGGTGATTAAACACAAAAACTTGTACTGGACCATTTGTTTCCACCAACATCAATAGACCCAAAAGGTCTGCCATTCCAATGGGTGCTGCCCACTTTATATAAAATTACGGGAACATTGCAAACTGCAGAAGGGTGCTTGTAAATGTGTGTTATTTGCTCATCAAGCTAACAACAGAACACTCACTTCTCCTTTGAAAAAAATTAAACAATATGGAAGCTCCCAGGCTGGCCTAAACATTACTAAATCCCAGAGTAACAAACAGATCTGTCTTTTCAATGACACATCTCACGATCTGAGTAATCGTCATATGGAATAGAACAATAATGGACATGATTATTTTATCCTTTAAAAAGACTTATATTAATTCCTTCTCGTTTGGTAACAGCACATTTACATGGATGCAAAGCCGTCACAGAAAAAATTCTCCCCGACTCCCGACTGCTCTATTCCCCTCCATGAAAGCAACCACTGTTAATCTGTCCCTTTTGTATCCTTTGAGTGATTTTTGGAGCTTACACAGGAAACGTGTAAATTCATTTTTGCTCCCTTCTCTTTTTATTTCTTTGTGACACAAATGGTAACATACTCAAGCTGCTGTTACTTTTCACTTGATTTCTTTCGAAGGTTGTTTCCTGGCACATAAGGGCGTCTCTGTGTCTCAATGACTGCAATCCAGTTGGTTGTGTGGAGAAATCAGCATTTCACTGCTTTTCCTTTGATGGGCATCCTTGCTGTTTCCCATCTCACACTGTTAAAAAAATATTGCTGCAACCAAAAATCTTACACAGACATAATTTCACTGGTAAACTCTGTTTTTTAAAGAAGGGAAGTCTGGCAATTTGTGCAATTTTTTTTCCTTTACCATTCCCATATTTGTAAGACATATTCTGAGATACAAGCATAGCGAATGCTTCCAATTCTAGCAAGTATTTCTGATGCATCAATAAAGTAAATGTATTGCCCTTCAGAGTAGATGGCAAAACATTTCAAGGGCACCTTCACTGTGAGATCCTATTTTATAAGGAATCTTTTTTTTTATATGAATGTACTTCAACCTTTAGCTATCAACCCTTGAATATATGCTGCTTATTATATCAAGCAAGAGGTTTTCGAGGTTCCTGAAAATTGTACTAGAGAGAAAAATTGATTTTGAAATGAGATTAGCAGTGTCTTAATTTCACTGAACTATCTCATTAAACTTGACACTTTCATAAAACTGGGATAGTAGATAAATTGAATTTGAGGCTGGTCTTATGCCCCAAGTAGAGTTGGACTGATTGGTGACCAAGGTGTGGCTGGCACAGCTCAGGAAGACAGTGATTCTGAAATTCTGCAGCTGAAACAGGCCCTTTATTGATGTTTATCGAACCTCTACTCATTTAAAATGGCTCATCATGTCTTGCATTTCAGTAGAAAGTAAATAGCAAGTTGTTTTTTTAATTACATCACTATTTTAAATGAGATCCAAAACCTAGAACCTATTTAAAATGCTATTATCAAAATGTATTCCACTACCTGGAAGAGTTTTCTCTGTTTTCTTAGTAAACATGAATACTGCATTTACAGTCTGGCTTTCATCATATCAGAGTGCATTTTAATTAAAGCATTTAGACAAGTGTTCCTGACTTGTGGCTTCATTTTGGAAATGGATGAGAATGGTAAACACTGTGGTAAGAAAAGTTAAGTGTATTTCTGCACTCGCTCCCTAGCTGATCTGCAGACACCACGGGGCTGGGATCCATCCTGCACTCCTGTTGCTGGAGGGGTTTCCTGTGACACACCCCATCAAACCTGCGCGAGTTCCCTAGGATCCTGAACCCTCAAAACCAGCCCTTTAAGTCTAATCTCACCTAGTGGTCTAACGAAGTCATGAGCTTCTGGTTCCCCACCCCCTTGCACTTGGACTTGTTCAGTGATGCAGAATACTGACAGGTTCAGCTCTGGATTCAATCTGCCTGGCCGCCACCCCCAGCCCAGCTGGACCACAAGCCACTGCTGACCATGACCCCGGCGAGCTCCATGGACATAACACCTTGCCCTGCACTGAGCTGCTGGAAGGGTAGAGAGGCATTGGCAAGTCTGAATGGGCACGAAAAAAAAAAAAAGCCAGCTCTGCACCTCTGACTCTGCTGCAGTTGAAGTAGAGAGGAAACCCCCTAGAACTCCATCTAGTCCCAATTCTGCCTCTGCCTGGGTTTCGGCTCATTCTTTCTTCCTCAACTGAGAGTTTGTGCAAAGGCAGGCCTGGACATATGTTAATGATAACAATATAGATCACAGCTTTCCCCACCAGCCACAAATGTATTTAATTCAAATTCATACAAAATCAGGCTGGAAAACACCTCAGCTTATCTTCTGGGGACGATCACTCCATTCTGGCCTGTTCTCAGAAGGCGCCTATGTTTGCTTAATGCTCTGCTCTCACTGCCTTGAAATTCTGATTAATTTTTTTTGAACAAGGGCTCCCACCTCTGTATTTACACTGGGCCCCACAATTGAAATCACCTGTTCTGGCCTGCTTGGGATCTCCCCTGATATCCGAAAGGGAGAGGGGGAGATGTGTATTTTGGGTGCTCAGCTTCTCTGTCCTTCCAGCCACAGGATCCAGCGTCCCTTTTGGAAGGTCATCTCTCACTTGTGCATGGGACCCTGGTTAGGCCAGTTGGTTCTCTGTCCTGGGAGCTGAGTCTTGAGAACTAGAGCCCCTGGCTGCCCCCTCTTCCTTGATTTAGTTTTGGGGAGCAACATGCCCAGCCCAGTGGGAGACGAAGCCAAGGTTTCAGGCCTGAGAAGTTCCCAAGGAGGCTCTTTCAGGAAGGGGAATGGTTTAGGCCACGGCTGCCCTTCTGGTCTGGCACCCACTTCCCCACCTGAGGCTGAGGGGGCCACTTGATCCAGTTCCCACCATGGAATTGTAAGGGTGATGGGAAGACTCCTCAACCAAGGGCCCCCACGATTCCCCCTTCCTGAAAGCACCTTCCTGGGAACTTCTCAGGCCTGAAACCTGACTCCAACCCTTGGTATATAAAGTCTCATCAGGTCAAGTCTCTGAGTTCTAGGACTTCGCCTCCTGTGACAGGTAAATATACAGGGAGTCTCCCTGGAGACTTCACACACCTGGGCCTTAGCCTAGGGACCCAGCCCAGCTGCAGTCATTTGGCCTCTCCCCAGGATAAGGGGAACTTTGTCCGCCTTTCAGAGGAGAGCCATTAACCAGGTAAATGGCTACATATCTAATGATCACAGCATGAGAAGAATCTCAGGAGATAAGGGCTCTTTCCCCAGAACACAGAGAAAGCCACAGAAATTGTCTTCCCTATTCTCCGTCTCCATTTAAATTACGGTAGAGGTTGCAATGGTCAACTCCACTTTTCAAATAGCTGAAACCAAAAGCATTTTGCTCTTCAAAGAAAAGGGAAAACGAATGTGAAATGTTTCTGGACAGGTCCAAGAGAATAAATCAGATCACACTGAAGACTTCGTGTATGTGTGAGCCTCAAAGAAGTATAAAGGTTTATAATCTTGAGATTGACCTCAAGTCCATGGAGCAGAATCTACTGGGTGACTTTTGGAAAATTTGTAACCAGCAGCACCCACCAAAAAAGGAAAAATTCCAGGAGGGGGAAGGTGAATGAGCCACTAAAGCTTGTACAGAAAATGATTCCTTTGCATTTTATCAGAAGCTAATTTGTTCTGTTTTATTGACGTATAATGGACAAATAAAATGGTTAGATATTTAAAGTGCACACATGGCTGGTTTGCTATACGTATACCTTGTGAGGATTCTGGTTAATTAACACATTCATCTCCTCCCATGTTTGTGTTTGTGTGTGTGTGCATGTGTGCGAGCTCGCAGAGAG